CTTCCGAGGATGCCACGATGTTTTCCAGCCGCGTGCAAATCCACTTAGCCCCAGATCGTCAGCCGACCCTCTCGGCTCCGACGACACAGACTGGATGAAATCGCACCAATTGTTCCTAGACATCCGTTGACACGCATGGAGTTTACGAATATCGATATTTTGCTTTATTTGTGCGCTTCTACCCACCCATAGGCAATAATCAGAATCAGGGCAGGGCTTGGTAGACCGGCATCCACATAAGCCTCCACATAAGTACGATCTTGTACAAGGTTGGTGTAGTCCCCGAGCAAGGGACTCCAGGTTTTGCCACATCGGAACTACACTTCAATCATGCAGAGCTTGGGGGCATGGGAGCATGCAATAAGAGTAATAATCCCGCAATACGCACATTATTGAAAACACAACGATCGTCGTCTCTCAGGCACATCAAGTAAAGACCCAGTCACAGGTCGGGCCGGGGGGAAATCCATTGGAGTGGATGACATAACTGCTGATGTAATCTATGATGCCTCAGGCAACAACAAAGACTCAGCCGCGTAGAAAGGTAAATCAACAAAAACATGGAAACATCAGAATATTACTCCGTACATGTAAACATCAAACATTCAGACATCCAGACATTTAAAGACATGGCCAATTTTGATTGAATCAAACTTGGTTTTGTCCCCACCCCCAGACGAATGGGCTAGTGTTGCAGGCATGTCGACATCGGGTCAAGTGCAGTCTCGCTTTCAGACATCCATTGATCTCGCCCGTCGACAAGTCTATCACGTAGCGCCCGTGGCAGGACAGAAGCGACCACCGACAGAGCCCACAGGGAAAGTCTCCGATATCCCAACTCTTGGTCCAGTAAAACAAGCTACTTTTCCTCACCAAAATGTCAATCCAGACCCCATATTGGAATCAGCTCCGTTGCAGTCTGCCCGAGATTTGCTAACCGCTCCCGTCCATTGCTTTACCGCCAGCAAGATTTATCCTGGTGCGGGCGCGGAGCCATCCCCGGATGATCATCAAAAGGCTGTGGCTGCGACTGCCCCGCCTTCCAGTCAGAATCCTTTGCTATCCCTGTCTAATCCAAAATATGGCCTGCCGCCCGCTCTCACGGCGAATTTCGCCGCACTCGGTGTTAGAAATATCTACCCGTGGCAGGCGTCGTGTCTGTTGGCTAGGGGATTGCTCTCGGGTGAACGTCATTTGGTTTACACGGCCCCGACGGGCGGTGGAAAGTCCCTGGTTGCGGATGTTTTGCTTTTGAAACGCATTATTGAAAACCCGGGCCGTAAAGCGCTGTTGGTTTTGCCTTACGTTGCTTTGGTTCAGGAGAAGCTCAAGTGGATGCGTCGCATCGTGCAGGATGTGGAGAGGAATATCCCGGATGATGAAGATGACGAGAAATTCCCTCGCAGGCGATGGAAGAAATTACAGAAGAATATCAGGGTGACGGGCTTCTTTGGTGGAAGTCGGACGACGGCTACTTGGGCGGATACTGATATCGCTGTTTGTACGATAGAGAAGGTGTGCACGATTTCCTTCGGTGCTGCTTGCAGAGTTCTGATATTCGTTTTCTTAGGCCAATTCGTTGATAAACAACGCGATCGAAGAGTGTAGTATTGGAGACTTGGGAGTCGTGGTTCTCGACGAATTACACATGCTCGATGACGAACACCGGGGCTATCTCTTGGAATTGATGGTCACGAAGTTGCTGTTATTACAGCAGGACATCCAGATTGTTGGGATGAGTGCCACGCTTTCCGTGAGTCTATGTTCAATCCTTCGATGAAATACTCTAACACACCCCCAGAACACCGAGATGTTGGCACAATGGATGAACGCCAAGTTCTACATTTCCACCTACAGACCAATCCCCATCGACGAATACTTGGTATATGAGAATGGAATCTACCCAGCTGCAACCTCGAGGCAATTGTTCCAAACGGCATCCAAGCTGACTGCTGCTGCATCCTTACACGACACCATCCCTCCACAACGTATCATTGAGCCTTCTACCTTTAAGCAGCTCAGCAACTCCGCCACAAATGCCATGGTAGCGTTAGCAGTGGAAACTGCAGCCGCTGGGTTTGGATCGTTGGTGTTTTGTGGTAGTCGCAATGCATGCCAGATTCATGCCGCGACTATCGGTGAAGCGATGCCGCCAGCAGAGGCGGATGAGTTGAATAAGCGACTCGATCTTCTCGCAGAACTGCGTAGTCTCGCTTGTGGGCTGGACCCGGCTTTGGAGACGACAATCATCAAAGGGACAGGGTTTCACAGTTAGTATCCTGGCATCCACAGTAGAGCTCTCAGCATTACTAATGACCACTTAGATGCTGGCATGACCACCGAAGAGCGAGATCTAATTGCGCAGGCCTATGACCAGGGCGTGATCAAAGTCCTCGTGGCCACATGCAGTCTTGCCGCTGGTGTAAACCTCCCAGCGAGACGAGTCATCATAAACGGTGCGCGTATGGGCCGTGAACTAGTAGGTCCGGCTATGCTGTAGGTGCCTCCTTCCTGGAGTTGGGAATATGAGCTGACAAAAACAGTCGCCAAATGTGCGGCCGTGCTGGCCGCAAAGGCAAGGACGACGCCGGCGAAACCTATCTCATCTGCGTGAAAGCTGATATGCAGGCTGTCTGCGATCTGTTGGACGCTGATATGCCAGCTATTGAGAGCTGCCTCGCACCGGAGAAAAGAGGCCTCAAGCGGTATGTATTTCCCGTCTAACTCTATTATTTCTAGAGCATTGGCTCACACCCCCAAAGTGCTTTACTCGAGGCCGTGGCAACGGGATTGGTATCCGGCTGCGAGGCGATCAAAGAATATGTTCGGTGCACTCTTCTTTATCGCTCATTGGACAAGAAGCTCGCATACACCATCATGAGATCGGCGCTTCAGGAACTAGTCGACGAAGAACTTCTTATTTTCCGAGAAGACGAATCCTACGAAGCCACACCATTAGGACAGGCAGTTGTGGCCTCGGCATTCTCACCCGAAGACGGTCTGTTCGTTCACGAAGAGTTGAAACGAGCATTACAAGCCTTCGTAATGGACGGTGACATGCACATCTTCTACATGTTCACCCCGCTCCAAGCGGCCATGAACACCCCTATCGACTGGCAAATTTTCCGCGATCAACTAGACAGGCTAGACGAGAGCGGTCTCCGGGCTCTACAATTTGTCGGAGTGCAACCGGGTTTCGTCAACACAATGTACGTCTCCTTCCTACACATATCCACGCACACCTCCCAACCCAACCCAACCAAATCCCCAAACTAACATCCTATAATCAGGGTCCAATCAGGTGCCTCCCTAAAAGAAACAAACCCAACCCAAATAAAACAAGCCCGAATCTACCGCCGCGCCTACACAGCCTTCCAACTCCGCGATCTCAGCAACGAAATCCCCCTCTCAACAATAGCCCAACGCTACAAAATCCCCCGCGGCACAGTCCAAACCCTAGCACAGCAATGCCACGGCTTCGCCGCCGGCATTGTCAAATTCTGCCAGCGCATGAACTGGGGTATGATGGCGGCCGTTTTGGATCATATGCGCGATAGACTTGAAGCTGGCGCGCGCGCGGATCTGCTCGAGATGGCGCAGGTTACTTTTGTTAAGAGTTGGACCGCGCGGTTGCTGAGGGATAATGGGTTTAGGAATTTGAGGGCTTTGGCTGAGGCCGAACCGAAGGATTTGGTTCCTGTTCTTATGATGGTGGGTTTTTTGGTTTCGTTTTGCATACATTGGAGATTGTGTATGTGTGTGTGAATATCGACTAATGTGTCTCTGGTGTGTCTAGGCCAATCCTCACAAAGCGCAGAAAAGCCAGCTCTATCCGACAGAGGCGGAGAGATATAATGCGAAATTGATGGCTAAGGCCGAGACGATTATTTCGCATGCTATCAAGATCTGGGGTATGTACTTCATGATGAATGCATAATTTGCTTCAGATATACTGACGTGCATTGTCCACTAGAGCGAGAGATGCAAATCGAGGTGGAGGAATGAATACCACATGTTTTGATATACCCCAATTCAATATTCAATTATCGCCTATACCACATCCTCGTCACCTGCGTCCTCCGCATCTTCTTCTGCAGAAGAAAGATCCCCTGCAAAAGCGCCTCCGCAGTCGGCGGACATCCAGGCACATAAATATCCACAGGCACGATGCGGTCCACACCACGCACAACATTGTAACTGTAGTGGTAATATCCTCCACCGTTCGCACAACTACCCATGCTAATCACCCATCGAGGCTCGGGCATCTGGTCATATAGTTGTCTCACTGCCGGAGCCATCTTGTTGACCACCGTACCGGCTACAATCATCACATCTGCTTGTCGTGGCGAGGCGCGGAAAATAATGCCCAGTCGATCTTGATCGTAACGTGGCATTGAGGTGTGCATCATTTCGATTCCGCAGCAGGCCAGTCCGAATGATAAGGGCCATAGGGAACCTTGTCTTCCCCAGTTTACGAGTTCGTCGGCTTTTGCACTGTGTAGTAGAAAATGTTAGGACTAAATCAGTAGAGCTGTGAGGTGGCGTAGTATTGAACATACAGGAGATACCCAGACGATCCATCTTTCTCTCTTTCAAATGGTATCGGTGTAGATGTAGGGCTGCTAGGTTCTGAAGATGTGCGTAGGTATCGTGTTGTTGCGATGGTGGGCAAGAGACCCTGTGACCATTGCTTTGGATTGGAGTGACGGAGTATACTTCGAGAGGATATATTCAAAAGCATGATCACCAGCTAAACCTGAGTACTTTTCTAGCTTGAGAAGTCAAGTTTAGAAGGTAGAACCAGCTCACTTCTCCCTTGGAGAAGTTTTATAGTTATTTCGAAACAGCTGGTGTTGAACATCCAATGAGAAGGCAGATATCAAGACACCAGCCAATCAGATGTGCATTAATTCGGCGACTTGGTGGGACCCAGCTCACCAAATTCGCCGAAATCAAAGACGCCGAACTTGCTACAAACAACTGCCTTTCAATTATATTAAATGCCACGCAGCATTCCAGTCAAAGTCGCCTGTCGTGTATGTCATGACCGACGAGTCAAATGTGATCGCAGTGAAGATGTCCCGTGTTCCAACTGCCGGAATGCCGGACGCCAATGCGAGCTGATTATATCTCGCCGTGGACGGTAGGGTTGCAAATACGAAGCCATTATATTACGACTAATTCAGATGTACGGAGTAGGAAACGAAAGCTTCCTCTTCTACCTAATGAAGCAGGCCCAAGCAGGAGTCTTCCACAGACCTCTCGCAATGTGCCGTATGAAGGAGTGACGAGTCCAAACCCACCTCTGGCCACCCATGCTCAGGACAATGGAGATAAGCCACAGCAAGAGCCATGTTTCCCAGCTCTCGGACCAAGCGGCAAAACACCGTATGTTGGAGATTCTTCTAATCTTAACTACCTGATTCAACAATTTGGAAATCCTTTCGGGGGAACGACGGATGTTCGTCCACTTCAAGACCATCTCCATGGGGCAATGCTGGCCCGGTTGGGCGGACCGACGACGCAGGAGCTTGAAGGGCTCCGCATATCTACCAACGAAAGCCTTAACAGCCAAGGCGCATTTGATCTCCCGTCAAAAGAGACCAGTCAGGCCCTTCTCGACACTTACTTCAATTTTTCACTTGCTGCACTGCCTATTCTTGACCGGTCGAGATTTCTTGTCTCTCTCCAGGATGGCAAATTCTCGCACTTGCTCTTGAATGCTATTTACGTCGCTGCTACTGTATATTGTTCGGATTCTGTTATTGCTGATGCTGGATTTGCGTCGCGATACGCTGCAAGTCTCACCTTTTACCGGAGGGCTAAATCTCTCTATGATGCTGGATATGAAACAGATGCCATCGTGACCATTCAAGCTACATTTCTTATGTGCTATTGGTGGAATGGCCTTCTAGAACATAAAGACCCTTGGTACTGGCTTGGTATCTCTGTGGGAATGGCACAGGCTTTAGGGTTGCATCAAGCGTGAGCCTACCTACTCATCCCCCAACGTGGAATAAGGGCAACTAATAAGTATCCTAGAAAGTCTTACATCCGACTCGAAGAGCAAGATCGAAAATCATGGCGGAGATTGTGGTGGATGATATATGTCGGTCATCCATTGCCCCACGAAGTCTCTGGTCTATTACTCCTCTGACTTTCTAAACCAGGCCATGGACATACATCTGTCTATGCTTCTCGATCGTCCCCCACACGTACAAGGAAGACTTTGCAATGTCCCCCCTCTGTCGGAAGCAGATTTCGAACAAGCCGAGTCTGAAGAGACAGAACTTTCCCGAGAAGGTCTCAACGAGGCAAATGCCTTCGCGATAAATGCCATGCAACTAGCTCGGACAGGTTCGACATCCCACATTATCCTGTCCCGAAATGCAACCTCCTTGCTAACGAATATCACAGTGGATCCCTACTTCACTCTTAAATTCGACGGAGATACCGGTCACGCACAAGATATCTGCCTAGAGCAAATTGCCTTGTGGTCTTCATCCCTTCCCGCAGAATTCAAATCCCTATCAACAAATAGTAGCAAGTGGGCTATATTGACTCATATATTACACCAGTAAGTTGACTGCAAACGAATTCCACTCCCCAGAAGCCATCCATCCATCCATCCATTCTGAAATTCAATCTACAGGGAATACCAACTAGTTCTACACCGAAACAACCCAAGATTCTCCCTCAATACCGGTCCAGACACCCCGACCTTCGAGACATGCACGGAAATCTCCCACATGCTCGAGATCCTCATGGCAAAGGATCTTCTATACCCAGCCGCAGGAAGCATGTACGTTCCGTTTCCGTTTCCGTTCCTTCATATCCCATATGGGCTTGCTAAAGCCTTTCTTTCCAGAGTCGCCCCCGTGCTGTCCGTGCTCTCGGTCTACATAGCCTACATCCACAGAGGAGATACCGGTGTCCGAATGATCTCACAACATCGCGCGCAGTTCTGCATGCTGATACTTGAAAAATTGCAAGATCGGTTCCCCGTTGTTGCGGCTTTCTATCCGATTTTTGAGTCGTTGCTTAGGCGAGGCTCTGCTGCTGTGCAGATCCAGGATGGTGCGGGGGTACCAGAGCGTCTGGTAACAGGATCCTCGATGGGAATTGGTCGTCAAGTTGATGAAAGTGATATTGGTAGTACGAACACTACTGGGGGATTGTTTGATCAAGCTTCGCAAGATGGGATGGGAATGGTGTTTCCTTTCTCGTTTCCTTTTGGGAATCTTTTTGAAGATGTGTTTTTGAACTCGCATTCTCAGACTACAGCTTATTCTGAAGATCATTTGTCCTACCCTGAATAATATTGCTAATTGCTAAATATCCATGGATAATCCATGTATTAATGTACAACATCTACAAATAAAAAGCAAAGAAACCTTCAAAAAACTAGGCATCGAGTGCCATTCTCATATTTGCAATAGCATGTATGCGGTTTGTACATGATTTACAATCCCAAACGCCCTAGCCCAAACGCCACGTAGATACAAACATAAGAGCCCGCTCATGAGCAGCGGAGAAAGTAGTCAATCCGCCAGAAAAAAAGAAGATAAAAACAAAGAGGGAACGGTTCAGTTCTACTTTTCCACACAAACAATCCTACAATTCGCCATGGCCACCATGGCGATGCTCACCCTCCGATCCCGGCGCAGCCATAAACCCGCCAGCTTGCACGCGCAGCGCGAAGTTAATCAAGATAATCACGACGAGTCCGATGCTGACAACCGTCGGCCCCCAGCGCTCGTAGTAGACGCGCTTGACGTCGCGACGCTTGCGGATCTTGTCGACACGCCAGATGTACAGGAAGAGACTGTAGACGAGGGCGCCGGCGGCGAGGATGGTGAAGGCCCAGGAGGAGATGAGGGTGGCGTTATCGGAGCCGAAGTTAAGAAGGGTTGCGGCGATTCCGCCGAGGATGATGGAGAATTCTAACCAGGAGAGGAAGGTTCGCTCGGCGGCGAAGTAGACTTTGGGTTCCACGCGGATGGGAACGAAAATGCCTAGTTTTGTGTTAGTCTGGGTGATTGATGCATGGAATGGCATGGACACGACTTACGTTTGCCGGGAGGAGCCTGGAAGCTCTGCAGAGTGCGTCGGTGGTTACTCAAAACAGCGATCCCACGCTGTTCGGGGGAGGCAGGGATGTTGGACGGGGGCGGGGGATTATCGCCATGAGACCTTGTGCGACAGCGTGGCCAGTTCGAGAGAGATAGTATTTGGCTAGTTGCTGCGCGTAGTACGCACCCCCGATGCGACGGGCTTCTTCGAGTTCGTCAGAATATACCGATTCGTCGTCGGAGTCGTACAAGGGGTAGTCTTCGTCGCCGGGCAGAGGCTGGGCGGCGATGCGTTCTTCGATATCTAGTTCGTTTCCATTGGTCTCAAACAATCCGCTCTGGTGTTCGGTGACGTGTCCGTTCGGAGGTGTTTCTTGCGATTCAGGGGTTTCATCGTCATCCGAATCTTCATCATTGGCGGATATTGAGGTACTGGCCAGCGGTCTGTGGATACCGAATTCGCGACTAGCGGGTTTGCGGATGTCCACACCCATCTGTGGGAACCAGAATGGGAGCAAGTTGATGCGAGTAGGGAACATGGTGGCTGTTCCGTGGATGAACTTGCTGAATTTCGGGACTGCCTCAACCAAGTGACTGGCAGTCAAATCCCGAATCCACTGGGGAGGTTCCTGGCCCGCCTGGGTCTGCAGCTTCACCTCCAGCACGGCATAGGGGAATCGGTCGATATCCTCCGGAGGCAGCTGGGAGAATGGGAAGTCGACTCCGATATCCATACGACGCCAGTTCTTCCCAGACCGTTGGCGGCCGTCCAGGTTATCCTCTCGGACCATGGTCAATTCCGTATCCAGGGAGATTCGAACACGAGCATCACCTGGAAGCTGGAATGCAGTGCGGTGGTAGAATGTCCGGGTGACAGGCATCAAGCGGCGAGTAATGACGCGGTACTGAATCTCGCGAGCCAATTGCTCTAAATCATCAATCTCCGACGGGCTCTTCTTACCCTCCTTGCGCATCTTGTCGAAGATCTGCTCAACCGTCATGCGGCCATCGAGATAGGCATTGACGTGCTTCTCCTTGAGCACGAAACGCGCCTTGACAGACTTTTCTCCCGTCCAGTCCTCGCGGTGGGTTTTCCGCTCCACGAAGATCTGGTCACTTTCCATTCCACCGTACCAACGCAGTCGGATTGCCTCGGCGCCTTCTGTTTTCTTCAGACGACCCTGATACAGCTCCCAAGTGTCCGTGTTGTCATAGTAGATAGAAGAGATGGCGGTATCCTTCTCCTCGAACTCCTTGCTGGCATTGAAGACCAACACTGGCAAGTGCTTCAAGATCACCAGCTTCAACTCCGTAATATTATCCCGATGCACCCAATACTTTGTGGTCTGACGCACAAAGTTCTGTTGGGTACCACCGGCAGACGCGTCACCTTTGACCGGGTTACCCTTGGTTCGGACCAGGTCATAAAGCTTGGACAGTTTAATCACGAAAGCGTCGTAGTTGTCCTTGAAGAACGGCTTGGCCTTTAGACGTGTCGCGAAAACCGGCTTGAGGTACCATTGAGTTTCTTTCTGTGCGATTGTTAGCAAATTGGGAGGCCTGACTCGAACCTTGGAATATTGGAAGGAGCACATACGTCATGCTTTTTGATGATCTTTTGGAACCCGGTGTAGTTCAATTGAGTGAATTTGGCCAAGTCATGAACATCGGCAATAATGTCACTGAGTACCTGCTCAAGGAGCAAGAAATCCGCATCGGTGGGTGTGGGGCGAGAAGCTCGAACACTCTGGCGACGGGAATCGGTCGAGCTGTCCAGACGGGAGACGACATCGTTCACCTCGAGCTCGCTTTCTTGAATGCGGGCGACAATCTCTTCGCTTTTGCGCTTCTGGAAAAGGAACACCTTCTCCAACTCACTCTCGAGCAAGGAGACGAAGTGTGTTTCATCGTCCTCGGTCCATTCTTTGCGGGCGGGATTGGTGTTATCGGAGGTTGGCTCGTCGACGAAATCTGTCTTCAGAGCTTTCTTGAGATCGTCGTAGGCAATGTAGTAAGGATAGAATTCCTTGATCATAGAAGAACGGAGATATTCACCGAACCTGTGAAACAATTGAGTCAATACGGTCAAGGCGCGGGGTGTGGAGTGGCTGGAAGCTAAGGGATTGGGGATTGGGAGTTACATACCTCATGGTGGCGATAGGGAGAAATGCGAAGAGGAGTTCGTGTTTATCCCAAGCTCATGACGGGAAAAAGAAGAAAGAGAAGAGAAAAATCAAAAAAAAAAAAATAACCCGGTGAAGGGAGGAGGGAGGCCAAATTCGGAGGGTTCTAGCTCAGACGGTCCAAGAGGTTATAATGGGGGTCCCCCGAACTCGGCTAGCCCGATGACTAGCGGGTGACGGCCCCATCCCTCCCATCGAAGTGGGTGTGCTAAGAGTAAAGGCGATACAATCCGATCTAGTTAGTTGGAGATTTGGAATATTTGACTTGGTAGGTAGCTGAAGGATAACATTGAAATGTGTTCTTTAGGTATAATCAGTTCAATATCTCCTTTCAAAGGTTATCTATTGGGGAAATATCAGAAGAACTGATTTGGTGATCTACTGGTACATCTGGTACATCTGGTAATTTTGGTAATTTTGGAAATTCTTGTATGGTACTTTTGTGTATGGTAACTTTGTCTCCCCCATACCTCCACCCCTTTGGTGACGTTAACAATTTGACCAGTCATCAGCGCACGTGGGCACCTTAGTCTCTCTCTCTCTCTCTTTAGGGTGTGTCAGGTCTTCTCTGTGTTTATTATTCTACTTTGGACGGAGTATCTGTTGCTATTTCATTATACACAATCAACAATATATATAGAAAGACTATTGCACTTTCCAATCTTAAACCATCCTTCCAATTTCCTAGTCAATGCTTATTACAGGGATATGAGTCGCCATATGCGAACAGCCGTGGACGATCGGGCCCCACCCGGGGGCATTGTGCTTATTCAAGCTAGATGCATATCACCTCGTACTATTTCATGTGTGTCTTACTTAGGTCTCTAACAAACCCAGCCACTTCGGGGAATCCAGGAGATTGGAAAATATTGCAATATTGGAAAGCATTACGATTAATCTACAATCTACTCCGTACAATATACAATAATTCCGAGACCGAATCCAATGGCATTATCCATAAAAACACCAACGCCAGAACACCCTCAGTCACAGATGACATGCAACCTAATCTATCATCACATCATGGTATCATCGCAGCCACCTAGGACATGGTCATGGCCGCCCGGCGGATACTGCGACGGGCACCCTCACCGAAGACATTCACCGATCCCTCCGTCTCTAGCGAGCGCACCACATCACCGAACTGGTTGTGGTCAAGTTTGTTGTCGCTTTGCTCGCTCACATCGCGATACAGGTCAGTCCAGCGGACCGCACCGCCACTCACTCCGCCACGTTCATCAAGGCGGGACAGCACTGCCTTCTTCAGGTCGTCGCGGAGACGACGGTCAGCAGCGCTGCTACCTTCGGTCAGAAGGCCCATGTCGATGAGACCGGTTCGGGCATCGGTGGCCGACGCCTTGATGGCGGAGCGGATGAGACGCACGGCTTCCTCAACATCGGCCACGGTGACCTCGGTGGACAGACGCATGCGAGCGTGTGCCTCGGAAAGTCGGATCATCGATTCTAGCTGTCGAGTGGTGGCAGTGATACGGCGCTCTTGGGCACGGATGTCATCACCTAGCTGGCGCATAGCCACGTAGGCATCGGTGAGTGCAGCACCGGCAGCTGGGGTGATCACAGGGTGGCAGTTGGTCTTGGCGTATGTAATGTAGGCCGTAAGGAATTCGATAGGCTAGGTAGAACTGTTAGAAATCTCTCTAATTAATCGCAACGGAAAGGTTACTTACCAGAATCTCCTGTGAGCTGGCGTTCTCGGGGTTATCCTCCAGATACATGCCAACCAAGTGCTTGGCCAGGCGACGATCTTCCGTCTCGTCGACACGGTCAAGAACCAAGTACACTAGGTCGAAACGAGAGAGCAGAGTAGGCGGCAAATCAATGTTCTGGGGGACAGCCAGTTTCGGGTTGTACCTACTGCCGATGGGGTTGGCAGAGGCCAGGATGGATGTGCGGGCGTTCAGGGTAGTGATGATACCCGCCTTAGCAATAGACACGGTCTGCTGTTCCATGACTTCGTGAAGGACGGAGCGTGTGGAATCGTTCATTTTGTCGAACTCATCAATACAGCAAACACCGCCATCGGACAGAACCAAGGCACCAGATTCAAGAACCATTTGGCGAGTCTCCGGGTCACGGGTCACGTAGGCAGTCAAACCAACAGCTGACGAACCTTTACCACTGGTGTAGACACCGCGCGGGGCGATCTTGTGAACATAACGCAGTAGTTGGGACTTGGAGGTTGAGGGGTCACCACACAGAAGAACGTTGATATCACCACGGTAGCGTGGGTTGCCTCCCTTTTGGAAGGTCTTGTTAGTGCCTCCAAACAGCTGCAGCAAGATACCCTTCTTCACGTCGTCCATCTCGTAGATGCTGGGAGCGAGGGAACGAGACAGCAGGTCGTAGATGTCAGGACGCGAGGCAGTCCGCTTAATCTTTTCTTCTTCTTCAGCCGAGACTTTGCGCGCCTGATCTGCCTCCGCCGCTTGCTCAGACATCTCCTGCTCGACCGTGGACAGGTCAATGCCCATCTTCTTACGGTCAAACTTCTGCACATGAAGAACATCGATATACGTTTTAAAGAGGGACTTCTGCGAGCGCTGGCGAGCACTGACACGCATGGGGTTGCACCGGAAGATACCAGTCACCTCCACACGGTCACCGGCCTTGCAAACATCGACTAGCTCATCATAGACACACAGAGACACCGAGTGAGGAGTCTGACCATCGGGAATATTGTCCGGGGTTTCCTGGAGCTTGATGACCTGTTTGTCGGAGAAGGAGCAACGGTTGTGAAGGAGCTGCATTGAGTTCTTCTCTTTGCAAGAGTCTCGAGGGCAGACAGTTGGCTCGGCAATTCTGCCACGATCGATGTCGACCTGTACACCATAGCTACAGGCGCTGCACCGGAAGAAAGCCTCCTTCATATCGGGGATGATGGGGGTAGCACGAATGACCAAACCCTTAATGCTGACCAGCTTGTCCATATCGGCTGGGTCGAGTTCACGCATGTTCACAGTTCGATCCAGACCGAAGGGGAGTACCTTGAATGTCATCGCCTCCACTTCACCAACCAGATCAGGCACATCGACAGTAGGAAGCACATTGTCTGAGGTTAGGATGGGTTGACCACGTCGGTCACGAGGCTGAGCAGTACGTTGGCTCTCTGACCGAAGAACGTCCATTTCCTTGAGGGCTAGATCAACCATCACATCTTTCAAAGCTTGATCCATCAGAGGGATGATTTCTTGCGGGTATGCGGAAAGTTGGTGCCACAGTTTGCGGGTCAACGGGTATGACTTCAGGTTAGCAGCATCGAGATTAAATGTGGTCACACCGAGTCGGCGCATGTTGTTACACATGGTGATGCACTCATGTCTCTCTGCTAATTCTCCCATAAGTCTGGTTTCGTCCTCGGTGGCACCGTCAGCCCACAGGCGATATTTAGTGGCGAAATTATACAAGAAGTTCTTGAATGCCGACATTGAATCTTGGATCGAGATGTTGGTACCCCAAATCACACGAGTGGAGTTTCCAGCCATAGCCTCGGCCTCAGAGGTGCCGGGATTGATATTCGAGAAAGTGGCATCGGAGCGAGGCATGGTATCACCTGTGGGCATTCCATTGGCATCAACGAACACACGGTTACGGCGGCTGGGAGTAGACCCAAAGCCACCGGAGTGCAAATCACTGCGACGAGAACCTCCCCGTCGGCCCTGGCCTCCCGGCGACACAAATAATCCGCTGCTGGCAGTGCTCAATGCATCGGAGCGGATGTCGGAACGGATATCAGACCGACCCAAGCCTCGAGTTGGGCTAGAACTAGGAATATAATGAATAGGCGAAGAGTCTGGTTGGCGGTTAGGGATCTATATTGAAAAAAAGGGTGCTGCTCTGCTAAAATAAAATTCATACCTCTCACACCGGGGTTGCCTCGCGGGGTTCTGTCGCCATCGTCTACCGTTGAGCTGGCATCGGCCATGCGCTCGTCCGGGGTCTCAGCATTGTTGTCTCCCTTGGTCGGGGATGATTGGAAAAAAATGGGGGATGAAGAGGGTGCGGCTCCCTCACCCATTAGACGTCTCGAGGCACGAGGGGTGGCTTGAAAAGTCGGGCTGCTAGGGGGCTCCTGTCGAGACGAAGAACTGGGTGATGCAGTTGAATTTTTGGAGGGGCGACCCCTCCGCCTTTGTGTTGGTGACGACATGGTGGATATGAATTAATGTGTTGATACCAGACGATGGTCAGGTGGGTTGGTGGTGGTGGTATAGGATACAAGTGAAGAAAGGGAGAGCAAAAAGCTGTGGGCGGAACGTGGTTTCTGCCACCCTGGACGCGCCTTGACGCGTTAAGTGGTTTCCTCTTTTGGACTACGTGTTTTAAGTTCAGCCACATGTAGTGCCTGATGCTGTGGCTGGTGTTTGGGTGGATCTTGGGAGATTTTTGGCAATTACATAATACACAGCCACATCTTTAACCCGTGGGCCAATCACCGCTCTTTCCCTTTTCTTTTCTTTTCCTCCCCGGCTTCAATACTACCGTTGTATGTTGGATGTAGTTATGTTGTAGGCATTCACATTCATGATGTATCAACCTGTCATAGACAAAAAAAAAGGCACTGTTCCTTGTTATAAATATAGAATATGAAACGCTGAGGCGCTAAGTTACATAAAGCAGGAATATTTGTTCTCCTTTCAGAATCTAAAGCCGCCGTGGACTTAAGTTAGCTGTTTCACCTAGCGCCTGATGTCATTGTATCCTCGATCGGCCCTCCCACGATTCCTCCAATCATCCCTGTTCTTCAACGTCTCAATTTCTTGAGACCGCTAGCTCAATCCTGGCGCCACTCACCTCATCAACTACGATATTATTGAAAGATAAAAATCGACATTATTAACTCTCTCCTCCCCCCCAGCTGATCAGGTTGCTGGTCTGCTTAAGTGGATTTCTCTTTGTGATTTTTTTTTCTCTTATCACCGAGCTCCTTCTTATTCAACCCCTCAGTCAACAGGCGATTACTTTCAACACCCATCGGTGCCTATAACAAGATCTCGTGATGCTTCTTGCGGTGACAGCTGCTTCGATACCCCTTTCAGCGTCCTAGTTTCACCATTCTCCACGGTCCAATTTCCCTCGGCAAGAGCCGAGCCGATCACCATACCATGCCTTCAGGCTTGGAGGAGGCGTTGGAACACACCGGTGGCCACGGCCGAACCGCTGAAGGGGTCTCCATCTCGACTTTTCTGGCGTCGCTGGCGACGGCCATCGTCGTCTTTGTTGTTGAATTTCTCCTCTTTCTGTTGCTAAAGGGCAAACTAAGTCGTATATAGTAAGTCCTCCACCGGGAAGGAGAGTGCGGACATTGGACTGACCGAAATCAATATCTAGTCAACCACGAACCTATTTGGTACCAGATAGAGAACGCACAAACCCATCACCGCCAGGTCTCTTCCGTTGGATTGTCCCAGTCTTTCGTACCTCCAGCTCGGAATTCATCCAAAAATGTGGGCTAGATGCATACTTCTTCCTGCGCTATCTGCGCATGCTTTTGAAGATCTTCCTTCCTATGGGCCTCGTGATTTTACCCGTTCTGCTCCCAATCAATCGTCTTGGTGGCAAGGGCCAGACATACGAACATGGTAACTCGGGCGCGAAGTATTCCGTCACTGGTTTGGATCAGTTAGCTTGGGGTAATGTAACCCCCGATCACACCAGTCGGTACTGGGCTCATCTGGTAATGGCCGTGATTGCCATTGTCTATGTTTGTGCTGTATTTTTTGATGAACTTCGGAATTACATTCGCCTGCGACAGGCCTACCTGACGTCTCCCCAGCATCGACTCCGTGCTTCTGCCACCACCGTTCTGGTAACTTCTATCCCATCTGATTGGCTCAACACAGATTCACTTGATAGGCTTTTCGACGTTTTCCCTGGAGGCGTGCGAAACATCTGGCTCAACCGCAACTTCGACGACTTGAACGAGAAAGTTAAAGCACGAAACGATCTTGCTCTCCAGCTTGAAAGTGCCGAGACGGATCTGATTGCAAAATGCAAGAAGGCACAGCTCAAAAAGGCCAAGGCGGAGGCAAAGAATGCCGGCAAGAGTCAATCAAGCGCAGAGAAAAAGGAGCAAAAGGCGGCCGACAAACGGGCCTCCCAAATGGCTATGGGTCCTGGTGTCAGCTCTGGTAATCCTCATCAGGCCCACACGGTACGAGAAATTCTCTATGGACAACCAGAAGTTCTTCAAGAGAAACGGTCGGAGGACGGACCTCGCCGAGTGTTTGACCCTGCCTTTGCCGCCGCTGGCGCAGTTGGCCAAGGAGTGGGAAAACTGGGAAAGACTGTGCTTGGAGGCTTCAAGAAGGTTGAGCAAGGCTTTGAGAAGCCCTTGTCTCGATCCGGGGGGCTTCGTTGCCAATACCGACACCATCCTCCCGCCCCGTTCTCGTTCAAATAGCCCCCCAGGTCGGGATAATTCCGCAACTACAGACACCCTCCCGCCACGTCCAAACAATCCTCCAGTCCCCGGCTCGGTTGCCTCTGACAGCCAGTCTGCTCCAACACCCGACAGGCCCGTAGGGTTGCGACGAAGTCAGCATTTAAGTTTCAATTTAGGTCAGGTCATAGGATCGGAATCAGGACAGGATGTGGGCCAGGATGACACCATGGGTTCTGACACAACGACTCCGGCGAAGCCACCATTTTGGAGACGAAAGTCGTCTCACACAAAATCGCAGGGTGTGCGTGAGACTGACGAATATCCACTGACTGCGCCTGAAACGCCTGTAACTGATGCACACCGTCATGACCTCAAGAAACCCGACAAAAGCGAAAAACCCGAACATGGTCGAAAGGAGGGGGACAAAGTGGAAGGGGAAGAATACCCCATCGCCTACAATGAAAACTTTGAAAATGAAGACTACGGAGAGCCGCTGTGGAAAGAATACATCCGACCCAAGGAACGAGATACCATGCGTCTACCCATATTTGGTTGGAGTTGGATGCCTTCTATTTGGCTTTTAGGCCAAAAGGTTGATACCATCGATTACTGTCGAAAGGAACTCGCTCGTCTGAATCTGGAGATCGAAATCGACCAACAGCACCCTGAGAAGTTCCCTTTGATGAACTCGGCCTTCATCCAGTTCAATCACCAAGTTGCCGCCCACATGGCCTGCCAAGCTGTCAGCCACCACCTTCCCAAGCAGATGGCACCCCGGGTCGTGGAAATCTCTCCTGACGATGTCATTTGGGATAATATGTCGATCAAATGGTGGGAACGATACCTGCGCTCCTTCGGCATCATCACACTAGTTTGTGCAATGGTCGTTGGATGGGCGTTCCCCGTCGCATTCACCGGACTATTGTCGCAATTGGCATATTTGGAGGGAGCATTCCCGTGGCTTGCCTGGCTTGGAAAGCTACCAGACTGGTTCATTTCAGCCATTCAGGGTATCCTTCCTGCGCTGTGTTTAGCTATCCTGATGGCACTGCTCCCTCTAATCCTTCGCTTCTTGAGCCGCACACAAGGCCTCTTCACTGGCATGTCCATCGAGCTCACCGTCCAGAACTATTACTTTGCCTTCCTCTTTGTACAGCTGTTCCTGGTCGTCACCATCGCTTCCAGTTTCTCGACAATTATTGAGAACGTCACTGATGTGACCAGTTGGCCTCAGATGCTCGCAGTGAACATCCCAAAGTCTAGTAACTACTTCTTCTCTTACATGATTCTACAAGCCATGTCTGTGAGCGCTGGTGCTCTTGTACAAATTTTCGGCCTGGTGAGCTGGTTCATCTTGGCTCCAATTCTGGACTCTACTGCCCGGAAGAAGTGGGCAAGAACGACAAACCTCAATCAGATGCAATGGGGCACATTCTTCCCTGTCTACACCACCCTAGCTTCTATCGGTATGTCGTCTCGTCTTTTTGATTGAATCTATTGACTGACATTCTCCAAGGTTTGATCTACTGTGTGATCGCACCTCTGATTTTGATTTTTAACATCATCACCTTCGGCCTGTTCTGGTTCGTCTATCGCTATAACACACTATATGTCACCAAGTTCCGCTTTGACACCGGTGGCCTTCTTTTCCCTCGAGCTATTAACCAGCTATTCACTGGAATTTACGTCATGGAAGTCTGCCTGATCGGCTTGTTCTTCTTGGTTCGGGACACGGATGACGAAGTTGCCTGTAAGGGACAGGCTATTTGTATGGTCGTGGTTCTAATATTGACGGCCGGTTACCAAATTCTTCTCAATGAAGCGTTCAGTCCACTGATCCGATATCTGCCCATCACCTTGGAAGATGAAGCTATTCGACGCGATGATGAGTTCCGACGTGCTCAGCACGCTCGCCTCGGTATCGCTCTTGACGATGACGATGACGAGGATGGTGATATTCAACACACCCTCGCTAAGCGTGAACATGAAGAGCACGACCATGGAAAGGGGATAAGAGACAACATCGAGCTGAAACCTCTGGAGACAAATTTCCCAGACCAGAAACGACAGAATTCGGATTTTTTGTCAACCCCGAAACTTGGACACAAAAGCCCATCATGGGCCTCCAATTCATCAAACCGGAAATCTAAATATTTCGGCCAGAAGTCAACACCCTCCACCCCGACACTACGGAATATGCGGGAAAAGATGGCCCAGGACACTGAGGCCCAGGGACCAGCCCCTAACACAGTTGGCCAGGCCCTCTTTGCTGGTATCCACGATGAATTAGAGGATCTTACGCCCGATGAGCGTGACCAGCTGGTGCAACGTGCCTTCCAGCACGAAGCCCTTCGCGCCAAGCGCCCTGTCATCTGGATTCCGCGTGACGATCTGGGCGTAAGTGATGACGAAGTGTACCGAACACAACGATTCAGCAAACATGTCTGGATTAGCAATGAGTACCAGGCGCTAGACGGCAAGTGTCGGACGATTTTCAGTCGCAGTCCTCCAGATTTCTCCGAGGTGGATTTGATTCAGCTGTGATACCATTTGTACATTGTTCCTTTTTAGCCATTCTATAGCATTTTCAAGCGTCGCATTCAGTCATAGACATCCAAGGTCCTTTTTTGCTTAACATCCCATTTCCATGAAATCATCCAAAATATGTCCTTTAATCCATGAACTTGCACAGGGGCAATCTGTAATCATCAACAACCCAGTAAGCCCGACGCACACCCTCCCATTCACCATCCAACTTGGGCACAGCAATATCCTCCCACTGAACATCAAATCCAGCCTCGAATAGGTCCATCTCCGCAACCTTCTGGTAGACATCATATGAGATCTGACGATCAGCACCCATACCATTAAAGAATCCCCACCGACCCTCCTGCTCCAACAACCCAATAACCAGTTCAGAGAAGAAGTCCCGGAAATCACCATAAGACTCCGCAAACGTATCGTAGTAGATAGCATCGAACGACTCCCCAGCCGCAACAAGGCCAGGAAGAATATCCTGCCAGCGACCCTGGTGGATAACAACACCGGGCTTGGTATCCCACCCGCGTCGCTTCATCTCCGTAACAACCTCCTCGTGCGCCTCGACGATGTGGTGCACAGCAGGTCCCTGTTCCTGGAAGAATCCATCCACAATTCCCATCCCGTGACCGATGTTCAGAACTCTCAGTCCGGGTGTCGGGAGCAGTGCTTTCGCGGACTTGCGCATGATATCGCTTTCCCAGGCCATCATCACGCCGTTCTGGTCTGCGTCCAGAATCCGGTCGTTCGAGATGTTCAGACGCGACTCCAGATACTGCGAGTTGGACACTTCGGGGTTGGCTGTGGTGGCTGTGGTTGTGGTTTCTGTCGCGGGCTCGGCGGAGGCATCGACGAGTTCGGGTGCTGTCTCAGCCTCAGCCTCAGTCTCAGCCTCAGCCTCAGCCTCAGCTTCCTCCTCTTCGTCGTCGTCATCGGATAGCTCTTCATATGCGTCAAGGCGGTTCAGCAGTAACTCTGCGCGGACACCTGCGTCGACGATTAACTCGTATAGCTCGAGAGCGCCGATGCGACGCGCAATACAGCCGGGTGTCTCGTTGTTTGCGTCGAGGTCGTTCCAGATAGCGCCTTCCTGCAGGAGGAACTTGACCGTCTCCACTGCTGATTTCACGGTCTCGGTGTCCACACTGGGTTTCGAGTTTGAGGTAGCTGCGCCATTGGTGCCGACGATCTCTGTGTCGGGCTCGCAGGCGGCAATTGCAGCGTGCAGAGGTGAGAAGCCGGTCTCTGTATCTTTCACGTTTGCGGCGTCTGGCAGCATGGATTGGGTGCGGAGGAGCTGGCGCAGCTTGGACTGGTCATGCTGTGATGCGGCAAGGAGGATCTCTTGCACGTCAAGGTCGATATCGACCTCGGTGAGGTGCACTGCGGTATCATCGATGACTTCGGGCATGATCTAGGTGCTGTTAGTGGGGGTTCGCGAAGATTTATTTCACCAAACAAGGCATTTAGCTGGTTTTTTTTTTTTTTTTTTTGCAACGGATACTCACGAATTAATTGTGATACTTGCTAGTTAATGCTAGTCAAGTATGTTGAACTGTTATGAGACCGAAAAGTGGTGCCCCTCCGAACCAGAAAAATCGTCTCGCCGCCTTCGTCCCCGCATAGCGAAAATATATATCAGCCTGGGAGATCTACAGCCACCATTTACAACATACCAAAAATTTACTATGTTTGAAGAAAACTTGAAAAGTAATAGAGAAGAGACCACATTCAGATGCTTGGTAATCCAGCTATTTGTACAATAATTCACATCCCTCCAGCAGCGCCATTAAGTATCAAGCGGAATGAATTTATTTGCCCTCTTCGGTGTGGGCGTTGACGTTCAAGCCCAATCCTTGGCTGTCCAGGTAGAGCTTGTTCTTGCCACCACTCTCGTGCAGGATTTGAGCAATGTGACGGGCATTTTCGATCTTCCGGAGCTCGATGTAACTCTTGCTCTTCTTGATGGCGTCACCAATAAGCTCGGCGGAGCGGGCCTCACCTTGTGCGCGGACAATGAAGGCCTGCTTCTCTTGGCGGGCCTTGTCGACCATGAATGCAGCACGCTGAGCGTCTTGCTGAGCGACCTGCTTGGCCTCAACTGCGGCTGTGAACTCGGGGGAGAAGGTCAAGTGCTGTGTGGAGATACCGTGTTAGAAGCCGTTTGAGCTAGATCTGGAGAAGGTACGTACTGTCAAGGATACATCGTCCAGAGCGATGTTGAAACGGGCAGCCCGGCGAGCCAGGTTGTCCCGCACTAGACGGGCAACGTTCTCACGCTGTGTGATCAACTGGCTAGCGTTGAACTGAGCAACAACGCTCTTCAGCACCTCGTTGACGATGGAAGGCAGAACACGCTCATCAAAGTCTTGACCAAGGGTCCGGTAGATCTGGGGGAGAGCATCCACACGGGGTCTGGATAGAACACGGCAGGTAATGTTCACCATTTGCAAGTCCTTGGTGCCGGTAAGAGAAGGGATGCTGCGAGGCTTTGCGCGGACATCGTAGATGATGGGGGTTTCGAACCAAGGAATTTGGAAGTGAGTTCCTAAAGTCATTCAAATGTCAGAGAGAGCTCTTGTCTTCGGCTAGTGAGTTTTCATACCTTCGTTGTAGATCTCCTTCTGGACACCACCCAATCGCGAGTATTTGATGGCACGGTGACCACCATCCACTAGAAACTTGTTAGAAGTTTGATTCCTTGAGTAGCCTGAGTAGAGAAGTGTAACATACCGTTAAACAGAGCATTAGAGGCGACGTAAGTGCCAATACCGGCCAGAACAAGAGTTCCGACAAGTCCCATGCCTCCTCGGCCACCACCGGCTGGGAATCCGCCACCGAAGCCGGCCTTGCGCTTCGACAGCATAACTTGCAGGCGCTCCCAAGCCTCCCGTTGATTTTGAGACATGATGTGTGGAAGTGAGCGGAAAGTATTGGAGATGGATAGAGACTAACTTGGTATGATGCTCGAGCGGATGAGGTGAGGTCGCGGGCGGTAAGAGAAAGTCGGGCAGAATCATCGTTTCTTTGCTTGCCTCGACTTCTTGCCTCTCTCTTACTCGCATTTCATTCCCTATTGCAATCATGGCACCCGATCGGACTGGGAAGAGTGTATTCCTGGGGAATATCCCCTACAGTATGTTGATGTAGCTCTCTGTCTAACCTTCGGGATTCTAATCTTTCTCTAGACCTCACTGAGGAACAAGTCAAAGATATCCTCAGCACGGCCGGTACTGTTACCAAGTTCCGGTTGATGATGAACCCGGAGACTGGCAAGCCCAAGGGTTATGGATTCGCAGACTTTGCGGACGCCGATGCCGCCGCCTCGGCGGTGCGCAACCTCAACGATCACGAAGTCATGGGCCGCAAGATCCGTGTTGATTGGCCTCACAACAACGAGAAGGATTCCGTTCCTCCAGATTACTCGCAGCAGTCGCAACCAATGATGAACCAAGATCCCACACAGCAACAACCGATTCAAGGTTCCGCGCCGCTGCCTCCTCTCCCTCCAGGCGTGGAACTCCCGCCTCAAATCGACTGCCCCAACGCCATCTCTCACACTCTCGCATCCCTCCCACCAAACCAACTGCTCGATGTTCTGACACAAATGAAATCTCTCGCGGTTGCCGACCCGGCGCGCGCCACTGAGTTGCTGCGCCAAGCGCCTCAGCTCGCCTATGCCGTCTTCCAGGCGCTACTCCTCATGAATCTGGTTGAATACCAGCTGCTTGGTTCCATCGTCGAACAGGCCGCCCAGCCTCCCCAAGTTCCTCAACAACCAACCCCTCAACAATTCCAACCGTACGGTATTCCTGGTCAGATCTCTACACCGCCTGTCACTGGAACTCCTTTCGCCCCTCCTCCTGTTCAACCTGCCGCCCCGATGCACGGCCAGGAGGAGCTCCTTCAGCAAGTCCTCAGCATGCCCCAGGCTACTATTGATGCTTTGCCTCCTGTGGAAAGAAGCCAGATCATGCTGCTACGCCAGCAATTGATGCAGGGCGGCATGCGGTAGGGTATTCTCCTCTTGATACTGCATATGGATACGGATATTTTGTGGCTTTGCTCGTCAAGAGCAAGCCTGGCTTGGCCAGTATTTTATTTTATTTTCTCCTTTTCTTATGCCACTGTACTAGGCGATTGGGTGGCGCAAAGGGGTTTTGTCTTTTTTTTTCCCATTGGTTTGCATACCGGGTCAATCTCAAGCTCTCTCTACCTTCATAATAGTGACAGAATGATATATTGATTCTCTCGGTCCTTTTATTTCTCTAATCAATATCTATCTTGCCGCCCCTTCGGAGACTACCACATGCTTTAACCCGCGGACGTTCTAGGCGCGTTTGTCAGTGCGAGAGAAACCCGTGGACCGATGGTTGTTTCACCTTCGTCAGCTTAACAAAGCTACATTGGCAAGATTTAGACTTGACACTCTAGGCACTCTCTTGCCATGGCTGGCAGACTTTTACAATGAGATTCCCTACAATAGCTGTTAACCCATCTTAACCGGCACCAATCACTTTGAAGACCAGTATAATTCGTGGTCTTAATTGCAATTCATAAGGCTGCAGAGAAGATACCAGATGCCAACATCAATATATGATTATAATAGAGGCGCGTAAGCTCATTGACATTGATTCCTATATGCAATTTGCCATAATAGCCCCATTACTATAGGCCTATAGTTTATACCATGGAAACATTCTGTGTCACCCAAGATAACAGATAGTGTTGCTTGAACCTCTTGTCTATCAATCTATATTGGATATATCTGCCATTGAAAGAATATACTACGATTTGCTTCAAAGAACCCATAATGACCGCCAATAGTCTATCCACCCGGTTCCAGTTGTATTGCCACAAGAAGCATGTTCTTGGAAGCAATATTCCACTACTTTGGCTCCAGCGTTTGATTGGGGATTGGGGTCCATTGCAAAGAGATCACCCAAGTTGTTGAACAATCTCCCATGCATGCATGCAGGTTTGCTACAGACTGAGCCTCTTGCTTGTTATTTGCTATTTGTTAGTTTGTTTGCTACAACCCAACACTGTTTAGATGGTTCTAGCAGGGTATATAAAACCCCTGCATTTCTAGTTTAATCAACAAGAGCAATTCTTCCTCTGCTTTCTCCCACACAGTAGTAATCTAAATCAATGGATTGCTCAACAGGCTATGAAGCCATCTTTCAACCCCTGAATCATTCATCAATTTCATCAAGCTGGGGTAGCTAGCCTAAGAATAGGCTTAGCTACCCCCGGCTCTACCTAAAAGCGTATTAGCTTAGGGAAAGACTACCACTTTTTTCGATCATCGAGGATACTATCCCGAGATCTACATTCATTCATTCTCTAGTGTTATTTACCTTGCAAGAGTGCGATTATAAAAATACTATTTCATGATCAAGATCGGACCGCGCAACTATCTTAAATATATCGTTAACTACCAATTCGGGATAGTAGCTAGAGCCAAAGCTAGAGCCAGAGCGAGTTACCAATACTAGCGCCAATGCCAATACTAATGCTAGTTCTAGTTCTATACGAATAACGATAAAGTTTTGTACGCCAGATACCGATGCTTTAAGAGGAATTGGTTAGAAAGAAACCCATGGAAAACGACACCGATTTGATGCTCAATCTTGGGGGGGATGTGTTGAACAATCAATCTCCCATGCAGGCATGCATGTTTGCTATAACTGAGCAATGTTTAGATGGTTTTAGCAGGGTATATAACCCCCTGCATTTTTAGTTTAATCAATTAATAATTCTTCCTCTGCTCTCCCCCCACATAGTAGTAATCTAGTTCAACAGGTTGCTTGCTCAACACAAGTATTGATATCGTAGTCCCGGAACGGGTGTACTCCTCGGTGTGGGCGCAGTTGAGCGCCCCAGAGTATACACACTTGGTTACCGCCGGCAGCAGTATATCCCAGCGCAGGTGTACGTCTCAGCGCAGGTCATCGTCGTCACATGCTGTCGCGCCGAATCGGGCGGGAGTGAATGGGGTGGGAATAGGCGACTGTCGCATTGTGTGCCTACCTATTCCGACGAGACGAGACGAGACGATGTCATCGTGCCCCGACGAGACGAGACACGATGTCATCGTTGCCTGGCCAGCACGCATATAGGCCTGTCACGTCCCCTTCTGTTGTTCTTCTCTTTTTTTCCCCTCCCACCTTTCACAACAATCACCGCTCTTCCATTGAATTGCATGCTTCTTGCTTCTTTGCTTCGTGCTTTCAAGCGGTGACTAGGTCATCTGCACACTGTTTCTACCTCGGTTTCCGAGGTTTTTTCGGCGTGTTCCCCTTCTTTGACTGGATCTCCAGTATCATCTAAACTCCGACCACCTTATCTTCTCTCCCCCTCCACCAACGCAGGTCATGGCGTCAAAGGGGGTTACTCAGCAGCAGTCGGCGGTTGGTTTGGCAACGGATGATCAGGAGCCTAGGGCCCGGGCCGATGAGATTCCTGAGCTGCGGCGGGGATTCCCGATCCCTCGGGGTCGGTATCTAGCCAGTGACCTCCCGCCTCTGCATACGCTGACAGAAATTTTCGCTGACATGGCATCGAACGCCCTGAAAATGGGATTCGAGCATGTCCTCAGACGGCTCGGCAGTCGACCACTTCGGGTGGCGACAATGTGTTCAGGAACGGAAGCCCCGCTTCTAGCCCTGGAATTGATTCAGACGGGTAAGTACAGTGCAGTGTTGTCTTTATTTTTGTCTCATGTCTTCTCTCCATTTGTTTGTTTGTTGCTTCGATGTTCAAGGTGCTTGTGGGTGGTTCCACGGTTGAGGTCACCTCAGTCGCGCGTTCAAGTCACATGTCTCCTCCCTTGCCCTAATTTCCTTACCTTGACTTGACTTTGGCTTCAGTCTGGTATTGATATCTCATTTGTTTCATATTCACCTGATTCTCACCTTTCTCTCTGATATCTCTCACTTTTTGCTTGGTTCCCACCCGGAAAGTGATCATGGAGCAATTGCTAATATTACCTCGACAGGTTTGGCAGAGGCCCAGCAACTACGGGTCTCGCACGCTTTCAGCTGCGAGATAGTTCCGTTCAAGCAATCATACATTGAACGGAACTTCCGCCCCCCTATCCTCTTTCGGGACATCACCGAACTTGGAGGGGACGTGGCGTAAGTACCTCTTCACCATCATCTGACTTGATTCTCATACTGACTATGACTTTACAGGCGGACCGCCTACGGGTCATCGGAAGTGATTCCCGGTGACCTCGACATCTTAGTTGCTGGAACTGCCTGTGTCGATTTCTCTCCGTTGAACAACCGCAAGAAGACGCTGCAGGAAGGCGGCGAGTCGGGAGCGACGTTCGACGGTCTCTTGCGGTACGCGGAGAGATATCGGCCCCGAATGGTCATCCAGGAGAATGTCCGGAATGCTCCCTGGGATCAGATGAAGGGAAAGTGGGAGGAGCTCGGATACATGTCGGTTTGTGTCAATGTCGACACAAAGCATTACTACATCCCGCAGACACGCGAGCGCGGGTACATGGTGGTCATTGACAAGCGCCGCTTGGAAGCAGCGGGCCTGCTTGGAGGCCCCATGGACCAGAGTGGCATTGAAAATGTCACTCAACGCGTTTGTGAGCTCGCTGGTCAATTCAAACGGCCAGCGAGTGCGCCGGTGGGGTTGTTCTTGCTGAGTGATGACGACCGCCGACTCGAGCTCATCGAGATGAGAGCCCGCCTTGAGTCCAGAAGCGAAACGAGCTGGGACCAGTACCAGATTCGTCACGAGCGGCACCGTGGCGAACTGGAACTAGGCATCGAGAGGCCAATCACTCGATCCCTGCCCGGAGTCAACGATCTGAAGGCACCGGAATTCTACTGGCACCGTTTCTGGAAAACGCAGCCGGAGAGAGTGTGGGAGACTGCAGATATGAATTTCTTGAAGAAGATGTTGCAGGACTACGACATGAACTTCAAGGAGTAAGTTTTTCAATCTTCTCTCACTTCAGTTTCACTTTCACTTCAGGAATATTTTACTAACAGTTCACTTCACAGGCGTTGGATCGACTTGTCTCAGGGAGTCGATCGAGGGAACGACAGTCTTGCCGGGTCCGGGATCGCGGGGTGCCTGACGCCGAAGGGCATCCCATTTGTGACCACCCGGGGGGGGGCCCGTATCTGGCACGGAAGCCCTCTCGTTGCAAGGTCTTCCTCTCGATCGAATGCTACTCACGAGAGAAACCCAAGCCGATTTGATGGACATGGCAGGAAATGCAATGACGAGTACAGTCGTGTGTGCAATCATGCTGGCTGGTCTGATAGCCGTGCATGAGATTCTTGACGATGATGAGGGGGGTTCAACCAACCCCGGCGACGCGGAGGCCAAGTCCCTTCTCGTCCCTAGCGAGGTCCACAGCCTTGTGAGAAGCAACTTCCAAATCGCCGAAGCCCCCCTTGTCGACCATTCTGTTCTCAACGCCAAGGCAGCGAGCAGCGTTCTGTGTTGTTCCTGCGAGAGACAGACTGGGGTTCAAGATTCAATCTTCAGTTGCACACTGTGCGGACATACCGCTTGCAAATCCTGCCGTGGAAATCCCACGCATTCGTATCTGCGTGTTTCCCCACTTTCTCGACAAAAGCCGTCTGAGTTTATAGCGAATTTGAAGGGACTTGTTCCCATGAAGCTTATGCTGTCTGGTTTGTCCGAGTTGGACTTCGAGACTTTTAGAACCCTTTACCCTACCGACAACCTCCCCCAGTTTTGGCCCGACTTTATTCTGTGCGTGAAGGCAGCTGTGACCGACGTCTTCCGGTTTTACGAGATCAAGCGCGGAAGAAAATGGCGAGTCGTTTATGATGGCACGCACTCCAGCTTGTTCCTTGACATCGGTCCGGACTCCATCCAATGGCTTTTGTACGCAAAGCCCCCCCAAGTCCGCGAGCACAAGAAGCGTCATCCGACAAGTGCTAGCCAAGCCAATCGCCAGAATGAGTCCCACCTCTGGGTCGTTTGTCGGGGGTACATGGGAAGTTTGTTCACCCGTTAGCACCCCATTCTCACTTCATATTTCTGGCCGAGGAAGCCGAGTCCGCTCATTCCAATCCGAGTGCGGTCTCCAAGCTGCCAGATTTGTTGATTCGAAAGTTTGGGACAGTATTCTCGTTGAAGGATCCAGTCAAGATGTCGCAGTTCTTGATCACGACGTCCGAGGAACCTACGAATTCCTCCCTGACTGTGGAACAGCGCTTGGTGCATTGTACAGAAAACAAGCCACCGCCCATGCGCCCCCAATGTTCTTATTCCTTGACCCAACGAAGACTGGACCCCCTGATGAAGATGCCTGTGTGTTTGCTCTTGACCACAGCCGCCTTCCTGGATACGACGTGAGAATGACGATCGCCGAGTTATCACCAGCTTGGAGATCATTGGATGTCACCCTGGATTCGAAAGATGTAACAGCGTTCTGCCGTCGATGGGCCGAGGCCCCCAAAGCGCAGTTGAACCATTGTCCTGCCGAGCAGATCATCCTCCGCACATTGCAACCAGGAACCCAAGTCTCGTTTGAAAACCAGCACTGTCATAATGCTTGTATTACCCTTACCTCATTGTCAGCAACTGCAGCGATTCTCAACCTACCTCACGCAAATTCCGACTGGCAAGCCTGGAATCCCGATGTCTCCATGAGAGAATTGAAAGGTCTCGCCTGGTTGTTCCCAAAGATTGCCGCGTGGTCCGAATTTGAAGACTGGAACGAAATCATCCGTCTGGACTGTGCAGAGTCAAATGGCAATTGCAACACCTGCAACCCACCCACCCCAAGTATCCTCTGGGGTCGCGACAACAAAGGCCGAATCATCCCATATGAGAATCCCCAGGACGCTGCCGTCTACGAGCGTGCTATCAAAAACCGACCCTCGCCATTCTTGGTCTTCAGACGAATCAACGAACATGGAGACGCTGAATTGCGTTTCACCCTCAATGTTCAAGCTCTGACACACCAGGCACATGGAAAATTGGTTGGCACCGCAAGCCGCGAGACAGTCACATCTCGCTGGCGACTTATTCCTCATGCGTACGACATGGCTCAAAAAACCCCTGATATGAGTCAAGCCACCCCTGACAGGTTTACTTTGAAGGGCAACGAGAACTGCAGTCCTTCGCCACAACCTCCCAACTTCAAATTTCAACTGCGTGAGGAACAGCTTCAATCATTGAGCTGGATGATTTCACAAGAAGCAGAAAACATGGAACCATTCATGGAAGAGGAAGTTGAAGAATCCATCCTCCCCTTGATGCCCTGGCGCGCTGAAGCCAAAGCGACAATGCCAAAAGCTGTTCGCGGTGGCGTGCTAGCTGACGAGGTTGGATATGGCAAGACAGCCATCATTCTTGGTCTCATCGACGCGCAGTATGAAAGCGACACCAAACCCCAAGAGGACGACGGGCTGATCCCAACAAAAGCAACCTTGATCATCGTACCCAACAACGTTCTCAGGCAGTGGGTTTCGGAGATCAAGAAGTTCCTCGCAGGGAAATACAAAGTTTTGGTGATAAATTCATTCAACAACCCCACCATCCGGGATGTCGAAGATGCAGATATCGTGATTTTGTCATGGACTACATTGGCAAGCGATGGGTACTGCAGCCGACTTCAACGATTTACCGGAACACCCCGGGCTCCCGCAAAATCGAGCGGAGGAACAGGTCGAAATTTCGATAGCTGGTTCCACGACGCTCGTGCTTCCTTGCGGGAGTCCGTTGACATATTGAGAACAGAAGGGCCTGAGGCGATGCTCCAGCAATTGGAGGCCAGACGTCGCCGAGTTCAAGAGACACAGGCCGACTTCACCTACGTGCCCTCTCGACGCCTCCGTGGCCAGGCATTCGCTGATGCTAATAATGGTCGTGACGAGTCTAATGCAGAAGCACAAGCCGGAGATGGTTTGAACTCCGAGGCTGACGCCGGGTTGAATGGATCTGGTGCATCTGGTGTTGGACACTCGACCGGAACAGCGAGTTCTGTGGGCCAGCGGAAGCGGAGGCACAGTAGCAAGCCAGTGGAAGGTCCAGACGGAAAGCGACAAAAAAGCGAGTCGACAGACCCGGCAGGAGTGACCGATGACAAAGAGGAACGTCCAGCCGGAACGCGACAAAAGCGCGAGTCGACAGACCCGGCGGGAGTGACCGATGACAAACAGGAACGTCCAGCCGGAAAGCGACAAAAACGCAAATCGACAGACCCGGCAGAAGTGACCGATGACAAACAGGAACGTGAAGACAGACCAACAGCCGTGACGGATGACCGCAAGGAGTTTGGTATCAAAAAGAACTCCCAGCAACAATGGCGCGACATCAAAGCCGGATTCCTTCACGCTTTCAAGTTCAACCGTTTGGTTATCGACGAATACACATACGCCGGAGAAGAAAGACATACATCCCTGGTCTCATTGCAGGCACGCTCCAAATGGATCCTTTCTGGGACGCCAGGTCTTGATGAATTTGCCGACATCAAGAGTATTGCGCGTTACCTTGGTGTACATCTTGGTGTGGATGACGATGGCGATTGCGACAAGCCGACGCAGAACCAAAGACTACGAGATATCCGGAAGAGTCACACAGCAGTCGAGGCATTCCAATATTACCAGGCACCCCACAGCAATGCCTGGTACCGAAATCGCCGAGAACATGCCCAAAGATTCCTGGACCGGTTTGCGCGTCAGAACTTCGCACGTATCGCACACATTCCAGTGATACCACACATTGTCATCACCGAACAGTCGCCCGACGAAAAGACAGCGTACGATACGTTGTTCCGAGCCGTCAAAGAAAACAAGAGACGAATCCCTGGTCCCCTGAACACCATTTTATCCAAGAGCCAGTTCCCCCAGGAGGCTCTCATCATGTCCTGCGTCACAAGTCAAATCGGACAGCCTCAATGGAACCTCGACAAATGCCTCAAAGGCTCGGTGAACGACAAAAAGAAATCTGACGAGATGTGGGCTAAAGTGGAATCGATCACTCGACAGGCAGCGACTGTTTGGTATAGCCATCTGAAGAATACCAATCCCAAAGACTGGCAGGACGCCCTGAATGGCGTTGCCAAGGTTGATTTCGGGGACCTGGAACTCAACCAAAGATTCAACGATCTCTTAAAGACAATCGTCGAGACATTCACCGAGTGGGTATTCGTTTACGAACACCGTCCAATCGGCGATTTGCTCCAGGCGCGACGCCAAAAGGCACAGAACGCGAAGAATGGCAACACAGCCACTGGAGAATCGGTTTGGACTGCTGTCGAAAAAGCATTGTCCGCTGAAGCCACCTCTCTCTTGAAGCAACTCCTCGACATTGATCGCGAATACCGATTCTACACACATCTGGCGACGATCCAAACCGTTGGGATCCCACCATGCGAAAACTGCAAGATCAATTTGCACGAAAAAGAAGATGTCAACGTTCTCAAAACCTGCGGTCACCTCCTCTGCACAGTTTGTCTTCACACCGCGAGCAACCAATCACGCAAACCCTGCCCCGTTTTTGGATGCAGCGCCCACATTGTCCAATCCAAGATTGTGCCCGGTGAAACCCTCGTCGGCGAAGACCAAACAATCCCGAGTACCAAGCTCAACAAGCTTGTTGAAATCATCCGCAGTGTCCCAGAGGACGAACTTGTTATCATCTTCGTGCAAGCCAGCCATCTGTTGCCCGTTGCATCGAATGCGCTCGACGCAGCCGACATCGACCACCGCATGGTCACAGCCAACAACTTGAAGGGAATCGGCGATTTCACTGATCCGCCCAAACCAAAGAAGGGTGAAACCGAAGCACCTTCTAGACCAAAGGCTTTGATCTTGAATCTCGGAAACTCCATGGCAGCTGGACTGTAAGTTGTCGCCCTTTCTGCTATTTTCTGTCATTCTTTGTTTGCAAGATTACTAATCCGATTTAGGAACCTTCAATGCGCAAACCACGTCATCTTCCTGTGCCCCTATTTCGCCTCCTCTGAGCACGAATACCAAGCCGGCATGACCCAGGCAATTGGACGTGCTCGGCGCTTCGGACAAAAGCGCGCAGTCCATACTTATCATATGCTGGTGAAAAACACATACGAAGTCAACATCTTCCAACAAGCTCAGTCAGGCAAACTCGTTGAGCGCCAAGGTGTTCCTGTGTTAGTCCCAGAGGGACAGGTATTGCCAGAGGACGTGGCAATGGAAGGGGAGGAGCTGCCAGAGTAGGCCCGGGTCGGGCCTACTGGAAGGGCGGCGGGCAGGTGCAGGCACCTGCCCGTCGCCCTTTTTTTCGCTATATATTTAAATTCGCCGGTCGACATGGATGACACGGATGAATAAATTCATGTATGATTCATGTACAACAACCAACCTCAACCAACCTCAGAAACTTACTTAGTTACTTAGTAACTTAGTACACAGACTTAGTAACTATGTTGTAGTTACACGGTGTCATCTGTGATCTACCCATCTTTTCTCTTATTGTAGGCCCCAATGTATTCTACCAAGTTCACTGCATACACATAGTAAATGCACAGCGCATATACAACATGGCTTCATGACCGATCTTCCCCGTGCTTCCGTTGTATGTTGTATGTATTATGCTTATGCCACCATTTAAGTTCCTTCTCAAGGTTATCAAGTTCATTATCATCATCATCAAGTCCCGTGTCCCGTAATCACGATACTGGTAGAACCACCTGGGCATGATAAGAACAATGACGATGAGGAAAGTTGAAGATCCCCATCCCTTGTCAAAACCCAAAGCCGATTTTGCTGCCTCTTTTTCGGCATTCTCCACACACGTACAACATAGTTACCGAAGTATCTAAACATCAATTTCGGGTTCTATGATATCTAGAACTACTCCGTACCGGTCATGAGACTCCATCCCTAGACAGGCAGCAATATTCAGGTTTGATAACTCATTTCATCAAAAGTTCTCCACGGAAAAGCATGTACAACATAGAAAGGGTTTCAGATTTCGATCTCCATGGGACGAACACGCTAAATACACTAAATCGTGAACTAAGTGTTTCAGACTAAAACACCCAACTAGTCCTCTTTTGGTCAATCAAGGGTTCAAATGAAGTGTCAAACTACATTGTAGAAAATTGTTGCCTCTGAACAACTTGTTTTAGAGATCTCAGAGACTGGAAGTTTTTCTGATCCTGGCAGGTATTTCACGTCCTGCGCAAATGAACTATGTATGTTGTAACTAGTTCCTTGTCTCATAGTTGTAAATGAATATTGTTACCCCTTTAGTATATATAGGAGTAACCTACAACATAGGGCTGGCTGCTGCCACGGGGTGAGATCCTCACATGTGGTGGAGTATGTTTCTTGAGACAGGGGAGTCTTGGCTGTCATCTCGTTGCAGTGGAGAGGAGGAAACGCGGCTGATGTGGGGTGACTACAGGATACAACAATACAGGCGACATGTAGGTATCTGTTTTGATTTCTTGTATGAGCCGCAATGTTCGTGCCAGACGTGCCCATAACACGTTCTATGGAGTACAACATAATTTCTTGATAGCAGACACGACTCAATCATGGCCTTCTTACGGTATCTAACTATGTTATATTGACATGATCGGCACTCCGACAGTGAAACACGGGGTGAAAAATCTACAGAAGGATTAACGAAACATAATGAAACGGCTAGAGCTATGTTTGTATGTCTGTGACCGTTTTAAGTGATCTACTATGTTGTACTTTATAAAAGGTCGAGGTCGGGGCGCTCTGTTGATAGATCATCCTCTCCTTAACAGACGTCTTTCTTTCTACCTCCTATACTCTCTTTATAACTAAGCCCTGGTGGCCGTCATTCATTATCTTTTAGTCAATCGTTTACCAAACCAGACTTCTATTCTTCTATTTGTATAACCAAATCTCTTTCATCTAATCATCAACATGCGTTTCTTCCAAACCCTTGTCGCCCTCCCTCTCATCGCAGGCGCCGTCGCCAGCCCTCTGGAGACACGAGCTACCCTTGAAAACTGCTCTGATGAGAGAGCCGAAATGATCGACAACGCACTCGCTCGCGCCGCAAAGATGGCCCACGCCGGTGCCAACCTCATCCGCAGCGAGTCAGAGTACTCCAACAACCTCTTCCAGAGCTTCTTCAAGACCAGCGATGCGCAGGCTCGCAACCGCGTCGCCGGTGTCTTGGACAAGATCGCCACGGAGGCCACGGACGGGAGCAAGGGTGTCGTGAGCTACTATTGCACTCCGGATGGCATCAAATGCATTGACAACCACTCTTTCACCATGACTGCTTATGGCGAGACGGATGGAACTTACGGGAGAATCAGGACTTGCCCTGCGTACTTCACCAAGTTCCCTGCCTCGTCGGACGGCTGTGGTGTTCTGGATCAGGCTACCTCTAGCTTGCACGAGATGGCTCATACCAAGGGCATCTTTGGTCCTGAGACTTACGGTTATGAGGAAGTGCACGGGTTGAGCTCTTCTGCCGCTCTTGAGAATGCTGAGAGCTATGCTTTCTTCTCCAAGTGTAAGTTTCTCCATTGTTCACATGGAAATGGTATATCGCTAACGTTGTTGCTAAGCTGCTTTCCTCGACTGCGCTGTCACCAACTAAGCAGATTTCTTTGGGGAGAACAATTGTGTCATAGAGCGCTTGTTAAGGCGAACCCAGGAGTAGAGTCGAGATTGCATTTTGTTATTGTTAGGAGAGGTCGGAGTGGAGGTCGGAGTGCATGGTGCAATGTGGGGTTGATTGATGGTTAAAGAAGCTAAGCTACAGAAGCTAAGAAAGTGATTAAGAAATCTGACACACCTCACGAACATGGAACCATCGACTTGTGTGCGTGTGTACCCCGACGAAGAAGCAAATCTAGTTGTTGAAGAGGTTGTTGTAGTGTACAACGGGGTTTCCAAGAAGAGTATTGGTTGTAGTGGGCTTGTTGGTGGTAGTGGAAGTTGAAGCCGAGTATTGACCGCATGCGTTAACTGACTTGAGTTAGCGGGGTTCCGGAAGCCGAGAGCGCATTTGAGTGCTGAAGACCACGGTGCGAAGTTAGATTGGTCGGTAAGGGTAGGGACGAGCTCTAAGAGCTTTGGCTCTGCGAAGCTGATTGCTGAAGATATTTTGACGAATAGGGTACGTCGAATAGAGAGACACGTATTGCTGTACGTCATAGGCGAGGCAACTGTGATTGTATAGGATGAAGAATCTGTGCAATGGATATGTTGAGATCATTTGTATGTGTTTGTAGGGTGGTCGGGTCGGTGATGTTGATAACGGCGTCGATGGAGGGGTCGATGGAGGGGTCGATGATAAGGCCGATGATGATGAAAATAAGCTGAATAGAGCATCCAGGGGCTCATGACCTGTGAAGAGAGGTCTTGTGGACGTCGAAGTGTGTGGTGCAATGTGAGGTTGAGAGTTGGTTAAAGAAGGAAGTTAAGCTACAGAAGCTAAGAAGGAGACTGAGAAATCTGACAGTTACCCTTAGCGGCCAGCTCTCGTTTATTTCGTCACAACGTACAGATCTATCGATCTCGCTTCAGCCCAATCTCTCTATGAGGACTGCATACACACTTTGTATAACTAACTACCATAACATCTATACTAGGAATTCCGTAACTGCCCAAAGGAGCTAAAGACCTGAGGCCTCTCGGCATGGTATACAAGGGCTCTTGTAGCTTCATTTTCTTCATTTTCTCTTCTCTTTCTTATTGGATGCAGATATTGCTTTTATACAGCGGAGTAATACGTTGAGGTAGTATCCATCGATATATTGGTACTATGTTACTGTTATTGCCTTAGGCCTTCAATTTATGCCTCAGGCATCAACCCCTCACTAGTGGGCTGGTCCCAACTCTCTCCCTCCACACTTTCTGGCATACGTACACCTTGTAGATGCCACAGCAACTTACCTATACCCACTATTGGACACTTTGAAACAATACTTATACCCAGGGGAAACAATGGAACTTTGGTTTTTACTCGGCTATGTTGAAACTCGGGACCGGTTTTGACTTAATGAGGGAGGTTGAGATGCGTATGTACATAGTTATGTAGTCCTAAAGAAACTTAGAGCCTAACATACATATACCGCTACGGCGACTATCGGCTTCTTATCTTATGCACTAACTGGCGAGTGGTTAAATATATTATACAATCACACAGGTGCACCCGTGAACAGCCCTGGGGGTTACCTACATGGCGGCCTGAGTTGACACGGGATGGAGCGCCTGCTGTGAAACATTTGCATGAACTAGTTGGGCAGGTAAGTAAACACGAATAGCGTAGAGCTTAGGCAGGTAGCCCTAACTCAGCCAGTCAGCAGAGAATGTCCAAGTGGATATCTCATACCATGCATGAGTTTCCGCATATAACCAGTAGAAACGAGTACTATCCTGCATAGTGTACCCAGGTATCTACAAGCTCAACATCCAGTATAAGAAAAGGAGGAAATGAAAAAAAAATCTGCGATTGGTCCTGCCGATATCCCACAGCGACTGGGCCAGATCTGCAACCGGGCTCACGCCAAGTAAGAGCTAGGAACAAACGTACTGTACATGGTATGTTGTAGACAGACAAAAAAATAGGACGCCTCAAGAGTGGTTATCATTCAAGGCGCCTTAGGGCGAAGGGCGCAGTGGCCTCTAATCATTCCTAGGCTTGACCGCAGTGCCCCAAGGCGGCTTTTGCTCGTCCATTCGAAAAAAAAACACAACCATTATAATATCCTCCCCATCCGGAATTGACCCACGGCAATGAAGAGCTCCTTTTAATAATCATTCCTTCTTTTTGCTCTTCTATTGCTTGGGTGCGGCGTCCAATGCATTGTCCTGGCGCATCATAGTCTCCGGGTTCCACACTACCTCAGTCAGGTTGGTCAGGCCGGCGCTGTTCTCGCAGGTATCGCGCCCGCTCAGCGGGCCGGGGGCGGGAATCTTGGTGCCGGCACCGGCACCGGTAGCAGTGGCGGAGTCCTTGAGGGCAGTCAGGATGGTCTTGATGGACTCCGGGGTCAGGTCCTCGTAGTAGTCATCGTTAATCTGAACCATCGGGGCGTTGACACAAGCGCCCAGGCATTCGACTTCGATGTATGTGAAGAGGCCATCCTCGGTGGTGTGGCCGGGAGTGATTCCGAGGTGTTCGGTAATGGCCTGGACAATGGCGGTACTACCGCAGCCGCCGAGCTGGCATGGGGTCTGGATGATTCAGAATTAGGAAGAACAGGAAATAGGTTTGTTTTCAGGTGCTTACCGTGGTGCAGATCTGCACGAAGTACTTGCCAACCGGCTCGCGGTTGTACATGGTGTAGAAGGTCGCAACCTCGTAAACGCGCATTGGGGGCATCTCGAGCATGCGAGCGACCTCGTTCATGACGCTGATGCTGGTGAAGCCGTGCTGGCGCTGACCAAGGTCAAGCAGGGGCATGACAGCAGCCTTCTTGTACTGGGGAGGGTAGCGCTTGAGGATCTCATCGGCGAGTGTGAGGTTCTGCTCGGAAAACTTGAACGGGAGGGTCGGGTTGTTGTTGGGCTTGTTGCGGTGCTATTGGAGACAATCACAGTCAGTATATGGATCTTTGATTCTCCAATCCTGAGACGTAATTGGCGCTTAAAGCACAGGAGGGGTCGAAAGGAATACGCACCACCGAAAGGGAGTCGCTGAACCGTTGCGAGCCGGCGGAGAAGGCTCTGTATTGGGGTTTGGGGAGCTGGTGAATCAACTGGCGGCCGACCCGCGGGACTGAGAAGAGTTTAGAGGCCATCGCGGGCAATGAGTGAGGGTCAATTGGGGGGAGATGAGGTTGGAGGTTGGAGGAGAAGTCAAGTTGACGAGGCGTTTTACTTGGGGCGGGCCCTGGGCAAATCAGCGTCCAGGGATTACTACCGCCTTACCAATCCGTTGCCATACAGTTGACCCTTCAATGGAATCAACATAACATTCATTTTTGGACACAATCATACTCTCAATTTGTTTTATCGAGACTGGAGATTCTTCGAAATATAGATTGGAAAACTGACAACTGCAGAAAATGATGACTACCGTCCCAATCGCATCAATTTATTGTGCCGCATCCCATCAACCACATCTTCAGTCGACCGACTAAACGTTCTCCATCTTATAAACCTCATAAGCAACCTCCTCATACGGATGCGCCGAGATCAAAGCATCAACTGCATTCAGCATAATGCCCCGGCCAAGGCACATAATCTCAACCCTGACCTCCTCGCACCGTTCCAAAGCCCCGACAGCTCCGACCGCCGGGTCTGCGCCCTCGTTGGGCAGAAACTGGCCCGTGCCAACAGTCTGGAAACAACATTTGGTATATTTACCACCTGGGAATGAACCTGCCCCTGTGGCGAAGATGGCTTCTTTACAGGGCTCCACGTTGGCGGTCGGGACGAAGAAGACAAGTTTGTAGCGGTCTGGAGTGGAGGTGGACATTTTGTGCTTTGAGTGGATGTAGCTCTGTCTGCGGTTTTGTTCGGAGAGATTAAGTAGCCCTGCGCTTTGCTGGGGGTTTGTTCTTGGGTTGATGGCTGCGAAACACGATGCTAGACGCAGGGGATAGGGTTTCTGGGATCGTAGCCGGGTCAGGAAAGTCGACCTCGTAAGGCTTCGGGTACCACAAAGGATGATTTGGAGCATCAAACACTGTGTTATGTAGCAGGGCTGACTGTTAGACATTGGTGCACAAAGTGAGGAGTCGTCTAGACATGGGTCTGACGTGAAGCCTGATTTACAAGGCATCAATGATATCAACTATGTTAATCCACCTCGGAGATTTAGTTATTGGCTATGCCTTGGTGGAAGGCCTTCGAAAAGGATGGCTGAGCTACTTTCCGCAGCACAGCTACCTTGAAGATTTTCTCGTGTCCAGAAGATGGCCTGGAATATTATTCAAATCGAAATTGTTTAAGTGAAAATCCCTCGGTCAAATCTGGCTTCTACGCAGTAGTTGTGATGTTGGACTTGACTAAACCCCCAAACACCAGATTGTTTTCTTTTCAAGAAATTTCCATGCCCATAGATACATATCTATATAAAGCCCTGGATAAGAATACCGTTATTGACTAGACAGATATACTCTTAGTCCCGTAACCCTATGGCTACAGGAATGGACTGATTACGATCAGCATCTGTCAATCCCATTCGGCGTTGGGCTTCGAGTTCTTGCTTCAGTTGGATAAAGCGCCTGTAGAGTCATACAAAACTAGTTAGACTGCAACAGGTTAATTGGACATTGATTGATTGATTGATATCTAACGAAGAAAGCCATGATTTTTACCGCCTATACCATAGCTACAGCATCAACCATAGAATGAGGCGGAAAATATCTGAACAAGAAAGACTGCGAGAAAGGACTGTTAAAACTTAACTTGTTATGTTCCTGGTATATATACTTTGGTTGAAAAATAGTATACAAAAAAAATGTTGAAACATAGGGTATCAGATGCACTGCCCACGCCCACCATAACCACAACCACAACTCCAGCAGAAACCAATACATACACCACCAATTAGAATCTACAGAGAAATAGTGTGCATGCGTGTATACTCGTTGACATGTTCCTCAATACTCGCCAGCATCTCAGCCTTGCGCGAATCATCAATCCAGCTCTCCTGGACACTATTCTCCGCAATAACCCTCCACTCCAACACATTCAGGTTAAAAGCCTCCTGCACAGCGCAGTAGTTATCAAGAATATAACCACCGAAATAAGCAGGATCATCACTGTTAATGGAGAACTTGACCCCAGCCTCCAAGAACCGCCGAATAGGCACCTCCTTCACAGAGGTAACACAGCGCAACCGCACATTCGACAACGGACACACAGTAAGCAGGATATTCTCACGCGCAACACGCTTCATCAACTCCTCATCCTCAACCAGTCGAATACCATGATCGATACGCCGGGCACCAAGCTCAAGCGCAGTACTGATATAAGTCGGATCACCTTCTTCGCCGGCATGCGCCGTGAGCGGGATATTCTTCTGCCCGGCTGACGCATAGATCTCACGGAACATGTCCTTCGGCGGTCCGACTTCTGAAGAAGACCAGCCGAGTCCGTGCACAACCCCAGACTCGAAGTGCTCGTGAGCCACGAACTCCTCATAGACTTCCTTGGCCGATGCGACGGGGAGATGTCGCACGAAACACAGGATTAGCCGTGTGCTCAGGCCGAGCTCGGCCTCGGCGCGCTTGCACCCCTTCGAGAACCCTGTGACGATCGTGTCGTATGGTACACCGCGGCTTTCGTGGACTTGCGGGTCGAAGAAGACTTCGGCGTGGTGGACGCCGTCCGCGTGCGCCTTTTGGAAGTATGCCCAGGCTAAGTCGGCGAAGTCTTCTTCTTTGCGGAGGACGGCCATGCCTTCGAAGTAGAAGTGCAGGAAGTCGTCCAGATTGCTGAAGTGCTCATACCGTTTCTTGAGTGTCTCGACTGAGGTATAGACTGGGTCGGTCGGTAAGGTAATACCATTGCGCGCCGCGAGCTCGAAGATGAGTTCTGGTTCCAGGGTGCCCTCAAGATGGACGTGGTGTTCGCATTTAGGGAGGCCCTTGAGGAAGTCGTGTAGAGGAGATTGACACATTTTTGCGGATTGTAGTGAGGAACTTCTTTTGGATGTGAGGATTTTCAATGTTCTATATCAATGCGGGATAAGCCCGGACGAGTTCTCCTTTTTCCCCCGCTGGCGTCTTGGGGTTATCGTGACTCTTCTTTTTCGTGACACAGTCTAGTTACTATGTAGTATCACCTTTTGAATCCCAAAATTGGTCTCATTCATAAGACTTTCTCCCCGGAGGTCTCCGAATTCCGTGTCAAATGATGATAAACAGGGTTTACTAAACGGCTAAGTCCAAGAGACTCCAATCATAGCTCTATAAACTGCATGCACATAAAATGTTGACCACACACAATATTGTATGCTAAAATATGTTTTAATCTAATATTGATACTTTTAAACGTCTATCTAAACCCCCGAAACCCCTCCGGACTGGAATAAAAGAGAATATATATACCCCATTTTCAAGGCTAAACGCGCATTTCAGCACCAGCGGCCTTTCGTAGCCGGTTCATGACAGCCGCAGCCAGGTCACCCTCACGATCTGACACACCTTCCACGTAGATAACATCGACATCAAGTTCATCTAGCCCGCGTAGGGCAGCAAAGAGACCATGTGCGATAGAAACCGCATCTGAGCCAAGATGGTAATCATATGCCATCTTTGTGCGGCTACTCGTATTTCCATTCTCCAGCACGGGGATCGGGAACCCGATAATATTCTCAATGGGAGAAGACACAGGGCTCATGATATTGGCGATTTGATCTTCCGAGGCAAGCTCCAAGCCAAGTTTCCAGTTCCGCGTGCGAATGATACCAACTTTATGTGCGCCAATGGCTGTATCATTCAAGTCCTTCTGGACATGCTTCCTCACTCCGGCCGGGTTCGATGTTGACTCGAAGAGAACAACCCGTGCCTTCGGCGAATAGTGGCGGTATTTCATGCCCGGTGCGCGTGGAATCTCCTTCACATCTAGCGTGCCATCTTTGTAGCCGACTGCGACATTTTCCCATCCTTCGCATTTCCGGATTTCGTCGATGCCGATGCCGCCGGGGCGCAGAATCGCTGGTGGATTGCATAACCCGTCGACCACAGTGCTTTCGACACCAACGCCGGATGCGCCGCCGTCGAGAATCATCTCTATGCGGTCTTTGAGATCGTGATATACGTGCTGCGCGGTTGTGGGTGATGGTTTGGTGGATGCGTTTGCCGATGGCGCGGCGAGGGGACGGTCTGTTGCGTGGATGAGTAGACGCGCGAGTGGAGAAGAGGGCATGCGGACGCCGAATGTGGTCAGGCTGGAGGTGACCTCTGGCGCCAGTATAGAACCGGATGGGTTAGGTAGAATGATCGTCAGTGCGCCGGGCCAGAATTTATCGATTAGAGGCTTGTAGATCGAGGGGAGGGCGATTGGCGGCGTTTTGGTTGAGTTAGAACTGCCTTCGGAGGTGGGATTAAGGAGACGCTCAAGCATGTCGAGTGAGTCGACATGAACGATCAAGGGGTTGTCTGAGGGCCGCTGTTTGGCGCGGTAGATTCCCTGGACAGAAGCGCTGCGCGTGGCATCGGCGCCTAGGCCATATACTGTCTCGGTAGGGAAGGCGACGGGGACGTCACTTGACCGGAGGAGTTTGGCGGCTTCTTCGATGGCCTGGGACTCGGGTGTTTTTTGATTGCGCTCATTCTCCCACCATTCTGCCAGAGATAAATCACCGGGCCCTTGGCTGAGCCGTTGAACCGGGACAACTCGCGTTTTTGTAGGCATGGTGTTCAAGAATCTGGCACAACTGCGCTGACAGTGGCCGGCAAAAGCGCGAGTGAAAAGCAACGTGATGTTTGAGAAGACCTCAATGACGCACTATTCGGGCGCACACGTTATCAGATGAGGGGCGAAATGATGCCCGAGGGGGTCGGGTTCTGGTTGCGCGGGGCAAAAGTCTCTTTTCTCTTGGCTGTAGGATCCGATGTCTTCTCTAGCGTACACAGTCGACTATCATTCTGCACAATGCCGCCAGAAGCAATAAGAGGTCCTATATGGAAGACCGCGAGAAAATCGGTTCGGGTCATGACGTCGGATGACTCAGCGCATCAGGAACCCTGTCATATCGCCGACGATATTATTGGCAATAGAATTGGAAACATAGGAGTTATTCATGATTCTATGGAGTTGAAATAAATGTAGATGAACCAGTCGAAGCGGGGTTGTGGCTGACCAGCTGGCATAAAGAGACCTAACCAGGCTTGGTATACATCGGCATATCTTGTATGACCTGAGTTGAATCGAATCGACCGAGTCGAATTCAAAGCTCTAGTCTATGTACTCTCGAATGTATACACGAGACTCGATCATTTCTTCTTACTCTTACCACCTCCTCTGCCACCTCCACCTCCACCACCACCCTTTCCACCTTTGCCCTTGCCCTTATCACCACCACCGCCGCTTCCAGCTCCTGCAGTCATGATGCGCACCTTGCCCACAACCATAGTGTTGATAATCTCTGTATCCTTCCATCCCTTGATGAGTTCACCTTCCCGTTCCCGGAGACGCTCAGCATCGACACGAGAGATCCCAGCATCTTCAGCGTGCTCCTTCTTGACCTTCCCGGTGGTGGTCTCGGATACCCATCGACCAATGATCTCCTTGACGGCCTTGCCCTTCTTTACGGAGCCTGGCTGCAACTTGACTTTGTATTTGTACCGTCCAAGGGCAGCCCATGGGGCGCAGACTGGAATAGCAGCAATGATTTCATCATCCGTAGTTGGTGTACCCACCAAAGCTGGGATCCAAGTAAGATCGGCAGCTTCAGCGGCAGCTGTCTCTTCGTTGTAATCATCCGTTCCATTTTCCGTGAATTGTGCCTGGCGTTTGCGCTCGGCTTCGGCAGCGCGCTCATGCTGGGCCCGTCGTCGTTGCCTTTGCGCCTCGGCCTCTCGTTCGCGCTGTTCCTTGGCTTCAGCTGCTTTAGCCGCCTTTGCGGCTTTGCCCTTGTTGGCACCCACCAACCGAAGAGCAAGTTCTCGCTCATCCTCGTCTTGGTGAGCATACTTAGCAGCAGCGCGCTTGTCCTTCGCCCGCTTGCCACGAGTGGGGGCGATACGTGGTGCAGCTGGTTCTTCCTCGCCGGGACGATCGAGAGGCTTGCCTTGTCGCAAGGTACGTCGCTCTCGGGCGTTCAGGTTCGATTCTTCATTTTGCTCGGGTATAGGATTTTGACCTGCGGTTGGTGTAGCTTCTTCTCCCTCCGGCTGATCTTCTGCACCTTCTTGTTCCGGCTCATCCTTGGGTTCTTCTTCTGGCTCAGACTCAAAGTCCGATTCTTGAGTTGGCTGAGAGGCCAGAAGCTCGGAATTGCCTCGCTGGAGAGGGTTTCTGGTGGCAGCTTTCTCATCTTCATCCTCCTCTTCAGATCCCGCATCTTCCTTCTCTGCATCTTCGGTGGCTTCTTCGGTGGCCTGTGTCTGCTCCGGGGCTACTGGCTCCACGGCGTCCTTCAGCCCAGAAGCCTCAGTCTCACCGGCAGGAGTTATAGCAGCGTGCGGAACATCAGATGTGTCGAATCGCTGCTTATGGTTCCGAACGCTTTCCTGGCTAACTTGGAACATGATACCAAATCCAAGCACCAGTTGCGATGGAGCCAAGAAGTTCTTCTCTCCCTTGATTTGGAAAACACCTGTGGGCATGATTCCGCTGCCGTTTTCTGCGATTTTCGATACCTGATGAGCATGAGCCCACCAAGCAGACATGACAGCCTTAGATTCCCAAGCAGTTGAAGTCGCGACGCAAAGGTTCCCGGCTTGAGATAGTGTGCTTGGAGAAATTGGTGCGTCTACACTGCCGGCTCGATTCTTCACCACGATTGGCGTCGCACCTTCGAGATCAGCATGCACAAAGATATCACCCTTGGACAAATAACGCCGGTAGAGCAATTCGCTCTGCATGGCGTCCCGTGCACTAGTGCGATTAGTAGATGTCAGAAAACGAGGGTGAATGGAGCCACGTACCCTATGACCAAGTAACCCTCTGAAGAAATGAAAAAGATGAATTTCTCGAACCAGAATGGTGTCCGAGCCTGTCGAAGCACTTGCTTCTCTTTCTTCAGGCCTCGCTTGAGGTCGGTCGTCACCTTCTTCTCGTGACTTTTCAGTGCCTTCGTAGACGACTGGGTTGTCCTTTGTTCCTTCTCCGAGGCTTGCTTTTTCTGATCGTAATATTGTGATGCGTTCGCCCATGGGCTCAGACCAAGGTCAATGTCAATGGTCAATAGCTTAGACTCACGTTCCGCGCGGCCTACCTCTCGCTCTGCTTCGTTCTCCGAGTCAGAGTCTGATTCGTCGCTGCTAGAAAACTCCTCCTCTTCATCCTCGTCGTCGCCGGCCTCTCCAAGAAGTAGGGTGACTGTGTTTTCGTACAGTTTCAGGGGCAGCTTGAGGGTCTGTGCCACTGGATTGCCGCGATCCTGTTCCATCTCAATCAGGCGCGCAATCTCACCCCAGTCCATTCCCTGGGCCACCAGTCCATTGACAGCATCCATTGCCTCCTGGACTCGGTAAACATTGTCCTGAATAGCATCCGCTTTACGGATGTGAAGCTCTTGTACATTCTTGAGCGCATCAATCCGCTTTTTGTGCTCTGATCGCACGGATTCGAGCTTTTTCTTGGCTGCCTCCTCGCGTTCTGTCAATCGCGACTCTAGTCGCTGAGATTCAAGAGATGAGAAGTACTCGTCGACCGTAGCATTGAAGCGCTCGAACTCTAGAATCTTTATTCCTGGTTTGTTTTCAAATTGTCGAGGCTTGAAAGGGTGGAAGTCTTCATACAGCAGACCTGGGGCCTTTGCTGAAGTCTCTCCTTCCGGGATGGGTCGCGTGTCTTCTTTCGCCACAATGTAGCCCGGATGGCTGTCGCCAGAGTCAAAGGTGTTAGAAATTCTTTGCGACTCTTCTAGCACCTCTTTCACGGCCTGCAAGAGATCTTGGCTCCCCAGGACTTGATCCAGTGGTGTTGTAGTATCAAATTCCTTGATCGCAAAAACGTGGTCAAGAAGCAAGGGAGGATATTCAGGAAAGCCTTGCGACAATGCCTTTCGCAAAACATCCGTTCCCTTTTTCTTAAACTTTTTGGGGGCATTTCCCTCTTGAGCAAAAACCCCCTGCGCCTTTTCCAGTGTTTGCAAAACTCGATCCGCTGTGATGTCCGGAATCCCACCATAGTTCTGCTTATTAGACACAGTATACTTGAGTCCGGCCTTGATCTCCTCCTGGCCCACACCGGCCGCAACTTGGCGGAAGAAAGCAAGAATGTTGTACTCGCGGTCCGTCAAGATAATGTTACCACCGGCGAAGAATTCGAGGAAGATATGGTATGCGCCATCGCTAAAAGTGAAGTCGGTGATGCGATCGGTTCCGATTTGGGAGATGCCTGTAATCCGACGAGACTTCAGGTACTTTCGGAGACGAGTCACAAAAGGCGATGGTGTGGTTGCCGCGGTTCGCGAATATTGGGTGACATGGGTGCGAAAACCGGAGTCAATAATGAGTTGGCGTCGATGGTCTGGCTTAGCGAGTTTGAAAAGGAATATACGCTAATAGGAATATTAAATCAGCTCGGTATCCTTCGATGGCAATAGAGAAAGGGAATGAGCGTACCGAGGACAGGTCGTAGATGTTGGACACTCGGAGGTTGACACACTCTGATGCCAATTCCTGCGTGATAACCTGAAGTTGTTAGCTTGTATCTTCTTTGCGGTATATTCGAAGGTACCTTGACGTCCAAAGACGAGAATCTCTGCTTCATGGCTGTGTTTGTGAAGAGAAAAGGGGATTTTTGAGGGTGACGTATGCGGGGCTGGAACTAGCTGTACGAGGAAACCGGCCATGCGAGTTAGTACTGCCTGGCAGAAAACTAGTTATTTACCCCACTCACCCGTAGTATATATATCCTGAACACCGCATAAAAGCGTAAATTTGTAGGAATTTATGAGCTGAACTAGGATTTTCTCGTGTTTAGGCCTAAAGAAGAAATAGCGTATAATAAAGAAAAAAGACAGAGGATTGGATTGGACATCTTTACATATTTCATCAAGGCGGAAAAAAGAGCGGTGTATAAACCCAACCAATCAAAGATATCCAAGGATTTTCTCTCGGGGTCCTAATTTGGAATAGCGGAAATAGCGGCCATCGCGCGTTATTTATATACTTCACCTCTCTCTACAACCACTATGCACTGTCTTCAATGGGCTATACTTGCAAGAACCCTACGAAGTATACCCAAGGCTCTCGCACCATTTCCTCATACCACTAACTACCTTGGCGCCGTTATGTTGTCTATCTACATTTATGTGACTTTGTTCCCTCTCGTGTCCTCTACCTTGACTATGAAGAGTTCACCCAGTTCATCGTCTTCGATGTTGCAATATTTTACTTTATGGTTTTTCTTTCTTCTTCTTCCGTTCTTCTTCCCTCAGTTCTTCAGGTCATCCTTGAGATCAACAACTGAAAGTCAACCCCATGGCATATGACCTAGATGCCAGCCCCTGGAGTTTATGATGCTGAAGTGGGCATATTATCTCATTCTCATTTATATCAACATTGACCCAGATTTTTGTCTCCAATGACCTGTCTAATCTTCATAGCCCTTTGGTAAAGATCCGACTTGTCCCTACCGGTTCCGAGTACACCCTATCGACAGAAGACTGCAAATTCGCCAAGGTAGCTCAGCGGGCTGATCTTCTCGTCAAAGTCCAAGCCACACCCAGGGGCATCCAATACGACCGCTCTTGAATTCCATACATAATGGACGCCGTTACCAATAGGCCAATCTAGACTGTGATTTCTTTATGGGGATGGATATCCCCATGTTCTTCTTGAACGCATAGCACCATCGGGCAGCTCCGTTCGTTCAGTTTCTTGTCATATGTATTACGAGCCAGCAGAACAGTACCATTGAGAACTACTAAGCAAACAACCTTGTAAGTACAATGTAGGCTTCAATATTAAACCTAGTAGTGGAGCTGGTGATGGCCTGTTCCGAGCAATAAAGCAACATAGGTACGCACAGAGTCACATTAGAGTTCGGTACTCAATGGCTCATAATTTGGCTAATAACTTGGTGAATCAAAAGTGATGACTTGTTGAAATTTCTCGTGGTTGTGTAAAGCTAACTCTCTCTGAGGCCAGCAAAAAGTGCCCGAGGAGTCACATCACAAAATTCAATATCTGCCCGGGACATTGAATTAAGTCAAAATAATATTTCAATATCTCAGCACAATACATAGACGTGGTATTCAATATAATATTCAGCGTTGTAACCTTGACATTTCCAAAGCCTTGACATTTCCAAAGGTTGATTAGTCTCACATTCCAACGAAATCTCATTCCACAGATCACCCAGACACCGGGTTTGTTGACGCTGAGATGCCGATATGATAAAGAATGCATTGTCTCTCCTGGTACTCCGCATATATATTGACTATTGATAAATCGAGCAAGGGCGTCCGTCCTGTGTTCATCAACTCCTCCACATTCATACTCCAAACCATACCACTACTAAGCCCACGTTCAACGTCCATCCAAAATGAGGCTCACTATCTTCTTCCCGCTGGCTGCTTTCCTGTCATTGACTGTGGCTGAATCTTCGGGTGATGCCAGTCCCTGCCTCGTACGCTGTCCCTATCTGAGTGTATGATTTAGACTCAGAAGACTAACCACCTTTTCGTATTGTGAACAGACTCGTTGTCTCCGCGAATCCGCTGCTGTGGCAGGATGTATCTCCTCCATTGATTACAAGTGCACTTGCCCAAGCAAAGCGTTCAAGGATACCCTCGGTACCTGTTTACAGGTTTCTTGTTCTCCAGATGACTTGATAGGTATATTCTCCTCACCAGTTCCGATTTCGAATCGGGTTAAACGAGATTCGGATTGGTTGAAGACTTGGGCTAACTGTTTCCCTTTAGTCGCCGGAGAATTGCACAAGGAACGTTGTGGTGAGGAGCCGCCTCAGTAAGGAGGTTATATATACTTTGATGCCTATATGGTCTTTTTTTCGAGAGCATGGATATAGTGAGATCAATAAAAGAATTGGGCTTGATCTCAAAGTCAAATTCCTGGTAGTAAACATAAATACGGTCTGGTCCTAGTACTAGTGTTGGTCGTAGATTGGGATATATATAATTACTAAAACCTACGACAAACATTGAGTTGGTTATTTTTTTTTACAATCGTATTACACCTAGCTTCTTGAATTATGCACCTGGGTATAAATATTGAAACCCCGGAGGAACAAACAATATAGTCTTAAGGAGAATACCATGCGATGGGTGAGTGATTTTGCAGTCTTGGTGACGTGACCCATATTCTAGCTTTATTTAAGGATCAGAGCATAGATGAAACAAAGCCCTCTATGGACTTGGGTCTAGACTTCTGCTACTTTTGATATATACTATCGATATCTAAGGATTGCACCTCGCATGATACGTGCATGGTCGGAAAAGCGGAAGTATTACCTACTCCTGGGTTGAAACGAAGGGATTAAGTAGTTTACGGGTCTACATCTGGGCACCTACCTAAGCTGGGAGATGAACAGTTCTACAAATGCAATATGGGCGAGCAAATGAAAAGACCCCTGGAAGAACTCCATCATTGCGATTGCACGAGATATCAAGATGAATGGGAAAAGGCAAAGACAATAGAACATTCAAGTATTTTCGTTCTGAACTTCATATTCTGATCAACCCATCAACATTTATGCGACGTTCTCGTAGGCAACGGGGAAGCGCTTCATGTTCTTCTCAACGGAACCGTGGCCACGGAGGAACTGGACGTAAGCACCGTCCTGGAGGAGCTTGCCCTCCTGGCGGAGCTGGACGTACTCCTCGCGGCGGACGGGGGTGAAGCCCCAGTTCTTGGAGACAATGATCTTTTGGCGACCGGGGAACTTGTACTGAGAGCGGCGGAGGGCCTCGAGAGCGGTAGCACGGTGGGCGTCACGGGTGCGGACGGACAGAATGATCTGACCAATGTTCACACGGGCGACGAGACCCTGGGGCTTACCGAAGGCACCACGCATACCGGTCTGCAGACGATCGGCACCAGCGCAAGACAACATCTTGTTGATACGGACGACGTGGAAGGGGTGCACACGGACGCGCAGGTGGAAACCTTCCTTACCGGCGACCTTGACAAGGTACCTATTGAAAGTTATGTGAGATTGTGTCCATCGATGTCAGGCGAGAGACGTAGGAGCAGATCGGGTAACGTACTTGTTGGCGCAAATACGGGCGGCCTCGAGAGCCTCGGAGGAGAGCTGCTCGTACTCGTTGGAAACCAAGTGGATGCACATGGGGAAGTCATCCACGTTGGCCTTCTTACGACCAAGATCGAAGATACGAATCTTAGGGTCGGGAACACCACGGTTGAACCGGGACTTGGGGTAAGGCTGGATGTTGAAGAGTGATGTCAGCGAAAACCGCCCATCTTTTTTTTTTTTTTAAAAAAAAAAAGAACAAAGGATCCAAAAAATGCACAAGCACAGTGCTACGAGGATCGCTCTTCATAGCAAAGGTGATATTCCGGTCATGTCGATGCCGTTGTTGACGATGTATCGATACACACTCCCCACACCGAGATAACCCGCACAAATCTTCAAAAGCTCGCGAAATCGAAATCAGAACGCACCTTGTTCTTGCAGTAGCGGTAACATCTCGCGGGACGACGGGCCATTTTGAGTGCTGGAAGGGTGGTGATGGCACTTCCTGCGAACTGGGTATAGGTTGTCGGTGGTTGTCGAGGGTTCGGAAGGAGAAAGAGAAAAGAGGGTCGATTTCGCTGTGGTCACGGGTCTTGATTTCCAAGCAGCACTGTGGCAAAAGGGTTTAACCCTATTAATGCCTGAGCGCTCAGGCCCCCATCAAAGGATTCCTTGGTACGAACTAACTTTATGATTGGTTGAAAGCTTTCTCCACTAATCCCGTTTTGGTCCACTCTTATCGTGCTGATAAATGGAGTCCAATTCGATGCCCTTCCAAGATGATTCCCTTGTCCCGGTTATTCAATACCCCGGGTAATTGAAAATTTGCTAGTAATAAGAGAGCCATGTCGTCCTTCATTAATACATGTTATTTGATGAGTTATTTAAATGCCTGCCTCGGAAACTGCTAGTGAAAACTAGTTACCCTCTATAGGACAGGAACAAGATGGAGAGTAGACTCCCCCGAAGGGAATATCAACCAACTACGGAGTGCAAGAATCTAAGCATGTCGGTCGCTTTCGGACACTTTCAATCGCATTAAAATGGGTCTTGTTTCATCCCGGAATCGACTACTCCGTACGGAGTATTGAGCTGACAAATGTTGCAGCTAGATCAGATGTCACAAGCCCCTCGACATCATCTCCACATTCTCAACGAGGTGTTTATGATTCGTTTTCTCTGAATATGTCAACGGGATCCTTGCCACAGAATTCCATTTGTCTGGTATCACATAGCCCCTTGGAAGGTTTAGTCTTGAGGGAGGTGATTATCGTAGTGGCCAGCAGTAATTGAGATGGGGTTCCGGGCACCTGCATGGGTTCTCTTTCGTCTTCATTTTTGCATTCGATTGTGACCCTGCTTTATCAACGATTCTCAGTGCTTGATTCGTAAAGGCTTAGGTATTGCCATGTTGATCGATGACCCCCGGGGCCCGAACAGTGGATGACTAACAATCCCGAAGTCAAACCCTAACTCCTGAGGTCTACCTGAGAAACGAAAAGAATGAAGCGAAAAAGGCTTTGTGCACCTGTGTTGTAGTTCATGTATATTAGTCGTATCTATAATTTATTTACAAAAAAGGGATTTAGGGCTTAATGAGCCAGGGGGATACATGTCCTGCCCGTATAACTAACTATGACATGTTGATCACACTGTTAGCTACATTCACATATATAATATCACCCCCAATCACCTTAAAAATCATTCATATCCATGGATATTACCTCGAGGAAATTCCCGATACACAATACCCATATATGTATGTTTGCAATAGTTAGAATCACAAAAGAAGAGAGTAATTTACACATTTTGCCGCTATTGTTAATGGTATAAAAAGCCGGGGACAGCAATCCCCCATTCGAGTTACTGGACGCATAGCTGAAAACCTCTGCCATCATCATTCCTCTAACTTACGTGTCGGTGCTTGCTTACCGATGAGGCTCGCTGAGGATCGCTGAGGCTGAACTCCGGATATCCCGAACTCCGGCGTCTATTCCGAGACCTGGAAATCAGATCTTCAATTCCCATATATATCAATTTTGCCCTTATTGAAATTTATCTACTTCTCCACGATGAATGCAATCTGGGCAGAAAGCATCTCTCAAATCCTTGGCTGGGCCTATTTCATCCTGTGGTCGCTGTCATTCTACCCGCAAGTCATACACAACCACCGCCGCCGCTCGACAGACGGCTTCTCCATTGATTTTGCTCTGCTCAACGTGCTCGGATTGTCCACATACACCATTTCAAACGCCTGCTTCCTCTTTTCGCCGGTCGTGCGTGCCCAGTATGCCCAGCGACATTCGCAGAGCCCTGAACCAACCGTCCAATGGAATGATTTCGTCTATGCCCTTCACGGAGCACTGATATGTTGCTGGATCTGTAGCCACTTCTTCTGTGCGCGGTTCTGGAACTTTGATTCTAAGCTGCAGCGGCCGAATACCTTGGCCCTCATAGTTTTCTGGGGCTGTCTGGGGGTGGTCCCCCTGGCCATTCTTTGCGTTCTAGTGTCGGAATCGTGGGAATGGATTGATGTGGTAAGAAGGCAATGCGACGGATGAACCTATTTACCCTATTTACAAGTCAAAATATACTGACTGAAATATTCGCGTAAGGTCTATGTGGTCGGCATGATCAAGGTGTTCCTAACAGCCGTCAAATACACACCGCAGACAGTGATGAATTATCGGCGGCAGTCAACAGCCGGATTTTCCATCGTGGCGATCCTGCTAGATCTGTCCGGTGCGATTCTGTCACTGATGCAGCTGGTGCTGGATTCTTCGATGCAAGGGGACTGGTCGGGCGCCGTAGGTAACATCGCCAAACTATTGCTGGGCAACATCACTATCATATTCGATCTCACTTTTATCTTTCAGCACTTTGTTCTGTATCGGGAGCGATTCGCAGAGAATAAGCCAGGGCTATCAGAGCGCGATCCTCTCCTTGATAGCAGGAACGAGGCATAGACATGTATATTTAAATGATTGGGAATATTTACATAGATTTGCAGCATATCTAAACTTGGAATGCTATACGAAGATCCTTTTGATTGAGAGAAAGTGCCCCTTCGTCCCTGGTATATTAAATATGACGAGAACAGAATAAAACACCCCAATGAGGTCTAATCCTAAATACAGATAGACGTAGCAAATATCACATGGGAATAGTGCTCAGCTATGGAACTGGAAGTCCAATCGCTTGTTTCCTTCATCGGTAGTAGTGCTCAGATAGGTTGCCTTCTCCTCTGGGGTAAACCTGTCCCATTGAGCTTTCTTCCATTGGTTCCTGCGCATGTAGTATAACTTTGCCAGAACATAGGCAACCATGGTAGCGACATTTACAGCGATGAGTTGACCGTTTCCACGATGGTAGTTTGGCTTATCATCTGCGCGGTAGATGTTGGAGGATGCAATTCCGGAAAGTTGGATGGTCACATTGAAAAGCGCCGCACTGATACTTCGAGTTCGGACAGTATTACTGATGCGTGAGCACCAGCCAACATGTGTTGCTTGTGGGTTTGGCCAGCCCACCAGAATGAACGAAACCGCATACATGCTCCAGTGTGACAGCGAACCAACTGATGTGTAAAGGACGATGAGAAGCGGGAAAGTCCATATCTGAGCGAGAAGACCGACGAAGGAGACTTGTTGCAAACGCTCGGACAATTCGGTTATCAGAAGCAAATTAATGGAGGCAAAAACAGTGACGGGAATTGTCAACAAAGTGGTCTCGAAGGTGGTAAATCCAATCCCTTTAAGTGAAAGCGTCAGATAGCTCTTCGGTGGCGAAGAGGGTATTTCGAAAATCATTCCAATGATGTAAATCGGCCACAGGTCATAGTCCATCAAACTTTGCCAGAACATTTTGAGAGAAAGGGCCTGGCGATTGTGCATGTCACCCTTGGACGGATCGTCTCGCAACACCTTATTCACAATGATTTTCTCTTCTTTTTCGGTGAAATATCCCTTAGGGTTCCACCAAGTCTTTGTCTGGGTAGGACCGGGCACCAAAAATAAGAAACTGAGGAATCCTATCACGAGACTAATGAGTGCCTCGATGAGGAACAGCCATCGCCAACCTTCGCGACCATCCACACCGCGCATGTGTAGAACACCATAAGCGATAAATGAGGCAACCACACCTGACATGGAATCAGTGAACCAAAACAATGCAAGACGGAATGGCATTTCTGTTTTGGTGTAGAAGTACGAAAGGTACAATATTGAATCTGGAATGAAGCCACCATGAACAGGCCAATGAAGAATCGACAAGCGAAGAAGCCCGAGCGACCCTGCATAAAGAACTGGCCGCCGGATGCCAGACTCCACAAGATGATCTGAAAGGGAATCCAACGATCTGGTCCCAATCTCTTTCCAAGCATCTGAGACGGGATCTCAGCAATAAGGAAACCGACACGATACATGTTTTGCGCATTGTTGTAATCGTTGGTGGTGATCTTCAGATCGTCGAGCAGGTTATCAGCCGCGGCACTTCCTAGATTTCCCCGATCGAGATTGAGACCAAAGAACATGATAAGAATCCACAAGAGAACATTCCAATCGGTCTTGCGGCGTACGGAGACTTCCTCACGGTGAGTCCATCTTTCGTCCGGATCAAATCTGTGCAGATTCTCGTAGTCCGCACAAGGCTGGTAAAATTGCGCCAACTGGGGATCATCGAACACACTTCGAACCGTCGCAATAGAGTCCGGGCCGACCTTTCGTTTCCGAGAGAAAAGCGCACCAAACAGCGACAGGGACTCCCGTTGCTCCTCTGGCTCGGCAAGGGTTGTCACCACAGAACCATCTTTGTGTTGATGACTGTCATTCTGAGGCTCAGAATCTGACCCAAACTCTTTGGAAAGTGTCGATGCCATGGCTATTCTCGGTGTACGGGTCCAAAATCAAGGACAAGACAACCAAGGAGTCGAAACTGCAACTTCGGCACTGAGTTCAATGCTATGCATAGTTAATGAGATAGCACACTTTATATATCAAATGAAATGAGTAATAACATTAGTTCGACCCGGCGTGAAAAGGTTGCACAAAATTCGTGCTTAAATATCTGCATGATGCCATTGACGCCAGTGAACGGATGAGACCCTAATGGAGAGATGGTGAATTTATCCTAGTATTTGAAAAGAACGCTATATCAGTCTAAAGAGCGCCTGCCTTGTATGATCCAAGCAAATATTTAACGGATATGATGTCTTGGTAAATGAACACAAGCCTTGCCAATTAGGCGATGTTTGCGCCATGCTCGCGCCTGATTGCATCAGTCTTTGCCCAATCAACTCAATGAGCGATGTCCATTTTGGATTGTATTTGCTTATATTGGTGGAAAATACTGTCTTACAATAATATATCTAACTTCTTGATCTCTATGAGAACTGAGGGTCCTAACGCCACCATCCCGGACCGTCACCTCGCCGGTTAATTTACCACATGGCACAAGCGCTGGCGTTAGAATATATTAAAATATAGCTCGACTGATGCCATTTGAAGGGGCCTTGGCTTTAGCGAGTTTCGCTGTATTGTGGAAGGCTTAGAAATCCGTGGTTGGAAAGCTGGGGAAGACGGCGTTTCTTGACCTATGTAGATATTGGGATCTATCGTTACGAAACAATCTGGGAAAATAAAATCGTAAGGTCTTGGAAAAATCTTTTCTTTTTGACACGGATAAATGTGAAATCGGATTTTCTCCTCTTGCACATGCATTCGACTAAATCTAACCCTGCAACATCCTCCAGCTTCTACTAACCACCTCGCGCATAACAAACATCTCTGCGACGCCAGAGACTTTCTCCTCAATAAGCGTATAATAGCATTCCTAAATAATAATCTGTTATTTAGAAGCTTCCCCAGTAATGCAAATCATAATCCACACCACCTGGGCGCCAGAGAGGGGCTGGACTATAGACCGGAATGGGAGATGCCGCTGTAGAAAAATTAGTGATCTGATAGAAAAAGCAAAAAAAAACGAGGCAAAGAGCTTACTTCCATAACCCGTACTAGGAACAGCCCAAGTAGGAGTCGCGGGGGCCTTCCAGCCAGTTGGGGATGCTGTAATGGTGTAGGTGCTGGAATAAGGCGAAGGCGATTCTCCCGCACCGAGAGATTTGATACCATTGCTTGACCCGTAGCTGTCATCTGCAGTGCCAAATATGTTACTGATCTTGTTTACAACCGTAGTACCCGATTCTGTCCACACTGAAAAATCTTCGACAGTGACATTGGTAGCAAATGAGAGGTCATTTGCGACGAGGTAAAGTGAAGGGCGCTTGACTCCATCGGCAACAGAGCCTGATAAATTTCGTAAGAATATGATCAGATGTAATATGTTTCAATGACTTACCAGAGAAGTTTCGGAAAACCAGGTTGCTCAATGCAACAGCACCAGTGTCAGGCTCAAAGGTATTTTGCCAGTATTGGTTGATATCCAAGCCATAGAGACTCCCCAAAGAGCGGAAATTTGTAAAAGTGATGTTTGTAACATAGCCGGATCCACCAGGGTATGTTTTAATGAAAGCGATGTTGTTACCTTGGATAATGCTGATGTTGCGTGCTTCCTACTGCAGTGTTAGTCGCTCGGTGGGATATCAACATGTGGTTGGAACTGACGATGTTTGAGATTTCTGCAGACGAATTCAAACTGCCAATGGATATACCAGAGCCTGCCTGATTGCAAACCAGGTTCTCAACCAAGGCATGGTGGGAAGGACTCTTCACCGAAACACACTCGTCGCGATTGGTAACCTACACTATAAGTTAGTTTAGGCCAAACATGAAAAACCCGACTTGAGATGTATACCTCATTGTCGTGAATCCAATAGTTGGTTCCAATGGCATCAATGCCATCATAGCTCCCTAGGTTTGCCCCCCGGATAGTCAAATGGTAGACTTCAACATTAATGGCAAAGTCCAAGATAATGTGGAACTTGGGGCTGTCGACTAGAATCAAGTCATGGACAGAGGCGTTGGTCGGAGAGATCAAACGCACTAGGCGGGGACGATCCGTGCTACAATTCGATGTGTTAACCTCACAGCATCTCATAGAAATGATAGAATTGGTCCATAACCTACCTTCCAAGGTTCCGGTAGAGATACCCCTGTCCTTGGAAGGCCCCTTTGCCATTGGATGAATAAAACTCGAAATCCACAGCTATTTTGTCAAAATTGAGCCCCAAAAGAATGCCTGGAAATGTGAACTCATTATCACCCTCCCCATTGATGGTTGCATTGATGATCTCTGTGCCTGCAAACCCCTGGAGTAGCAACTCACGCGCAATATTCCAATCACCGCCATATGCAGCTGTGATTAGCCCATCCAACTGGAATGCCCAATTGGTGCCATTGATGAGAGTCACACCTCGCTCGATGAGATACTCTCCTTCGGGGACAATGAGTCGGCTACCCGGATTTTTTCGAACACAGTCCGAGAAAGTCGTTTCCAGTGCAGTGGAAATGTCAGTCTTGTTATCAGCCACAGCGCCATAATCAAGAATGTTGCACTCGAATGTTTTATCTTGAAGGCCGGTTGTTGGACCAACAGGACCAATAAGCTGGCCTGCGGTGATACGCAACAAGGAAAGCAAGAGCAAACCGGTGAACTTCATCGTGAAGTGAGTGATGAAAAGGTGTAATTCAATTTCCCTTCACTCTTGGTCCTATCTTATTGTATTTCTAGTTAGGGAGCTAGTTATAATAGCTATACTGCTTTTGATACAATTGGGTTGTATAGGGTCTTCAGTCCCTTTGATCAATATTTTAATTAAAGGCGTCATAATTCCCCCATCCACTAGCATCACGATTGGTGATTAACAAGTGAGACAAATCCACTGTAATCATTCAGTCCGATTACACTAGTTTATGCGGGATTTATCCCTAAGCTGTCGTAAAATAGTACATCTCTATGATGAAAGTGGGTGGTTCATAGGACCTCGGTACGATTGGCCAAAGACTTTTGCAGATGGCAACATTTTTAATTAATATGTGATCAAATACTTCATGGGGCTAAGCAATAGTGGCGTAGTAGTTGGGAATTCACAAGCAAGCACATCATCTTGCTGTCAGATGGTGCTCACAGCAAGCCTAAGAGGGGCTAGTTCCAAATTGCGTAAATCCACCAATGACACAAGACATACAATAAGAAAATATCTTTCCAATCGGTGGGTTGTATTTCTTCAAGTCCTCACCAAGCCCTGCTCGAAAAATCTTCAATTCAATCTACCGAGTCATCATGTCGAGCAGAAAGAATGTGCTGTTGATGGTCGCCGATGATCTTGGTAAGCAACTTGGTTGTTACGGGGCATCGACTATCAAGACACCCAACCTTGACAATCTCGCTGCAGAAGGTACTAAATTTGATTATGCCTTTGCAAGCACCGCGTCCTGCAGCGGCAGCCGCTCCGTGATCTATACAGGCCTGCACACCCACCAGAACGGTCAGTATGGACTTGCCAGTCACCGCCATCATTTTGTCACTTTTGATCATGTGGAAACAGCACCACATCTGCTAAATCAAAGCGGATATCGGACTGGCATTCTGGGAAAGATCCATGTCGGACCCGCGCCAGTCTATCCCTGGGAGGTCGCCCGGGAGAGCGAAACGAGGGATGTAGCTGTGGTCGCCGATCAAGCCAATGAGTTCTTCAAAGAGTCTCTGGCAGATGAAAGGCCTTTCTTCTTAACGATTGGTTTCCATGATCCGCATCGCGATCGTACACGTGGTGGATTCGGCAATGACCAAGAATACGACCCTCGAATCACGAAGGGCACCTACGCCAGTGATGCCGTCGAGATTCCTTCCTTTATTAACGACTCTCCCGGTGCCCGGTTCGAGTTGGCTGAGTACTATAACTCAATTCATCGCCTTGACCAGGGTATCGGGTTCGTTTTGAAAGCTCTCGAAGCCGCCGGATTGGCTGAGTCAACTCTCGTCATCTTCATCAGCGATAACGGCCCACCTTTTATCAACTCTAAAACTACTCTTTTCGATGCAGGAGTGCGATTGCCTCTTATCATCAAACATCCAAAGTTTCAGCCCGCGGTCAACTCTGACATGGTCTCATACATCGATATCCTCCCCACTCTACTTGACTACGTTGGACATCCGGGCGTAGTAGACCCGGCGAAGAAGCGCCTTGGAAACTCGCTGCTTCCTATACTTGGAACCAACGCCAAACCATCAGAATGGAACCAAGTATTCGGCTCGCATACTTTCCACGAAGTCACGAACTACTGGCCGACGAGATTCATTCGGGATCGACGATACAAATACCACCGAAATCTCGCATGGCGCCTGGATTTCCCATTTGCCGCTGACATCTATGGGTCCCTTTCTTGGGAGGATATTCGGAACTCATCAGATAGCGAGATTATGATCGGCGAGAGAAAGCTCAAGGATTACTTTTTCCGTGCACCAGAAGAGCTGTATGATCTGGAGAACGATCCAAATGAAGTGAACAACCTTGTCAAAGACCCGGAATATGCTGCTGTGCTCGAGGATCTGAGGACGAAACTGGAAACATGGCAGCGATGGACAGAGGACCCTTGGTTGTACCGGGACGGGGTATCGACATGGTTTGTGAGGTACCATTTCCCGGCTGGTTTGAAGATCCCTGACCGTTTGGACTTTGATGCTGAGCAACCAGGCAATCAGAACCAGAAGGCGTTCGTGGGGAATGTTCCATGGGGTGCTGATGTTGATAAAGTCAAGAAGGACACCGTTGTTTAGAAATGTATTCAAGTGTGTTGTACTTGTTAGACCTTTCACAAAATCAAGGTCAAGGTCTAAAGTGGGCCTTCCGGGGGCACCTCGGGAATAGCCTGGACCTTAAATCCCGATTTGTGGGTCACCTGACCCCTATCCAATATCTAGCGCATCGTTTCTCGTTAGAACCAGTGCTTCTAGGAATTAACAGGTAAGTAGTGCGGTTACCGTCGGCACCTATAAAAGAACACCGGTAAGATCAGATCGAATGAAGGCTGTCGCCTGTTTCTAAACTTGGAATCTTAGAAGAGATGATTGCGTACACCCATACGTGTTTACTATCTTTATCTTGAAGATAAATGATAACTGTAATATATCCATAGATGTGACCACTCCCACCAGCCTCTAGGGACCGAGAGGTCTAAGAGGTGGATGTGTCATGTTGTTCATTTGCTTTGTATGACCTGGTGCTCTATGAAGAAGTACATACGTACCCTTGAGATCAGTCCATGGTTCTAAACGAGAAAGAGTCAATCATATCCTCTCTATGCAGAGCTCGACCCTTCGTTGTCGTCCCTACTCCCCTTAGTCCACTTAGACAGTGCCAAGAGGATGTCCAAGTCGCCCGAATTTGATTTTTGGTGGCGTAAGTGGTACCCAACTTGATGTGTTATCCATTGTCGCTATTAGTCCACGCTGCTCCGACTTTGGTGCGATAACAAAGAAGGTGGCTCATGTGGTTGCCCGAGAGATGATGCCCTAGGGTCTTGGCGAGCACTGTATGCATCCGTATGTGGAGTACTCGAGTTGGGAATCTTAGCAGCGACAACAATCAACTTGGCCTTGTGCGAGTGCACAGTTTTCATAATACGTGTAGCATTTATGTGATATTGATGGATTTCATCGATAGGGTCGGCTTCTGTAATTGACTCTATATCACCTGTTAGGCCGCCATGCCTGATGATGGAGATGTAATGTTGGGATATGTGGATATTGGAGGCCCAAGTTGGGTTTCAAGTTATTGAGGACTCTTGAAAATGTACTCCGTAAAGTACCACTGCAATGTAAGTCCTTTGTAAGCTGGATTGAAGTGGATGTAGTTAGTTAGAGCGTATGTTGTACGGAGTACAGTATGTATGGAGATCTCAATTAACTGTGGAGAAGGAAGTACATTATTCCGACATTATGCCTGAGGCATCAGACTCCTTTTCGGAAACGGCTAAATGCGCTTGTATTGGTTCTTTCATGGGCTCATACCATATCAACAGGCTATCCCCTTAGTAGATTTAACTGTGGAATAATAAAGGCAACTCTCACAGTCTTCTTATTTCAGCAACTCCCTGTTTTTCTTTTTTCCTCTTCTAGAAAGTCCTGACTCTCTCGTATTGCTCCAGCCCCCAAAGCCGTTGCGTATTTTTAGATACAGTAAGGGGATCCGCATTCCCTAACAACAACTTTGATTTTAAGGTCTGCAACCATCACTTTTCTCAATTTCTTTCTCATTCCGACGTTTCATGCCATTGTTTCCGATGAATCTCCAACTCCGATCAACCATGTGGCACGCAATCAACCTGTGACAGCTTTCAATTACATTCCTGGCCTTCGGGCTTCCCATACAAGCGCTCTCCACAAGGTGTCCACTCAGTTTTGACCGCTCTTAATTACACTTGCAACCCTGGAATCTTCTTTTCCCTTCCCCAATTGAAGTACAATAGGGGGTTATATACGTTTTATTTTCTTATACACTCGCCAGAGTTGGACTCGGCGCCTTTCATCATGTCAGCAACGCCTCGAAAGCCTGGAACTCCCGGCAGTTCCAGCAAATCATCAACCGCAGATCCGCACTCCAACAACGGGTCCACACGAGGGCATGCACGCTCGCCCAGCGCAACCAGCAGTCTCAACCGTTCCCCCTCCTTAAGAGGTTCAACTCCTGTCTCCGCGCGCGCAGCTGCAAGAAAACCTGGCCGTTCCAACCTCAGCATGTCAAATGTTCCACGAGTTTCCAACGACCCCTCCGAAGAAGAGGCGCGGGCTCAGAATGCCGCCCTCATCGAGGAACTGCGGGCACAACTCCAGAAGGCTGAAAATGCCTCCGAACAATACCAAAAACAGCTCGGCGTTCTGCAAATGCGCCTCGATGAAGCGATCAGTGAACAAACCAAGTTGGAGGATCAGGCGCATGAGCGTGATAGTCGGATTGAGGCCCTCAACAGTGACATTCGGGACCAGGGTCGTCAGATCCGCGATCTAGAACAGAACCACGAGTCGGAGCGGAATGCTATGCTCCAAGAGAAAGAACAACAGATCAGTCGGGAGGAAGAAATGCAGGCGACTATCCAACGTTTGAAGGACTCGATGGCACAGAAGGAGCGCATGAACGCAGAAGGGGATCGCAGCCAGGTCTCCCGATCTTGTAAGACACCCTAATCCCACAAACGCCGCTGATTAGATTCAAAGACTAACCTCCGGTATAGCAAGCTTCCGCAATCGATCTTCCCCGGACGTGGATGGTCAATTTGCGCCCTCCTCCCACATCGAGCGGAGCCCGTCCCGCAACAACTCTACACTTCTCCTCCAGAAAGACAAACTCATCGAGTCATTACGCCTCGAACTGGCCGAATCACAGATCAAACTCGTTGAGATGGAGAACGCCGGCGGTGGCCGTCAGCGAGAACTAGAGAAAGACTTGCTCGAGGCCCGCGTGGCCAACGCTCGCCTGATGGAAGACAATGAAAGCTATCAACTTCTTCTCAGCGAGAAGACCCTGACCGGAGACTTTGCCAAGGGCGAATTCATGCGAGATGCCAACCCCACAAAGGAGTCGGCAGGTGGTCTGGGGTCCTTAGCTGATGAGCTTGAATCTGTGGATGAGTCGCCCGAAACCGATGCCGCTCAACCGGACGGAGAGGTGAAGGCCCTCAAAGATCAGAACAAAGCCTTGACACTCTATATAGAGCGTATTATCAGCCGACTGCTTATGCATGACGGATTTGAGCACATTCTGGACTCGAATGATGAAACCTCTACTACGAAGACCGCGGGCAGTGAGAAGGAGCTGCCCCCGACCCCCCGGAGAAAGATGACGGTTCGTCACAAAGTCTCCTACAACGAGCGAAGTCAGTTGTCGGTGCTCCAACTTCCCGCCCTTCAACCCAACCTCGGTCGCGTCCAACCAGCATGCTGCCTCCACCGCAACCATCTGGGAACAACCCCAACGAGAACCCCAACACTGCGCCAAGCATTCCATTCCGTACGCAGTCTGTGAGAGCTAGCCACCGCCGCAGCCGCTCCGAACAAGTCGACCCAAGTGCCGCGAGTGTCGTTGGTCACATGTACCGCGGCGGACGCAACTCGGGCGGACCTATCAGCCCGACTGCAATGGGCCCCGGATCGCGCCAGAGCATGTTCTCTGGAGCCGCCAGCTATATATCCAGCATGAGCCGCGCGCCCTCTATGTCCAGCCAACCAGAGCCGTTTGGTCGCAGCAGCTCCCCTAGTGTCACAAGTGATCCCAACGGCGATACAGCCTCTACCGGAGCTACCTCCAGCCCTCCTCGATCCAGCAGCGGCATGAACAATTACACTGGTGCGGTGATGCAGCAGGACAAATTGCGCCCTCTCCGCCTTGTCAGCGAAACCGCTAGAATCAAGGAGGAGGAGGAAGCGGCACGCAAGAAGGCGAACCGCGCGAGCTGGATTCCGTGGTTGAATCGCTCCAGCACCGATGAACCTGCACCGCCGCAGTAAGCCTTGTTCTCCGGGCAGTATGATTTGATGTGATCTTAAACTGGTCTTTTGACCTTATTTTTAACATACCCATACCCCCCATGATGCACATAATGCAATCTAATGTCTCGGAATTTTCGCCTGTATTCCAAGGTCCCCGGTTTCTCTTGTTTCCTTTGACGCGATCTGATCACGATGTTTCCCCATGCGATGTGGTTTCGAAGGGGAGTCTGATACATCATGGTTGTTGTTTATCTTGATATATATTATTCCCCATGTCTCCTTCACGATGATGCCTTTCCACTCATTTTATGTCATATCCCCAAATCTTGAGGTGTATATCTTATTCCAGTATTGTAGTATTTCAATTGGACAAAGGCCAACGAATGGCTGGTTATATCTCCATATATGTCAATTTGCCACCATTGCACCGATAATAAACCAAACGAGTAGAGCACACATAAACTGAAGCCGACTGAGTATAACACCAAGGCAGAGAAACAAAATGTATGATTTTATTCCCAATCACGTATACTGTGGTCTCCAGTTCACCCGCATAGTATATGGAATATGGAGCTTGGACGGAACAATATTAGTGCGTCTCCGCCTCCGGCCAGATTGGCGGTTGAGAGCATCAACAATCACAAGGACAGTCCCCAATTGCTCCCCACCACAACAAGAATCACCATGACCGGCTCTCTCTCCCTGTTCTCCGTCAATGCGGTCCTCGTCATGTCCGCCGACGATGGCTCCCGCATCTACGCAAAGTACTTCTCGGCACCACACCCCCCCGCCGGCGCCGCACCGAACTCAACTGACTACCCCGGTGCCAACCCCTACCCCACCGTGAAGGAGCAGCGCGCTTTCGAGAAGGGCCTCCTTGAAAAGACAAACAAGTCCGCAAGCGATGTCATCCTTTACGATAACCGCATTGTGGTCTTCAAGATGGAGAGCGACGTCATGATTTACGTTGTTGGAAGCGCCGACGAGAACGAGGTGCTGCTGTACAATGTTGTGCTGTCACTACGGGATGCTCTGGGAATCTTATTCAAGTATGTTATGTCTCGATCCTAACGGGGAAGTTTGTCGACCGGTGCTAACAATATCATCCATCAGGGGCGCAACTGACAAGCGCACTATCGTCGAGAACTACGACCTCGTCTCCCTGACCATTGACGAGACCATTGACGACGGAATCATCCTCGAGACAGACCCAGTCATGATCGCTTCGCGGGTCAGCCGCGCACCGGCTGCAGATGCTCCCAACATGAAGAATATCGATCTTACGGAACAGGGTCTAATGAACGCCTGGGAGTTCGGCAAGCGGCGTCTTGCAGAGGGATTGCGACAGATGTAAATGGGACGTCAAATTTTGTCTTGCGTTGGAGGGCTATGATGTGTTTACGCCCTCGTTGGAGCATTTCTTGACTGTTTTTTTTTCCCCTTTTTCTACCTGCTTTTCCTCCTGGCTGGTCCTGGCGCTTCATGGCTTTTCCTTTTTTTTTTTTGTCTGCACGGCTCGGTTGTTTCCAGGCAACGATGACATAGACCTACTTCTTTTCATTCTAGCATCTTACAAAAGGTCTTGGCTACATCATTGTGTTATTGTTAGATATTAACAATGTTGGGCGGGGACACCGCATAATTCATGATACTATGTTCGAGAGACTCATGTGGAATGAGAAAACCAATAACTTTCTAGCGCCTGAAACCTGCTTGGGGACTGTCTTTTCAAATTGCGACCCAAGCTTAGACAGCTTTGCACAACATGTCAGGACCCAATCCCAACTAGTTGACCAGGCTGAGGACTCAAACCTTTCAAGTAACCGCCTCTCTTGGCTTGCCTGATGCTGAATTAGTATAGCTGTTCTAGTTAAAAGGTACTCGACTTACGGAAACTCTCGAAGGAAAGCCTCACGGACACGGTCTCGTTCATCACGGTTCATATCCTAGTACACAAAGGCAGATTTGAAATATCCTAGGCGTTTTCCGGGCACCTTCTTCTTTACAATCCATGGAACTAGATCTAAGCTACCCTAGGTCCCTAGCTTGTATGCTAGGAGTGGAGCGTATTTTGCGAGCATTTGTCAGTAAGAAACTTGTACGCCTTTAGCTCAAGGGGTATGAATTCGGTTGCTGCTTGGGCCCTAATAGCTTTGTCCGCGTCCTCGTAGCCGGCATATGGAACTTGGACGTAAACGCGTATAAAGGCCTTTTATCTATAGGTTGAATTGTAGCATTTGAAAAGAATAGATACGTAAGAGTCAAGGGAATGATCTTGGCATTGGTCGTCGTGCGTATTAACCATCTTGTCCAGTATCCATTTCGAGGTGTTAGGCTTAGTGACGGTGACTGTGTCGCCTTCATTTAGTCCACTCGGGGATCAGGATCGTGGGACAGCTATGGTGGATTCGATGAGCAAGTAGAAGGAGAGAGAGGAAGAAGAGTTGAAAGTGAAAGCAAACCTTGGAACTTGGTCGCATTCTCTATTCGCAAACACACTCACTATGTTGGCGAGCAGAGCCGATTCTCCGGCGCTCAACCTCTACGTGTAGACGAGAGTGGAAGGAACTAGCGTACCTTTCCGCAAAGTCGTTTCAAAACCCGAAATGTGCAGAGAAAGTAAACGCCTGATTTTTTGTCATGGGTCATTACAGTGTACAAGGTCGTCCCGTATCGTTGCAAAGAAGTCACGCCGCGAAGAACATGAGCCGCGTCGTATATGCGTGCTCGTTTTGGGCACCGAAAATATTTGGGACTCCTAGAACATATTAGTGTTTCTATGTTCCGAACATAGGTATAGGATTTGAGTGTTGATATGATCACCTCTAGTTAATGAGTTCATGGTGTTAGTCACAGCCGTATTCTCTTGGCTTGATGTGTGGAGTAGTGATCGATGACCAGTGTAGATCGATCAGTAGACAGGGAGAAAGTCAATAGACTGACCGAGGATATAGGAGAAGGTTAAGAGACCAACTGAGTGGATATGAGGTGAAACCTATGAGACGAGAGTGATTGTTGAGATTGCTTTCCAGTAGTGCATCGCAGAGGATGAAGCTATATGTTGCTTACTATGCGTTCTTTATTTTTACTCCCCAGTGCTCGACAGCTAATATAGTCTCTTTCTTATTGCTCACTTTACTTCCACCTCCTAGAAAATAAGACTTGAGCTCGCAAATTGCGTAGAGAATTGATATCTGGAATGTTGGTGTATTCGTATGGATAAAAATACTGTTACTTCAAACCATCTACTCAATTGATCTCTTACTCCTACTGCTTACCAGGTGAGCCTTTTACCCTTCTCTTGCTTTATATTCAATTGATCTCTTACTCTTACTACTTACTAGGTGAGCCTTTTACCCTTGATATCTTACTCTTACTACTTAACAGGTTCACCCTTCTTGTACTTTCTACTTCATTGATATCTTACCTTTACTACTTACCAGGTGAGTATTTTAACCTTCTTCTCTACTCGATTACTCTTTTAACCTTCTTCTCCTATCCACTCAATCATCCATCTGGACTACACCACGTATCAACGTTTCGCTCCGCTTCACGACTTTACATCCTCTCATCACTCTAACAAGCTTGGGAGACTAACATTGGCCCTTTACAATAGCAAAATGCCCCGCATTAAAAATCTCAGTTCCCGAGACGTACTCCGTGCGCCATTCCCAAGCCTCTTAGTAGGCTCCTTCCACACAACCAGTAGTGCTCTGCACCAAATACGATTCACGGGGCGATTGAGGCGATGGACGAACTTCGCACACAATGCAATTGCCCATATGTCCTCCAATATACGTTGGAGCCGGCTCACCCTCGACGTGGCTATGACTGGCCCGGGTGTAGAACTCTCCGTATCGCGAGAGCAGCTAGTAGTGGGAGATGAGAACGGCGTTCAGGGGCGTTTGAATGAACGCCTTTGTCGTCCAGTAACCTCCTGCCTCCAAGTGCAGGGCCACAATCTACGATGTGGGGACTTCAAGGCGGGAAATTCAGCAGCACAAGCCGCAAGAGTTCCAGACACAGTCATGCTTAACGCCAATGCCGCCATCAAGGTCGTGGGAGAAGTTAAGACTCCATGGGCCCGGACCCACGTCAAAATGCTGAGCCGTGGGGTGGAAATGTTTGAGGAGGGGAATGAAGGCAGGCTTCGCCATATACTTGGTATGTATGATATAGTATACACTATACTCACGGTTTCCGAATGTACTAATATATCTTACAGGCCAAGTCTCCCGCTATATGCAGGACCAAGGCGTATGTTATGCCTTTCTATCAACATACAACGAAACGATGTTTCTGCGAAAGGTTGATGACCAAGGTTGATGACCAAGGTGTTTGAACTCTCGAGTACTCTCCCGTGGCCATATACGACGACGAGTATGACACCGGAAGTGGGAAGATTACCACGCGACAAGGGTTATTCTACCTAGCCCTACGGGCAGAATTTGGACCCGCGTTTGCTACGAACGTGCCAGGCAATCAGCAGTGGACGAGTTGACCATTTGACGAGGTACTGATGAGGTGGGTGTGTGGCACATTAGGCCACAATGACAGAAATCTGTCTGTATTGAAAGGTATGGGCATAATGACTGATATTGAGAACTCTGATATTTCTAAAATGACAAAACCCGCTTTTTCAACAATCTGTGCGGTAATGATGACTAACTGTAATATGCACTTTTGTATGGTATATCCAGTACTCGAAGTCACATGATCTCCATGGTATAATACCATGTAAATCCATGTATGCAGCCTTGCATTTTGACACACAACCTAGGACGGTAGGTAGTTGAGATTGCTCATTGTTTTTCGCTCCCCTTGCAAATTTCTACATATGCTGGGTTGCTTTTGTTCTCCTTCTTTTCTTTTACAGTTTAGGGGTTGGTTTATCCTCATGCGTTTCTGCCTTCCCGTCATCGTTAGCTTTTTTATTGAATAGCACTCTCTGCGAAGGTGTATCCCGGCCAGGGGTCGGACCTCGGGAAACTAATTATTACTAATAATGCTGCCTGAAGATGCCTTAAGATGCCTGATTATATACCACCTTTTGGCACCGCTCTTACAGTGTATTGTAAATGAAACTCTCAGATGGAAGCCTATACCTAAAGGAGCACTTGGCCCCACAATACTACTTATTGCCCACATGTGCAATGACCTGACATGGAAAACATAGCTATAATTGATCGAGCCTCTAAATTAGCTACAACGCTTGTTATGTTTATCTCGACACTGTACATATGAATGAAAAAAAGAAATTGTATTCGCCGAAACCTTGCTAATAATATGTGAAATAAAGGAGAAAAAAAACGCTAAAGACCATTTCCACTCCACAAACATTTCAGAGCCGCTTCATACTTTCGATCAACGCACCACGGTCGTCAGGATTAGTATCTCGGATATCCGCCCCAAGGATCATACCTGCCTGTAGATTGCGAGACTCCTTGGCTGAACCCTCAAAGGTCTTGTTCGTAACAAACTCATCAGGGAGCTCACATCCCGAGACACAACGAGCGAGGGTCTTGAGGGTGGACTTGTTCAAATATTCACCGCCGGACGGCCAGAATCTTCGAGCCTCCACCTTTTCAGTTGTATCACCGAGATTCATTCGCTTAGCGTGGAGGTAGGAGATCAGGAAACGGAAATAGAGGTATCTTCGGCGAGGGCGATTCTCAGAAAGGAAACTCAAGATGCGGTCATCGAGGTGCTACACAACTGTTAGCCTGTACTCTTCCATTTTGAGCCTAGGAATAGACTGACCTTGACCTTGATTATTTCCCCTGACTCCCTCTTGTAAACAAAGTTTTCATTTTTCGACTCATCCAACACAACACATCTCCACGTGGTTGGCTCAGTTATCGAGTCAGGAATTGGAATGACAGCAATCACCCCTTGGTCGAGTAGGGATTCAATGGGATTGCATAATAATAATGCTATGAGAATTTTCGTTAGATCATTCTTCTCTTCTCAAACGAAAAGGGTATTTTTACTATTGCGTGGATCAGAGAGCACACCGTCCTGAACTCCGAAAATATGGGACACTTCTGCTTGGCTCAAGGACTTAGGCACCAGATGAGCTGCCTTGACTGAAGGGGCGGGTAGGAAAAATCCGAGAACGTGACAGAAAGATGTCTCTCCCACACACTCGGTCGTCAAGCCGTAGTATCGATTTACTTCCTTCTTGAATTTTTTCTGGTCGAAGGCGTGTTTCCGAATCTTCGCAGCCGCGCCCATAACACGTGGGATAATCGTATCCACGTATGCCCTCTCAACAAGTCCATCGTCTGAGGGTCCGGTGATCCTTCTACGCTTGACCTCCACTTCTAAGTCTTCCTCGATCAATGTCCGTTGGCGCTTGACCACATCGAGAGTCTGCGACGTTGCTCGGAATCTTCTCAAGACAGGACCGATCTCTGTCTGGAACGCATCACTGCTGAGTAGCCCTGAAGACGAAATCTCATCAAGGCCCTGTTTGATGCAACTGATGTACTCCTTCTCATCTTCAAGTGCAGCGATCTTGGCGTCAAGGAAGTCCGATGTGGTTGACTGCAGCGAATCTTGCGAAACCTGAGAGAGTTTTGATGAATTGCTGACCGATCTCTCCTGATGGCCACGCAAAGCCTGACGGCGGGTTGCTGGCATCAGAGAAGAAATTCTCTCCGGGATTGGGAAAGGGATCCTATCTGGCATCTTGAGTGATGAAACAAATAGTGATTAAAGAGGATATTTATCAATGAAAGCAAAGAAGAAAGAAGAAGAAGAAGAAGAAGAAGAGAGGGTAAAAAAAAGGAGAGTTGTATTTTTACCTGTATTTATGTTCGTCATGATTTCCGAACCAGGTAAGTCCCATGTCCTCTTCCTACTGTTCTCTTCCTAGTGTTATCTTCCTATTGTACTCTTCCTATTGTTCTACTTCGTTTCATGTTGAGAATTTTCGTTGCCTACCGACGCTCTATTAGGCATCGGACCCGCGCCCTTTTCAAGTTGCGGCTCTTCATGTTCACTGTTGGCATATATGTCTAACCTAATTGGGTCTAGTCTTCTTTCTTGGCACCCATTTTTCAATACGGGTGAGGAGTTGAGCGAAAGCCTGCGCGAAATCGGCCTGGACATCATCAAAATGCTCAATCCCTACCGACAATCGAATCATCTCGTCCGTGACCCCGCATGCCTGGCGATCCTCGGGCGTGAAATGCTCGTGGGTGGTGGTGGCAGGGTGGACAACGAGGGTCTTGGCGTCTCCGAGGATGGGATGCGGATGTCAGTGGCGTCCTTCGGATTGAGTTTGCCATATCATAGGAGTTATACGTATACATACTTGGTCGTCATAATCACAAGTTTCAAAGCATCGCAGAACCTTGCGCTTGCCGCAACACCGCCAACGAGACCAAACGTAAACACGGCCCCGAACCCCCGCCGCAGATACCGCTGGGCAAGGGCATGATGCTGATGGTCCGGGTGGCCGATATAGTTAACCCAACTGACCTAGGCTTTCTGGCTGTTGCTGCGAAGCCAGTCGGCCAACCTCTGTGTGTTCTCTGCGTGGCGCTGACATCGCACGGCCAGCGACTCAAGCCCGATCAGCAGCTGCTGCGCCGAGGCCGCGCCAAGCGTGCTTCCCATGTCCCGCAGGATCTCGAACTGACACCGCATCGCGAACGCCCGCCGGCCGAACTTCTCCACAGCCGCGTGTCGCTTGCGTGGAACTGAGGGAATCGGTTGCGGTACCGGCCCCAGTCGAAGGTGCCGCCGTCGACGATGATGCCCCCAATAGTCGTGCCGTGCCCGCTAATCCATTTGGTGGCCGAGTGTACCACGATATCCACTCCATGGTCGATGGGCCGGCAGAAATATCCGGCACAGCCAAAGGTATTGTCACACTACCAGATTGTTAGAATTTTCATGAATATCGAGCTACGAGAAGAGCATAATCCAGCAAATAAGAAAAAGAGGCTGTAAAGAATCTGTAGTCTCACGATTAAAGGCAGTCCTCTCTCCTGCACCACCTTGGCCAACCCCTTGAAGTCTGGGATCACATTGCCGGGGTTGCTGATGGTTTCGATCCAGATGAACTTTGTGCGCACATCCACGGCGTCGGCATAGGCCCGCGGATCTTCGGACTTGATGAACCGACACTCGATGCCCATCTGTTTGGCCAAAACACCGAATTGGTGAAAGGTGCCCCCGTGAACATGGAAGGAGGAGACAAAATTGTCCCCAATAACAATTTCCCGAGTAGAAGAGTTCTAGATATCTTTTTATTACCGACTAGAAGTATCGGTTCCGTAGACTACTACCCCCCTTTAGGTTTACGACGAAGAAGAACCTTAGTCTTAAGATTTTCGCTTATAACGATCACAAACACTTTCCTATCTTATAGGCGAATTTCTGGCTTCTACGTTTAGGTAAAAAGATATAGGCAAGCAAGCAATATAAGTATAAATCTAGGTAGGTTTAGACTCTAAAATTGTTTGATACGCTTAGAGATAATCATCTAGTATTTCTAAAGTAAGTTAAAGTTGCTTGAGTGATTGCTGCTCTATATTGACATATATTTTTGAGATCCAAAAAGTGCAAGGATGCCGGCGAGCAGTCCTAGAGCGTAACGTCTCATCTTTTTAACTGGCATAGGCATTACGATGATGGCCTTTGGTTTGATGATGGAACTTCAAAAATTGAAGACATTAGGCGATTACAAAATCATCCATGGATTGTTGATCCTTTCTATAATGCTGACCGGCATGATCCTCTGGAGGAAGACAATCACAGTAGCCCAGACTTGGGTCACATCTTGACTTGGAACTTAGATGTCCGAAAACATTGTGACCCAGACGTTCAATCCGACTTTTCATGTACTTTTTGTTAACATTTCAGGTCATCGGAGCGCTCGAAGGTTCATCCCGTGATGACTTCAGTTTACGATTTGACTCTGTTCACATTCAGAACGCAAATTTGAGAGTAATTCGAATTGCCAAGGATACATATATGTACCTTTATAAAATAGAGATGGAAAATAGAGATTGATACTTGTTATTTACATTCAACACTCCATAATTCTAGCAGTTGCGTGAACTTTCTGTTTACTTCTTCATGCTTACATGTTGGGATCGACTGCCAGATACATGTAGTCTCCTCTCCCTCTTCTTCTTCTTTTCCCCTTCTTTGTAATCCATCATTATCATTAATTACCAGCAGTTAGCAAAAATACAGTTGCATTGCTGACCTCTCTTCTCCGGGCTTCCCAAGAGTATGATTTAGCACTTAAAGTACTACTAATATAAGGATGGAAATTTACACTGCAGAGAACTTATCGACGCTCTAGCGATTAAAAAGCTACTCATCCATTCAGATTGAAAGAATTCAGAATTGAAAGTATTGAGGAACGATGACCTGTTCTCAGAAGCAACCAGCCAAGCTTGGAATCAACAAATCAAAGTTTCCACCCCGCCATATTTTCTGTGTAGTCTATTCTCCACTTGAAGTTTTTCTGAGGGGGCCTAGCAAGATCAAAATCTGGCAACCATGCTTTAAGCGGTTTACGAGATTGATTATTGGGCTGGAAATGCGTCGAATCCCGGAACCCAACGAAATAACTATAGCGAGACGTTAGTTGAACACCCACGGTTATAAGAGGGATCAGAGGCATACAGAGAACCGGTATTATTATCCCAGATCATGCTGGCAGGGCTAGGCCTGAAGGGGAAATATCCCATTTCCCAAATCGTACTAATGATGATATCATTAGCCTTTTAAGGGGACCCGATAGTAGTTGGAATATTGTTGACTCACGGAAACTCTTGAAGGAAGGCCTCTCGGACACGCTTTCGTTCATCAGATGGCATATCCCAGTACACAAAGGCATATCTGGGACACCCTAGGCATTTCCCAGGAACCTTCTCCCACACAATCCATGTTACATGTCCACCAGGAACTGGTCCTTCGATCAACTGAGTGCGCCTTTTGTATGCTAGCAGTTTAGGCGTATTTCTCGAGTGCTTAGCAGTGAGGTATTTGTACGCATCCAGCTCCGGGGGGGGTGAATTTTGTTGCGTCTCGGGCGAGGGTAGCTTTGTCCGCGTGCTCATAGCCGACATGTGGAACTTGAACGTAAATACGTATAAAGCCTTCTTGTCCATTGCTTGCATTGTGGCATTGGAACTGAGCACATACGTAAGAGTTAAACCTCCTCTCATCAGATTGGTAGCTATGGGTATTGACCGGTTTGCCGATTACCCATCGCGAGGGGGTGGGCTTGTCGAGGGAGACTTCGTCGCCTTCGTTGAGCCGGCTAGGGAGCCAGGATCGCGGGAAGTCCATGATCCGTTCCATGAAAGGCACAAGTGCAAAAATTCTAAAATTCTGAACAGGGGAAAAGAGAGTTGAAAAGGATAGAAGTTTGGAAGAGAAAGATGGAGAGAAAGATGGAGAGTTGGAAGTGAAATCAAAGTTTGGTCTTTGGTCACATGCGATGTGTATGTAAATATGTAGTAACGAAAGGAACTAGCAAACAAATCAATTTTCATTTTCACCTTAGCACTTAGCACATCCAACCACTATCCATCAAGGTCCGTTTGGGGTGTTTAGATTGCACTAAGATGAAGACATCTTGCCTTGTAAGCCAGCTGTGAACGACAATGAAGAGACGCATTCTAGTTCCACGGAAGATGGGATATCACTCAGCAATTCTTACTTGCCTCCATCCAAGTTGAATCTGTGACATTGGTCCTAAGCCTTGATGAAGTTCACATTTGATCAAGCAGAGAATGTCCCAAGTCCACCTTTCCCGGGATATTTCAACATTGGAAGGTCATGTGGATGATTCAGCGCCTCATGAATATTCACCCACATCATGCTTTCCAGGCCAAGCTTACAATCAGCCCATATCACACACATCGGATAAGTTAACATGCATTTATAGATGTCATTCCGCTCTACAATTATTATGTCATTGCCTCTCTTTCGTATCATCAGCACCCTGGGCGTGGCAGCCACCCAAGCGGCAACCCTGTCCAAATGCTCGCCGTTCCACCTCCCCAAACCCGAGCTACTTGGACCTTCTATCCTCGAGGTTCAAGCCGATGAAGTCCACAACCATTCAGCCGTCAGTCTTGGCCCAGGTTGGTTCCAATGAGGGAAAGAAGTACAGAATCAGTTCTTGTAACATCACAGTTACATACACTCATCCTGGTTGGAACGACACAATCAACACTCAGGTCTGGCTACCATTCGGGTGTTGGAATTTGCCATTCCAAGCCTTGGGTGGTGGAGGTTAAAGGGGCTTTGACGCTACTTACCTCACATACGCCGTCGCCCAAGGTTTCGCAACTACCTCCACCGATGGAGGTCACGACACGGGAGCCGAAGCTGTTCCAACCGATCTCACGTGGTCTCTGAAGAGCAAAAATAACCTCGACTGGCACCTATTCGAAGACTATGCATCCAAGGCCACCAATGACATAGGGGTGATTGGAAAGGAGATTACCAAGTCGTATTACAAGAAAGCTGCCAAATATTCCTATTTCGCCGGATGCTCTGGCGGTGGAAGACAAGGTCTAATGATGGCGCAAGACTATCCGGATGTCTTCGACGGCACCACTCGAGACTTGTGCCCGTATCCCCTCCGTCAGAAGTTTATTGGCGGTGATCCGAGGAACGCCACATCTTTCACCTACGCTAAATAGATCGCTATACCATTGTTGTCAAATCAAATGCGCTTCTTCAGAAAGTCTCATGGTCAGATTTTCACAATTGGCAAATACGCCTGTCATATAACGCATAGATTGCCGTACTACTTTCGACTTCATTGAAGTGTGGGCCTGTTAATAGGGGCCTCTTGCCATTATCACCATCTTTTCCCGTTTTCTCTATTTTGCCCTTTCCGTGTATCATCTTTATTTTCTTTCATTATTATCCACTGTGTCCTTATATCTCTTTGTACTGGCAATGTCTCGGATTCAAACGTTCTTTGATGGACGTTTGTTCATGCATCCTTTCTGCCTCAGGCAGAACAGGCCTTTACTACTTTTCTTTCCTTCTCTTTCTCCGAGTTAACAGCTCAATGCAACCAAGAATTCCTTTCCCATCTTGTCTCTGATACAAATTTCCCTAAAGCTCTACGATATTTAAACAATGCGTGGATTATAACCGAGATTGGGCCCAGATATACATATATATGTATGAAACAGTTCGCAGGTGTGGAAGACCACTCCTCTATATGAATGCGACACAGGCTGGCCCAGAATAATTTTATGGAACAAGTGGGTGCACCCACCTTGATGGCTTTGAAATTATTCGAAATCGTACTCTCTTCCAAAGTCTCAACTTAAAAAAGATATGAACCCATCGGCGAGCGTACTCGTATAGAGATCCTATAGTAGTCGCCCCACTGTCCGTGCATCCAAAAATTCACGGCGATGATTGGTTTGTCGTTTAGGTACGGTGACCCACATATTTACATTTCTAGGGATTGTGATCCACTCGACCCAAGCAAACGTGGTATTCTCAATTTCGTACAAGAATTACAGCACTTTTACAAATACGCAGTTCTTTAAAATACAATACTTGCTAGTTGTGTATAATATTAACCAGACTGAGAGATCGTATAAGCTCGTATACTCTCGTATAATCTCGTATAACGGTAATTATAGAGGCAGTAGCGTTTTTTTTAGAACAAGCTTGACCTTTATCAGCCGACTTTAAACAGCGATCAGATTATTGGGTAAATTTAACCTACTGCTATCCTAACTTTACCAATAGTTAATTACCTTTCTCTTGTACACCCTCGTTCACTGCACATAGTTCCAACTGAATAAGGTGAGTGAGGTTGATATCGGCATATTTGCGGATCTTTTCAAACAACCTAAACTTGGAGGTTATGATACAACTTTCTAAATTGACTCTTGCTAATATGTCGTTTCTATTGACAGATATTCTGTCCTTAGACAAACCAGTGTTATTTGAGGTATTGCAATCTGCTTCCTCCCTGCGATTTGTGCCTGGCTCCAACTCATTCGTTAACTAAGTAGTGCATGGGTTCATGAAGCGCGACCAACGATATGAGTAAACTTCATCTGCACGTCGACGGACAAACATTCCGAGACCCCCTGAATCGAGAAATCATCTTGCGTGGAATAAATGTGGCAGGTGACGCTAAATATCCGAAAACCCCGGACCTCAGATCGCACAACCTTCAGCAGTTCTTCGACGAAGACGTATCATTCGTGGGAAGGCCGTTCTCCCTCGAAGATGCCGACATACATTTCCAACGTCTCCGAAAATGGGGATACAACACCATTCGATATATCTTCACTTGGGAGGCAATTGAACACGCTGGTCCTAGGATCTACGACGAGCATTGGATCGAATTCACCATTGGAATTCTTCGTATCGCCAAGCAATATAATTTCTACATTTTCATGGATCCACATCAAGACGTAGTAAGTCTGGTCTTGAGTGGTCTCTTGTCGTCTATGATGTCTAAGCTTACTATTCGAAGTGGTCCAGATTATCAGGAGGATCGGGAGCACCTACATGGACGCTCTATGCTGCAGGACTAAATCCGAAGAGTTTCAAAAATACACAGGCAGCCCTCGTTCACAACACCTGGGACAATCCCGCAGAGTTCCCAAAGATGCTTTGGTGTACGAACTACACTAGGCTGGCCTGCCAGACGATGTTTACTCTGTTTTGGGCAGGTCGGGATTTCGCACCGAAAGCGATCATTGACGGTGTGAATATCCAGGATTATTTACAAAGCCATTTCATTGCAGCATGTGAATACCTGGCGCAGAGAATCCAAAACGCCGGTGATCTGGAAGGAGATGTGGTTATCGGATGGGAAAGCATAAACGAACCCCATAAAGGCCTGATCGGAACTCAAGATATTTCCTCAATCCCGTCGGAGCAGCATCTCCAGCTCGGGACATCTCCAACTGCATTTCAGGCTATGCTCATTGGCTCCGGACGGCCATGTGATATAAAGGCTTGGTCTTTCGGGAGATTTGGTCCATACCAATCCGGAACTGAGGTTATAGATCCTAAGGGCGAACAGGCGTGGCTGTCTGCAGAATACGACGACAATCGATATGGCTGGCACCGCGATCCGGGCTGGAAACTCGGTGAATGTCTCTGGGCGCAACATGGAGTCTGGGATTCATCCAAAAGCAGACCGACCCTTCTACAAAAGGACTACTTTTCAAGAAATCCACAGACTGGCGAGATTCTTGACTACGAAGGGTTTACAAACACTTACTTTCTGAACCACTACCGAGCATACAAGGATGCTATTCGCAGCGTGTGTGGAACTACTATTATGTTTTGCCAACCACCAGTCATGGAGTTACCACCGACCCTCAAGGGGACCACGGATGATGATCCGAACATGGTTCACGCTGCTCACTTCTATGATGGTCTGACTCTTTTAACCAAGCATTGGTTAGTACGCAAAGCTCCCATGTCATTCATGATAATGATATTAATCCTAATAGGAATCGGCTCTACAACTTGGATATCATCGGGTTGCTTCGGGGCAAGTATCTTGCGCCAGTTTTCGCAATCAAAATCGGCGAGAAATCAATTCGAAAGAGCCTACGTCGTCAACTCAAGTTTCTGCGCGATGAAAGTCTACAACATATGGGTAATCATCCCCTACTCTTCAGCGAGATCGGGATTCCATATGACATGGATGATAAACATGCCTATAAGACTGGAGACTACAGTAGCCAGGTCCGTGCAATGGATGCAAACCATTTTGCATTAGAAGGTAGCAAGGCCAACGGGTTTGCTTTGTGGGTTTATGTGGCAGAGGTATGGATACGGGTCTGGCGTTTACAGACATAACCTTGACTAACTCTCGCTAGAACGATCATAAATGGGGTGATCAGTGGAATGGGGAGGATCTTTCCATATACTCACGGAATGACTTGAAATCGCCAATCCCAACTTCATCTCATTCAACGAGGTCTGATTCCACAGTGTGCTCTAAAGATCATCTCATCAACGTTGAAGAGGAGAAACCTAGCTCGCTCAAGAGTTTCAAACCCCCTGTACCTCGGCGGATTTCTCCAAGGCTACCATGCAGCCGCAACGGAGCCAAAGGGCAGTGGAAGCATGTCTTCGGCCTACTCCAATCTACACGAATGGGCGATTAGAAAGTCACACTTTTGATTTGAAGAAGTGTACGTTCACCATGAGATTGATTTCAAGTCAACCCGCGCTCGAAATACCGAGTGAAATATATCTCCCTGAGCTCCATTTTCCACTGGGAGACACGTCGGTTGAGGTAAGTGGAGGAAAATGGGAAATCTACTCTCGGGAATTTCATACAGTCAAGCTTCAATATCTACGATGGTGGCATGGCAAAGGGGCGGTGGACATCACGATCCGGAGAAAGAAACGCAGGAGCACGTCACAGGAATATGTCGCTCTGCAAAAACTTCACAAGAGTCGATGCATGATGATGTGAGGTCAAGTTCTGCGCTATGTACAGTATTCTCATTTGTATTATAGTGACTATTCAAGTGGTTTCCACCCGACATTGACCCCAGGAGAGTTGAATACATGGATGAGTGACATATTAGTCTAGTCCGTGCTATAGCATCCATGGAGTATATTCATATATACTAACTCGCTCAACAAAGGGAGAGTTGAATTGTATCAAGGCTCGATAATTTGAAAGTATCAAGGTACCAACAAATATTATTCAGTGGCAAATTGTCATTCACATATCGAGGGTGCCTAGAATAGCTATGAGTTCCAAGACTGAAATTGATACGCGTAACGGTATGTTCATGGTAACGCTGGAACCTTGAAAATTACCGAAAACAATACAAAAACCCTTAGCTCCACTTTTACCCACTTGGTGACCCAAAGATTGCAGCGTTACTTAGAATAACCTTAAGAGTCCCCGGTCCTTTTTTGGGCCACATAAGAATGGTTTTCCCACAAGCCCCTAGATAATTTCAATTTCTCAATCATTGCAGTTATACTATATAGATTTTACTATCAGATTTCTGAAGAACATCATCACTTTCAACCCTATCTACAAACCAGGCGACGCTTCGACACATTCGACTGACAAAATACGGCTATGGACCAGACCATAACCCAAGGGCAACCGGCCCAACCAGAAACCGAAGATCTCCTCGCCTCGAATACCACAATGCCATCGTTCCGGGCAACAGGACGGATACTACGCTCAGCCTCGGTCAGTACTGTCACGAGACTGCTCGACTACAATCCCTCCGGTGGAATGTGGCAGGCGACCGGCACAGCTATCGCGCACGCCCCAAATGTGACGGATCTGAGATCATCCAACGATGTTTTCTTTGACGTACACGGTCGAGGTGTAAGACGAGCCAGCACGCAAGATTCTGTCAGCGGAGCGGTAGTCCGGAGAGCGACGGCGCCTACGATAGAACTGGGAGCCTTCCAGGAAGAGAAGAGCATAGCTGCACCGGTCGAAAGCCTACCTGAATTTCAACCCAATCACAGCAGAAGTAATCAAGACACCATTGCTTCCAAGGTGTCTTGGGGCACAGCCTTCAAGAAAGCTGCCCTTGCAGCATGGAGATTCATTCTTACACCCACAGGCTTTTTCATCTTAATTTATGGTCTCAACGTTATCGCCTGGGGTGCTATGTTATTTTTCCTCTTATTGGGCGTTGGCTCCATGAGTAAAGAACGCAAAGAAATATGGATTGAAATTGATTCTCAAATTCTCAATGGGTTATTCTGCCTAACCTCCTGGGGGCTGGCGCCGTGGCGGATTCGCGACACATATTGGCTGCTGATGTGGCACTTTGGCTCAGCCAACACATCCAAGAAATCAATAATGCATCTGGCAAAGCGGAACTCGAGTTGGTATAGAATGCGAGATTCTGAGGAGTCAGGTGGTGACGAAATGGGGCCCCGGAGACCCTGACTGGCAAGGTTGCTCCACCTACCAAAACATGGAAAATGGACTTTGTCGTGATAAATATGTTGTTGAATAGTTTGTTCCAAGTTGGAATGGCCACATTCATGTGGGAGTACGACCGCCATACTCGTCCGGCGTTCGGAGTTGCCCTTTTCATTGGTCTAGGCTGTTTCAGTTCGCTTCTCGCAGGATTAACGTCATGGTGGGAGGGGCGAAAGGTCAAACGCATCGAGGGTGCTTTCTTTGAAGCGACACCAGATAATGAGAAGCAGGAACCCATAGAGATAATAGCCTAATGTATAGTATTGGAGTAGCTGAAAAGTCTCGGCATATATCGATACGAAAGTGATTTAGTATAACAGTTAAGACAGTGTTTAGTAGTCCACCTATCAAGGTTGACATTGGCCATTAGGTGTATTTACCCAAACACTTCTTACTATAAGGGGGCAAAACTAGGAACGAATGTTATATTTGCAAATTTCTCTATCACATCGAGTATATTATACATAATCACTGTCATCATCGAGCTCACTTTTGGTCATAGCCATGAATTTTTCGATGACCTTCTGGTCTTCCAATCCTCTCACTCTCTCTTGCCGAACCGCATCTTCTCCCTCTAGGTGAAGAGCCGCCAAAATGAGGTTCCGTGTGCTCTTATGAAATGCCGCATAAATGGACTGTTTAATACCTTGGCTGGGATAGGCAACAAGGCCAACGGATCCTTTAGTTGGTAAGTCAGTGAAAATGGAACCTGTCGAAAATAGAAGGTAAATTCTTACCATGCACCATTTTGGCCATTACGCCGAAGGTGCCTTTGAACAAGCCGCCCGCAAATCCTGCGACTCCTCCGTCTCTAGCACCTTTATATGGTTGATAGATCACATCAGCCACAGCTCCCCCATGCCAACGCCAAAGCTTTTAACGCCTGCGACTGCCCCAGACTTCCAATCTTTGACGTTTCCATATTCGGGAATTTTGTCTCCATATAGACCAGGGAGCACACGAAAGCCTTCAGCTGCGGCCAAAGGAATATCGACCATACATCCAGAGGCAATCTTTCCTAGGAATTTCCCGGAAGCATGAGTCGATGCTGAAGCCATCGCAGCTCCTCTGCCTCTTTTCTTAGGCTGCACCTCCCTGCTTGCTGTGAAATCACTCTTCGATTGGCCTTTGCGAATTGATGATCCACTTCCTCCTGGTGGCAGCAGTTCGGAAGGAGTGTCTTCTGAACTGGCTGATAATGGAAGAGGAGAGGTGCGACCATCCTGGTATACCTTGTATGGCTTATAGAAGATATCTCCACCTGCTTTGAGCATATCAAACGTGAATCCCATTCCAGCAGAAGAAATACTAGTCACAGGGTCCCATCGCGTGTTCTCGATGATGATGGGATTTGGCTGGTACCTTGCATTCACAATGGGTTAGTCAAAGGTTCGCCTAACACCGGTGTTGGAACGCATGGTGGATAGGGTTAAAGTGGGAAGGTTCAAACTCACGGTTTCAGCCTTTTGATATCCAACAAATTCTTGTCAACAAGAATCTCCGCAGCAACTTTCGACAAGCGAAATCTTTTCTTGCCGAGACGATATCTCCAGACGGCCGGGAATTTTGGTAGTAGGTCACATTCAACTAGACCTTTGGGTAAATTCCGATGGAACGATTCCACGGCTGTTTGCACTCCTTTTTCCTTCTCCATTTTGGCGGCAATACCCTGTGCGGAGCGCACTGCCTCTGGGGTCAAACAAAACCGCACTGCGTGAGCTAATGCGTCGACGTTCAGTAGTTTGTATGGAATAGGGTCTGGTCCTGCACCGGCCGCGGAAACCATTTTTCCCCAAAACGGTTGGCTATAAATAGGTCAGAAAAGATTCCACAATGCTACCGGGGAATTCAAGTGAAAGTAAAGCTTGTCACTCACTCTCCAAAGAATGGCACAATGATAGTGGGCTTGCCATTTCGTAGCCCACATGCCGTTGTACCAGCACCTCCATGGTGAACAACCGCACTGACACGCTCAAATAGCCATTCGTGCGGGCAATCGCCTATAAATAGAACGTCACTCCGGTTTAGTTCTCTCAAGTCTTCCCCTCCTAGCTTGCTCCAACCGCGTGAAATGATTGCCCGAACACCGGTTTCCTGAATCGTCTGGAGAATGGTTTTTGTTATCTGTGCCGGATCTTCAAGGACAATGCTACCGAATCCGAAATAGACCGGAGGCGGCCCGGCGTTGAGGAATTCTGCAATCTCCGCAGGAGGTTGATAATTTGGTGGATCGCGGAAGAAGAATCCACACACGTCTATTTATGGGAATTAGTCAACGACTTCAACGGGTTCATTCTGCGAAAGGGATCATTTCTCACCAAAATTATGAGGCCAGTCATTAGGTTTGGGAACTAGGCCAGGGGACCAGCAATATGTATAGGGAACATTCAGTTTAGTTAAAATGAAAGGGCCATCTGAAAGAGAAATAGGCTCGAGCTCGAGCTCATGTTTCCGCCAATCGTTGATGACGCCGCCGAGACTTTTTAAATAGAAGATAGGTTAGCCATTGGCGTAGCACACACGTTTTAATTAAATGGACGTTACGTACCCCTGCCATGATAGCCAGTCCACGACACCATATGAAACGCGATTGAGCCACGCTTGATCGGCGGGAATATTTTTCAAATTGGCCAACGGGTGCGGAAATGCCGTTGTTGGGCTCCATGGCATTGTAAACATCAAGTGAAGTGGAATGCCTAGGGCTTGGGCGCAGTGGACGTGCGCGAAGCTCGGAGGGTTGGCAATAATGGCATTGGCCACGAAGGGGGAATTGGTGATAAGGTCGGGCATCAGACATGATTGCCAACAACCATGGAGAATTTCCGCCATCATTAGTTGCTTCTTTTGAATATCTCCCTCGCGAACACTGTCTAAGCTTGGGACCAACCCGGGATTCTTGACCATGTATGACATCAGGTCGGCCGGATCACCGCCGATGGGGTAGAACTCCAAGCCTGCTTCGAGAATAAACTGCTCAAAGACATTATGTGTTGCAATACGCACTCGGTGGCCCATATTCTGTAGCTCCGTTCCAAGTGCAACAAATGGTTGGACGTCTCCTCTACTGCCCACGATTTGAATCACAATATTCAGAGGGAACTTGAATGTCGATACCCCTTCCGAATATGACGGTGGGGATACACTCTGACGGACAGCATTAGGCAATAGCCTAGAAAGAGATCTGCAGAGCCGAGAACTAGCATCCACGACAACACGGCCGTCCTCTATAACAAATCAGATTTGCTTTACCGAGGTAGAACCGTGTGATAAGTTGACATAACATACCGTTGACGGAGATACCTTGAGCTTCACTCAAATTTTGCGGAATTGCCTCGTACGGGGGTGGGGGGTGCTCGTTGGGCTGGTCGTGTGGCGTCATTTCAGCATCTTTGGAATACATTTTGGAATGTTCCATAATTCACACACAATTTATGAATATATCGAGACAACGAAAAAATGGAAATAAAAACCAAGACGATACTGTTGGAATGATCTTTAAAAGAGGAAAACTTCCCATCAACAACTCTGTAAAGGTCGGAACAACCTTATATCAAGATCCGCTAAATTGAGCCCCTATGCCCCACCAGGCCCTTGAAGGTTAAATTTGGAATACGAGTACGGATGGATACGTATTAATGTATTCAAAGTTACTCCGGTATGTATCCTTGATGTATTTGGTGTAAACTTACCAATTATTTAAATAGTCTACGGGCTCCTGAGAAGGTTCAATACTCTAGATAATTAGAAGTCAAAGCCTACAATCTCTTATGTTCTGAACTAAAACCGACGAGTCTCAGTATGTGCCGTATATTACACATAAGCGTACCGTCAGAACGGTGTAATGAATAATTACAATTCCGACGATAACCCAAATTAGAGCCACTAGTGGGAGCCAAGTGGGTCCGGCCTATACGCGTATCCAAGTTTGGAATCAGCACTAAAGGAGCAAAACGACATGGTTGTATGTAGCCAATAGGTACTAGCCGTGCCAAGCGCCCAACACCCGGTAAGTGTGTTGGGCGGCTACCCAAGGACCTACCTAGCTATACTAAGGTAGATCATCCATGTCGCCAATATTGTCTTCCACTCGTGCCTTTCTATATTATTAGATCGTCGGATATTGCTTTAACATGCAGACCTAACGTTCAAGGTGGTTTTGCCATCAGCAACGCAAGTTTTTCCTGCCCTATATCCTAACCTCATAGTTGCTTATTTTAGGCACCAGCTGATAATTATGATACGACGCTTAGATGCAAAATCCAAACTATGTGGACCTAATTTCAGGTATATACGAAGTACGAAGGCAACATGATTATATAGATGTGGACCCCGTTGAAACAAGCAGAGAAAGAAAATGAGATTTTTTTACAAAACAAGATCTGGGTAGCCTGGTGTGACAGTAAAGGGAGTTTATAAATGGTGGAGAGAATTCACCTCATTTGATATGTTGTTGTTATTTGAATCTGTGGAATTTATACACATTGCTAGAATATGCGGAGTAAGGTAGCTTGTAGTACCCACTACTCAAACCTAACACATGTATCCCAACAGTATATCTTTTAAGCGAGATGTATAGGTAAAGACAAGGTTATATGTTGTATGTTCGAGTTTCAATATATGAAGAGAAGAGACCGAGAATAACAAACCCCGACACCATAATCCACAGATATATAAAAAAATAAGCCATGAAACCAAAGAATTGCTAGTTCGTTGAATGATCATGGAACAGTATGCAGCCCATATATAGCAAGCGATACCCAAAATAACATTGCCACCTACCCACTCCAATGAATGCATCATGTGCTCTGCAAGTACGCAAGTATGAAAGTGTTCAGACCTCACCCCAAGCGCCGAGCCCAGCTCCAACACCAATAGCACTGTTGGTTTCGCTCCCGCCAATATCCCAGTAGTTCCTGCTAGAACTTGTCATCGTCCGCCGACTGGAAATAACTGAGAGTTTGGCGCTCTGGCTGGCGCAACTGGAGGCAGGTCGCCGGGGATGCGGTCGTAGGAGTGGTGAGGAGACACCCGCTGGATTTGATACACCGGAGAATTGTGATGTGCGACGGGTCTGGGTTTGGGACCGGGAGTGGGCTCGCGCTACGAGAGGGTGATGTTGCCGGATGATGGCTGCTCGGCGGGATGCATCTTGCCGCGGGCGAGGTGGGGTTGGTGTGTGCGTTTCGTTGGTCATGTAACCTCGGCGGCTGAAGCGATTGCGGAGATAGCGGAATACCATCATTACATCAAGTCCACTTTCCCAGTACTCCGATTCATGTTGGAGTTTTGTTGATTCGGGGAGTTGGTCAGACCGCTTCGGGTCTTCATCTTCAATGCCCCACTGTGCTTCGTGCTCTCGATTTGCGTCTCTGAGTGTGGGAATGAAGTGCGGGGATGGCATGGAATCGCCAGTTGTATCGGCGGTAATTGATACGGTGGACTCGGCGCGTTTCTGAGAGATGCCGCTTTCCGCTAGGCGGTTTAGAGACATCCCCGCATATTCGGCGGATATATCTTTAGTCATTTGGTAATATGTTGTAAATGCACCGGGGTGTTCGCAAAGTTGATGGACAAGGATCCCGAGCTCATGGGCGATCGTCTGGAGCACCTTTGTCTGCCACAGTGGTGAATCGCTAAACTCTGGCTCCGGTTCACGAGCCAGTACCGTTTCCATGTCTAGTGGATCTTCCTGGGTATGAGGTTGCGCGTCCAGCGGCAACGACTCACCGAAGATCACGGAGAGTAAGGAATCATCAATCCCGATCAGGTCACGGATCACCGTTCGTGTGACACGGCGCCAGAAAGACTCTTCGTCCTCCGAGACATCCCTCGACAGTGATATATCCCGTGATAGGACCTCGGGCACACGAGATTGAGAGCTTCGATCAACAGATCGATGGAAGCTCGATCGGCTGGCCAGACTAGACCGCCTCTGTCGGGTTTCCCGTTCGATCTCCTGCAACAGAGCCCGGCTCTGGTCCATACGCCATTCTTCGATTCGCTGCCACCGTTCTCGCTCGACGTTCGCCTCGCCCTCCTCGATGCTATCCAAATGCCTCTGCACACTTGAGTTACGGCGATGTTGGAGATGGCCATATGAGGGCCGCTGGGGGTTGTATTGCTCGTGCTGCCACAGCTGTTCCTGCACAGCCTGACTCGAGGCCTGGAAACCCCCTAGCCCGTCATGGGCAGGGAGCATCGCCGGTGGCCCCTGATCAAACCGTGTTGGGGGAGCCGGGCCCAGCTCGGGTGCTCGAAAGGCGTGCAGTCCATCGTCTAGGCTGTCCAGTTCGGTTCCATCTTCGTCCAGTTGGTCGTCGAGGGCATTTTCGTCATCGGCTTCACCCTCAACGCCAGATCCGGACTGGGTTGCAGCGAAGGAACCGAAGTCACTCAGCCGAGAAGGAGCAACAGTCTGCGTGCGATCGGTTGAAGTCGTGTGCGTCCGAGCGGTCGGGGAGAATAGGACCCATTGTGCGGTGTCGTCATCGCGCTGTTCCGGCGAGGAGGAGGGGATGTTGAGGGTCGGTGGTTGAGGGGTGGAATAGGAGGTTCTCCGGCGAGGAACGTGTGTTGGGACCTGGAAGGCCATCTTGTTGATGTGGTTGTAGCTGAAGCCGATAGGTGATAGGATAGGATAGGCACGATAAGCGTGTTTAATGGTGGATCCAGAGATCAGGAGAGTCAAGGCTGTTCAAGTGGGGAATAATAGCATTAGAGGATATAAGGGAGATTGGTATAAGTATTGAAAGTAATATTGGGAATAGTATTGGGAATAGTAGAAAGGGACCAAGTCCATAAAATAAAGAAAAGGACAAGAGTGGTGATGTCGATGGGGAGATTAGCTGAGATTAGCTGATAAGATCCCAAAAGGAATGATGCAACTGGTATCAGAATGGTGAGACCACCTTTCAAGTCGATTGATCCCTTGCTTTTTCTATTTCTCTTTTCTTTTTTTCTCTTTTTATTCATTCCCAAGAGGGCTATCTCCCTACTGTACGTACAACGTATGGCTTGAAGCCCATAATCTTGAATTCCTCATCAGCTGACAGACGGTCACCGGGATCGACACAGTGACGTGTGAACTTGCCATCACATTTGGCTATTAGCAGCTAACAAGATGGGTCTTTCGAAGAAAAGCTACTACACCGTACTTTGACATCAGCCTTGAAAGCATGCCATCGCCAAGAACACCACCATGTTATCGTGCTTTGGCTTGCACACTAAATGATACCCCTCACCTGGACAGTTACCCCTGTACGGAGTACTTTGAGACAGATAGCAACCCGCCAACATGGGGGGCATGTTCGGCTAAAGTTGCGACTCGAATCACTCAGAGGAGTGACAATTAACGATCCCAAGGGACAATATACTCGAATGTCGAAGATAAACGGATCAAAGGAAACCCTCGGGTTGGGCTTGGCAGATATATAAGGAGATGGGGACCGCGGTGATTGGTTGATTGCAATACAGAGTCTCGTTCAGGTACCTAGCTCGAAATTCTGTTCAGCCGTGGCTTTTTCTTTAAGCAAAACGGCTGCTTGGTTGTCTTGTTCGCAGGGTCTGATGCTGAAGTAGAGTGAGTAATTTCCAGCTTGGTTGCAGATCTGCAGATCAACCAGAAGGTAAACTCGACACGACTACGACATTTGGATGATGGCAGCCACATAGTTTAGCCTGGTATTTCTCATATCCATAATAGTACACATCGACGGCTGTCTTGTTTTGCTAGAAACTGGCCTCTTTCCCCACGTTCTCAATCACGGTTGAACCCCAAACTGCCTGACATTTAAGGTGTCATGAGATATTTTTAGATTTTTGCCAAGAGAGATATACAGAGAAGTGAAAGATGTCAAACTGGTATCATAGCTCACGGGGTATTTATTAGTCTACTAGAATGTAGCATCTCGAGCCGACGATCAATCCTTCCCAGCCAAAGCCTCTCCCACCCAATCCATCTGCACAGCACTAACTCCGCGCGCATAACTGCGGTTGGTGAACACAAATTCGTTGTACATAATCGCCTCGAGCTTCTTGCCGTAAAGCACACTCGACGGGTGAATGGCGACAGTTTGGTTTCCGACAATCGTACGATAGCTGCCATCGGGCACGAGGCGAGCCGTATTGGTGGCGAATCCAGCTAGGAAACTTCGGAGAATGAGGATGGGTGAGGGGTCATGTAATATGGTATAGTTCAAGGATTCATTGGTGAGTAGCTTGGCCTGTCGACATTGGGTGCGAAGTTGTTTGCGGACGTCCTAGTGATGTTTTGTTAGTTTGCGGTGGCTGGCGTTCGGGAATTATCTACTACTTACCATGACGGATTGCATCGCCCGGTGTGATACCAGGTGTCGCTCTGCCCATGCCTTACGATCGGCCTGTTCCGAGGCATACACACGCACAGTCATCAGCATTGTAAGGTGGTCACCATCGCGTCGGTATAAATCGCGACGGGCGGCTTCTGCTGCTTCCTTCTTCTCTTCTGAGGTGGTGTTCAGGAAAATATTCTCCACACTCAGACATGAGATAATATCAATCACATCTAGCAAGCACCCATGTCCGTTCTCGGCAGCTTCCAACAGCACACGACCTAGAGTTGGAGTCAAGGGCAGCTTGGCAATGTGTAGGCCGACAGCGCTGATCTTTCCATCATCTTCAAGGGCATTAATGTTCAATAGCTGCAGAAGAGCTTTCTCAAGTGCTTCCCGTGGTGGGCGGGTCAAGAATGGGAATCCAACAATGTCATCAACACCACGCGCCTTCATGTTCAGCAGGGCTTGGCTCAGATCACAACGCAGAATCTCGGGGGTGTTGGTCTCATCCAAGGCTAGATAGTCTTTCTCTGTGTATAGCCGGAAACATTGGCCAGGAGCCTCACGACCGGCTCGGCCCTTTCGCTGGATCGCAGCTGACTTGGAGATAGGCTTGACTAGGAGCGAGTCAAGACCTAGGCGAGTACGGAATTGCTTGACCTTTGCCTTGCCGCAGTCAATCACGTGCCTTACGCCAGACACAGTAACGGAAGTCTCGGCAATATTAGTGGACAGAACAACCTTGCGCGTTCGTGGTGGAGCGGGGGCGAAGACGCGTTGCTGGGCAGCCTGTGGCAGTGCGGCGAACAGAGGTAGGACCAGAATTTTAGGAAGCGATGGGTCCATGCTCATGGCATACTCATTCACCAGGTGTTCCAAGGCCTCGACGGTTTCCTGACCAGTGAGGAAGACCAGGATGTCACCCGGCATTGGTTCCTTCTGGTGGATCTGGAAGATAATTTTGAGCGCTGCGTCCACGAAGTCATGTACTGGCGCGGGCGAGTAGATAGTCTTGACAGCGAATTGTCGACCCTTAATGCGGCAGACTGAGATATCCTTTGAACTCGAAGTATCCATTTTATCGTCGTCGGCCTCAGCCGCTTCGATAGCCTTTTGTTGTGCCTCCGGCTTTTTCAATCCTTGATGGAAGAAATCCGTTAAACTCTCCATATCAGCCGTAGCACTCATGACAATGACCTTGAGCGGCACACCACCCCGGCCCTCCTTCTTGCCGGATACAAGATTGCGCAGGAATCCAAGTGTCAGATCCACATTGATGCCTCGTTCGTGGACCTCATCGACAACAATAGCGCTGTACTTGGTCAAGTTCGGGTCGTGCAACATCTCCTGGAGCAGCATTCCCTCAGTCAAGAACTTGACCCGCGTACTGGGAGACGTAGAGGTATCAAATCGCACTGAGTAGCCGACCTTGCTAGCAGGCGAATGCGATCCAAGCGGTGTACCCATCTCCTCAGCCACACGGCGGGCCAGCGAAATGGCAGCGACTCGACGCGGCTGGGTGATAGCGATACATCCTCCAACTATTTTCTTTTCCGTCTTTCCATCCCGTGTGATTTGCGTAGGTACGGGCCGACACCAGAATTCGTCTACCAGGAACTGCGGGATCTGCGTACTCTTTCCGCTACCAGTCTCACCGACCAAAAGCATCACATCTTGTTCGCGTAGCAGATCGCGGATCAAATCGGCATTTTCGAATACGGGGAGCTTTCGTCGCGTCTCGAGGAGGGCTTTGGCCTTTTCTCGTAAGGGTGTGAAATTGGTTTTGGTATCGGTGAAGGGTCTCGACTTTGATTTCGGGTATGATTTTGGTGCTGATGTGCCATTGCTTTGAGATGCGGTCTCGGGTTGCTTTTTTGGCACACGGGCTGCTTGATCTATCTCCTTCGCAGGTGCAGGGACTGCCCTCGGTTCATCTTGTTCGGCGGATTTAGAGGCTGCGGGCTCATCGAGCTTTCGCTTCTTGTTTCTCTTTTTCTTGCGCTCTGGTTCTTCTGTGGGTTGGGGGATACTTTGCGCTTCACGACCTTCTCATCGTCCGAGTCTGCGAACACGGTACGGACCTTTTCCGGCATTTTGAGTTGTGGCACGGAAGAATGGTGAGCAGGGACGAAGCTCAAATCTGAAAAATTCGCCTTATCGATAATCCGATAAGAACATCCTTATCAGCATCAACAACACTCCTCGGGCACGTCTACAGATAGTCAGCCCCTATGAGTATATTTGGATTGTTCATTTTTTTGGGTAATATCGTCACATGGTGCAGAAAGCCACACTACATATCTACAACACACAAAGAATAAGTGAAGATATTATGAAGTAGCTTGCTACTGGATGAAATTTGATCTTCGATATCAATTGTATCATCCGGTGACCGTAGCTCGCGCTTCTGCAAAAATCCGTTTTATTTCTTCATCTTGCGTTTCTTCTCGCATTTTCCACTCCGCTGACTGTATCCGGGGTTTGCTCGGCTCGAATTCAGCTTCCATCCAGCCACCCAAATATAATTTCCAGCGGCCCGACTCCATTCTGACGGGATACATATACTCCGGTTTAACTTGATACGCAACTCCCTTGCTGTATAACAACCCGATATAATTTCGTAGAGCCCACTGCATTTCGAGCACTAAATTGTGATCCAAGGCCCGGTCTTTAACACGGAGTAATAGCGGTACCCAGCGGAGGCGCGGCGATTTAATCCGAAAGACTTTACCGCTGGAGTTGGGTTCTGAGACGCGAGGGTGGTCAATTAATCTAGAAGGAATTTGGCGGAGAGTTCTTAATATATGATATTCGCGAAGGGAGTCATCGTCGCCAAACTAAAGACAATCGCCGTGGTTAATTATTGTAGCGGAACTCTTCAAGAGCCGAAGGAGACAAACTTGGCGATGAACAATTTTCCAGTATGACCTAGCAAGGTTTGTAGTGTTTGAAATGGTAAGCATATCGCTAATTCCTCCATGATGGGCGCGTTTGGCTGTATTCCGGTGACCGCGACTTAGTCCCGGTTGCTTCTTAAGTCCCATAGGCGAAGGTTTCCTCTCTGATCCGGCCAGGTGAGCCGATGCGGTGACCTGTCCTGAGCCGATTCCATTGCAAGGAAGCTGCAAAATGGGTTGGAGCGAGAAAAAAAAAGAGAAGGGCTCTAGTGTTGCAACGGAAGGGTCGTCTTCTGGGAGATTCTGTTGATTTGTTTACATAGGTACCGTCTGTAGATTACGTCATCAACAGACTGGGCCAAACATTTGCTAGGGCATGGTTACTACCTTCGCACATGTTGCGACATCAGCCGCCACCTAGGTATAACTCCTCGCTTAGCTCACCATGACCCCGCTACTCATGAACCTGACTGAGGGAGCAGCTTACAGGTCACCTGAGTCCGAGAAATCATTGCCGAACAACGATCTAAAAGAGAAGTCGTAACATCCATCGCCCCTGATAGATGGTTGTCTTCCGCCTGAAGAGCACTTTCACCCGCGCCATGCATGCAACGTGTTCCACTCCATCGTATTCAAAAGAAACTGATTTGTATCCACGTCCATGGAGCTCAGCCCAGGCATGTCGGGATATCCCCAGGGTTCCAAACTTGTGGGCGCCTGATCTCCAGCACCATAAGCCATTCCTATCACATTGGAATCCACCTGAATAGGCATGGACAGGTTGTCTGCATTGAGATGAGAGGTGCCACCAGGCTGCGCCGTGTCTGCATCTTGTCCAAATTTCGACATCATATGCATCAGTTTGTTCCGGATATCCGACACAATCCGCGGTGGAATTAGGGGCATCTCTTCCTGTTTGGCTGCCTGTTCACGTGCCTCCCAAGACTGAAGCACAATCCGAGAGAAGACGATAAATAAGGGACGTTCGTCATCCTTGGCATCCATCATGCGGACCTCGTAGTTGTTGCTCATCACCTCCCACGCCTGGTCTGTATGCTCCTCGACGGGCCTCCTCTTCAAATCTTGCAGTAGGTGGATGTATGCGGGGAAGGGGAAATGGAAGTGAATAAGCCATAGATATCCTTTCGTGAGAGGCGACGTCATAAGGTTGGTATCACATTCCAGCATGCGTAGCGCGTGTGATATGCCGACGTTACGCTGTGAATTTGTCTGCAACACAGCAGTAGCCGAGCATTGGGAGTAGTATTGCAAAAGACGATTTTTGGCGAGATATCCTCGCATTGTCCAGATTGTTATGAAGTGCAGTGGGTTCCCTGGATTGCAGGAAACTAAGTATTTCTCCTCTATCGTCTTCTCCAGCACCAGGAGCTGCTCCGCCTCGTCTACGGTTGTAGATCGAGGGGCTATAGTGTTCAAAAAGGGATTGGTGAGATCGAGATGGAAGGCACTGTGACGAACAAAATCGGAGAGCTCACAACGCACAACAGCGAAGAGCATCTCTGTCGGCCTGTTATTTGATGCGGGTGCGGGTTTAATATCTGGCTGAAGCTCGAAATCACTCACGTTGAGTGGAACGCGGCAGTCCCAGGTAGGGGCTAGCGACACTGTCTTATAGTCGGACATTTCGCAGATACGAGTATCGAAGATGATGAGCGACCACCAAAGTCTTCGACGCATCTCAGCTTCTAGAGCGGAACATTTACCGTACGTTGACTCATCGTGAATACCTATACGCTGACCGATTCGAATAGCAACACTAAGCATTGATGACAGAGATGCAGGATCCGTGTCAGGTCTGATGGACACCTACAAAAATCAGTGACAGTAGATAAATCGACTCGAAACACCTACTAGGTACAGATATAATGCGGTCAATGACTCCCGTTCACTGGAGCCTAGAATAGAACAACCTCGTAACGCTTGTTGACATGCAGACTGATACACTGTCAAGAGATCCTTTTTGGGAGATCCAAAGAAGGCGCTGCATTGATCTTCTGTGAGGCTTAGGGTAGAGACACAGTAGATACTGAACATCAAGGCCTCCAATGTGGGATTGACGTTGGCGATATCACTAGCAGCATCGATGATACGTGTTTGAAGGGTGGGTGTATGCGTTACTTTGAGAAGAGGGTTGACGTTATCCAAGTAGATCTGCCAGAGCCTGAAGATCTGTACCTGAGTCGGATGAAAAGTAGAAAGGTCATCGACATTCCCTACCGGTGAACCGAATAAAAGATGGTCGTTAGTTTTATCTTGAAACATATGGTTCCATGCCTTCCTGATCACGGCGTGGCGCATATCATCGTTGTCGTGTAGGAACCCGTTGTCGATTTCGTCGGCTTCGCCATCTTCGCCGTCATTACCGTCATCATCCTTGGAATGTATAGTCTTTCCCAACTGTGAGTAAGCGTCATAAATCATTCGTAGAGTCCGTCATACCTTTTGACTCATGGCATGCCATATATCGCTACTGCATGATTAGTCATCCCGGGTAATGCCCAGGCGTGTTCAGCAAATGAACAAGAGAGAACCTCGTACAATGATTTAGACTTGACTGTCTTCTTTTCTCTTAATAGGCCAGAATTCGTATCAGAAACAGTGCTTTCCGGCTGGCCACCCTCTGGAATTCCATCTCGCTCATCCTGGCTGGGAGACCTACGGTCTCTAGTAGGCGTGTGGAGAGGGTCGAACTTGATGTTATGCTGGCGCAGCAGGCTCTCATAGTGGCGCAGGCGCGCCAACAGGTCTCTCTCAGCAAACCTCCGGCGTCGCTGGCGGGTTGATTGCTCGCACTGTTCGCCGGCACGCACACAGTTGACGCAAGGGAATGTGCGATCACACTTGATCTTGCGTTGCTGACACAACACGCAGGCCAGCACGCGCCGGGACTTGATATGTTCAGATGGAGAGATTGGTGTCGCCATGGCATGGGACTATTGATTCTATTCCGGCAGCAACGTTGTTTCTAGAACCCGGACCCCAAAACCCGCCTGGGTTGAGGGAAGAAGGCAATCCAAGGGTCTCGGGGAAGTCGGGCTTTATAAGGTCCGAAATCAATGGCGTTTGCTAACCCTCGCACTTTCTAATCCCCGACCATCGTGTTGACCATCTTGCAAAATGCGAAATCACCAACCATGTTTTTCCCCCTGTCCCACAATAAATATGGAGGATATCCTAATTTATTCATTTTGGTCTGGACTATTACCACTCCAGCATTAAGAATTCATCGATCGTGTCTGACTTAGTGGATCTATGAATACCTCAATCGCCATGCCTCCATCACGGACTTTAACCTCTGAGACTACAAAATTAGTTACCGTAGACGCTACCCAGTTGATAAAGCAACATAGTGAGGCGGCTACTGATGAATCTGTCAAAGACGAAGCACCAGCCAAAGCTGGATCCCCTCCAGGTCCTCCGGGCCCCGAGAATCAGTCTACCCTTAGGGTTGTCTGTCTAATTGTATCAGCTTTTGTCGCCATGTTCTTGGTCGCGCTAGACAGAACAATCATCTCGACGGTATGTGTATCATATACATTGGATCCAGCCCAATTGCATCGCTAATTTATAGGAAAATTGTTAGGCAATACCCAAAATCACTGATGAATTCAACTCCTTCGACGACGTTGGCTGGTACGGAAGTGCCTACTTGTTGACATGCTGCGCATTCCAATTGTTGTTCGGCAAGCTCTACAAACTCTTATCCGTGCGAATCGTCTTCCTTGCTAGTATTCTAGTTTTTGAGGTTGCCTCTGCTATCTGTGGAGCGGCTCCGAATTCAGTCGCCTTTATAATCGGAAGAGCGATCTGTGGAGTCGGCGCTGCTGGTATCCTGGCTGGCACTGTAATTTAACTCCATTACCCTGCCTTGGGGGCTAATTGCTGACAGATGGACTCAGATAATGTGTATCATTCATTCCGTGCCTCTCCAGAAACGTCCACAAATCCAGGGACTTTTCGGCGCCCTTTTCGGCATTGCCTCTGTCGTTGGTCCCTTGGTTGGCGGCGCCTTTGTATCGAACGTGACATGGAGATGGTGCTTCTTTATAAATCTGCCAATTGGTGGCGCAGCCATGGTTTTCATTGCTTTCTGCCTCAAGATTCCCAAGCAAGATACTGCAAAGGTATCCTGGAGGGAGAAGCTGCTACAACTGGACTTCTTCGGCACTACACTTCTGGTGGCTGGAGTTGTCTGTCTCATATTGGCGCTCCAGTGGGGAGGCCAGGCATATGCTGTAAGTCATGTGGGCCTTTATTTTCGATCACAGCTAACATTTTGTAGTGGAGCAGCGGTCGCGTCGTGACTTGCCTCGTTCTCATGGCCGTCTTCCTTCCATCTTTTGTCGCTGTCCAAGTCTTCCTTCCAAAGACAGCAACACTCCCGCTGCGCATCTTTTCACAGCGCAGCATCATTTCAGGCTTCTGGCAGACACTCTGCATCGGCTCTGGAAACTATATCTTTGGTATACGCACCCAACCACCAAGAATTATAGTCCTTTACTGACGCCAATCACAGTGTACTTCCTCCCAATCTGGTTCCAATCCATCAAGGGCAGTTCGGCCGTGGAATCTGGCATCCGTCTGCTACCCATGATGATATCGATGGTCGTCGGCTCAATCGGTGGTGGAATTACAAACTCCAAGATCGGATTCTACAACCCACTAGCGATTATCGGATCCTGCATCATGTCCGTCGGAGCTGGTCTCCTCACCACGTTCCAGGTCGACACAAGCGAGGGGAAGTGGATCGGCTATCAGATCGTCTACGGGATCGGCCTGGGCTTATGTTTCCAGGTCCCCAATCTTGCTGCGCAGACCGTCCTTCCGAAGTCCGACGTGCCATCTGGGCTAGCACTGATGCTTTTCGGTCAGATGATTGGGGCAGCCGTCTTTGTGTCAGTTGGGGAGAATATCTTGGCTAATCAGCTCGTGAAGAGACTTTCCGGGCTGCCGGGGTTCAACTCCAACCTTGTCACCTCTGGGGGTGTCACAGGGCTGCTGGATACAATGCCGGCGGGTCTGCACAACACGGTTCTTCATTCTTACAATGACGCCCTGCGGAAGGTGTTTCAGGTTGGCATGGTTCTTTCTTGTTTGACTGTACTCGGTGCGGTTACTCTGGAGTGGAAGAGTGTCAAAACGGGACAGCCGAAGCCCGATGCGGAGAATAAGGGCCAGAGTGGAGAGGAAAGCAGTGCAAAAGCGCTGGAGGGCAAATAGACTGAACGAAGGGGACATTATCTTCTCTGGCTGGTTAAGTTTAGATTGAGATAGGCCATATATAATCCTCCAAGTCCTCGCTTAACTAACTAGCTCAATAGTTAAGTGGACTTGTTATGCATTTAGTGATCCTTAGCCAAGCCCAGACATATTTGCCTAAGACACTAAGACTATATAAACCCTATAACTAAATCTTTTAGAATTAAATCTATGTAAACACCACTGTTGGTCTCAGTGCGGGGCCCCACGGGAGATAAGGTTCTGATAATCCTTATTTAAACTTTGGGTAAAATGGGTACGCCCATGGGTAATTTAACCTGCGCGGGTTACCTGTGTCGGTCCTTCAAGACAAAGCCTGGCCTCACCCGCGTTTTGGCGAGGCCAACGTAAGAGAAATGAATTTAACATCCTGATCCCATTGAATTCAATATAGCTGAACTTTTATAAGGGAATAAATGGGGAATCCAAATACTGATATCAGCACCGAAAGACAGCCCACCTCATTTCTTTATGTATCTAACAAATCATTCATGTAAAAGTCATCAATCATATATCAATCCAAGCCCCAACCACGTACGCGGCGGAACACAAATGCTCGGTCATTTCGAAGACCAAACTCTCCCCAGTCATCCGTCAGTCTGTTGTAACTCCAGAAGCCCTTCCAGGCGAGTTTAGTGTTTTTGGATGGGTTAGGAGGAGCTGGCCCGACTTGAGCGGATTTGGGTACGGTCGAGGAACGTAGCGATAGATGCATCGTGTAAACGTACTTAGGATCTACACCCTCTGTTTCAATGATGAGATCCCGCTCATCCGAAAGAAGCGATTTCTGATCGGATGCTAGGTCCGGCTTCCAGGCTGCCGCGGGGATTTCGGGAGTTTCGGATGTGTCAACGGGCGAGGCCAAATGCCACCGGCCTCGAAGGCCGTGCTTCAGTGTATTCATGGCGATGGGTGGTACGGCATCCGTAACACCAGAGATGGTATGGCCCGCATCAGAGGGACGTCGTTGATGTTTTCGATGTGCTGGGGTGCGCGCCGACATTACATTCTCTTTGCTGATGTGGGGGACCACATCGACTGGCTCGGTTGAAGTGAGCAGTGAGATTACCGAGCCATCCGGGTAGAACCGCAGATAGCGGTAGTAAGTCACGATATGGATTGGACTGTTCCACGACAGATTCGAGTATGCAGATGCTGCACCAGCCCGAGTGTAGTTGACTGTACTAATGTAGATTCCCGTGAACCGAATTCGAGGAAGGGACTGGAACACTTGGCTCCATGAAGACAGCGGCGAGGGAATTTCCACAGGCCCATCCTTGGGAAACGGAGTGTATCGCGGCGCAAGCGTGTAGATCGGTTCCCCATGCAGGTCGCATGCAAAGTCATAATGCATTCCCTCGAAGCCGAATACTCGATCTTGACAGATTCGTCTCCAGATATGCTGCTCGTGGGCGAAATGGTACGCCATCCGCTTGCAGACCAGTGCCATCCGACCGAAGGCCGATGGGTCATCCATCGCCACATGTCGCAGGATCTCCACCAGAACTTCCGACGGTATGGTGGCAATTGGACAAGGCGGCGGTGGTGTGTTTTCGACGATAGGGTCCAGTTGTGAAATCGGGAGGTGTGCAAACGATGCGATGAGCTCAGGTGTCGGGAGGATCGGTATATCTGCGGGCTGTTGGGTCCCGGCGATAGGGCCAGTAGGCGCGGGCAGATTCGGCCTTTTCCATACATGGGCATAGTGCTTATTCCGGTAGGACTTATCGACCGAGGAATCTAGCTAAACGGAAATCAGTATTCGGACCGCAAATGCCATTTGAAGCGATGAAAACTCACCCGATATGCCTTTCGGTAATGCGACAGACTATCTCCCAAGTTTCCTTCAGCCTCCTTCTGGACCGCTCGTTCAAAGTGCTCCAGTGCAGAGGTGGGTTCTGCTACCTCTCGACGTGAGAAGTCATCTTCGGGTGGCTCCACGCTCAGCTCCCCAACTTGTTGGGCCAACTCATCGGGGTCAAAGGAAGCTAGCGGGGGGCCCTCCTCCTCAATCTCTTTCCGGTGAGATGCCTCATGGCGTGTGGGCGGAAGACGAGCGGAAGGCGGGGCAGTGGGAGTCGGAATTGCAGGAGCAGGGGGGGGCAGCTTTGGGTCTTGATCGACGAGTGACCTCCTCGCGCCACTGTTGACGGAACGATTCGAGCTCGTCGTTATCATCCATGGCGTGGTAGTAGGACGTTCTCCCAATGCCTGGATGTCCAAGGGTGTCTCCAAGATGACACACGCCGATCTCGGGCAGGCTTGGCATCCCCCCAGGGTCCACTTCTCTCTTCTTTTCTCTCCTCTTTTCTCTCCTTGAGTTGAACAGAATTCCTTTGCAATACCAACCAGGCTTAAATTGGACTTTTACTAAAATGGCAGAGTGAATCGGTTTATTGGCTAGTTTTCCCTCCATATATCCTCCGTTAATCCACCGGTAGTCTCATTTTGTTCACTTGCTTGCCCTCGAGAACACACCATGTAAATATGAGTTCCATCCTTCGCCATGCGCGAATATAATAATCGGGCTATATTCTGCTCTTCAGCAGTGGTGCCAACTGGTTGGGTGGTATGGGTGCCTCCCCGGCGATGTCTCCAAAAGAACGAATGTATGGGTTGTGGGAACTCTGGTGTTTGAGAGGACAGTGAATGTATCGTGAATGTATTTATTGTGTATACCGCAAGACCTACAGTCACGTCTTGCGAGATTGGGGTATTTATCTTCAGAAGATGAAGTGGAGTGAGAATGAACAAGTAACTTATACTAACACTTCGACATAGAGATCAACCATTTGTAGTGATACATATCCCCTCACTAATTACAACAAACACGAGAGCTTAATGAATATCATTCGATGCAGGAATATCAGGTTACGGAATCCCAGACTGTATGGGAATAGTATGATTAAATTCATTAAGCAATTGTATATTTGAAGTGTATTGTTAAATAGTGAATTGTACAACATAGATATATATATATTGATGTTCGGTGGGTAATGCTTATTTTCCAGAACTATAGCGGAGGGTAAATCGATGTACTACATAGTACACTTTCTCATATGATAGACATTATAGACATTATAGACATTGTATTGCTTTTTTACATTCTCAGCTATACAAAGGCGATATACGACATAGTAGCAAAGATTGCACCATGCACCTCGATATCTCCATGGAGTAATGTTCTGATACCATCCTGCTAAAAAAGAATATATTCTAGGGTGATCCGGAAATATGCAAATACACATGGGCTTTGGTAGTTGCTCTGAAAAGAATGAGATTTGGTCGCATTCCTTTGGATTCTATCCGTGCTGTTACATTTAAGTATAGTTGTTGTCTTGGCGAGGTTCTATAGTTTTGTTGTTTTATGTCTCCGAAAGAATGAAGGCGCTACTTGGACACCTTTGTTTGCATTCCACACTCAGGCACCCCCTACATTAGTCTGTTTTCTTAGCCCAACATGTGAAATGAATGGCTTCTCCTTTGTTGGTATTGAAAATTCCTCAACGGTACCGTAGGATAAGATCTTCTAAGGGGTCAGAATGTACATTATTTCTCTGAGAATAACATTGTTACACTGGACGATCTGTGAGGGAGTGAAGTACAAATATCAACCTAATCCTTAATCCTTGCAAACTAGGTCTTTCCTTGCGATCATTCTACCAAAAGCTTCATCATCATCATGAAGGCGACAACGGCAGCGTCGGTTTTGGCCCTAATCTGGGAGGGAGCTACAGCTCAAGACTACAATGCTGCACCCCCAGATCTCGCAACTCTCCCCGCACTCTCCTTGTTTGAGACTTGGAGGCCACATACCCATGTCCTCCCACCCTACGGCCAGATCGGTGACCCATGTGCACACTACACTGATCCCGAGACAGGCTCTTTCCACGTTGGGTTCCTCCACAATGGTACTGGAATTGCCGCTGTCCAGACCGATGATCTTGTCCATTATTACGATGTGAGACCTAATGGCAACTACTCCATCGTGGCCGGCGGTCCCAATGACCCCCTTGCCGTTTTCGATGGCTCTGTCATCCCTAGCGGAGTCGATGGGAAACCGACACTTTTATACACCTCCGTGTCGGCCCTACCAATCCACTGGACGCTTCCTTATGTCCGAGGAAGTGAATCACAATCTTTGGCGGTCACCTACGACGGTGGAAAGAACTTCACCAAGCTGGATATCCCTCCTGTTATTCCGGAGCCACCAGCAGACGTGGACGTAACGGGTTTCCGCGACCCTTTCGTATTCCAAAATGCGGAACTCGATCAAACCCTTGGTAGTGCCGAGGGTACCTGGTACACCATCATTTCAGGTGGCGTTCGTGACGTCGGCCCTGGCTTGTTCCTCTACCAGAACACCAGCCCCGACTTCGAGCAATGGGAGTATCTTGGTGAATGGTACAATGAGCCGGCCAACTCAACCTGGGGAAATGGCGACTGGGCTAAGACCTTCGGCTACAACTTCGAGACTAGCAACGTCTTCGGTCTCACCAGTGAGGGATACAGCTACAACGGCAGTCCTTTCCTAACCATTGCCGTGGAGAGCTCACTCGATCCCATTCAGGACTCGGTATCCTCACTCCATGCCCAGCTCTGGGCAGCAGGCTCAATCGAAATCCCTGAGGGTGAAAACGTGACATTCAGCCCTAATATGGTTGGTGTATTTGACTGGGGCTTGGCTGCCTACGCAGCCGCCGGCAAAGTCGTACCCGCATCTTCCCAAGCCTCCACTGCGAGCGGCGCCCCGGATCGCTTTATCAGCTACGTCTGGTTGACTGGAGATGTTTTCGGAGGAGTTGTTGGCTTCCCAGCTGAGCAGCAAGGATGGCAAAACACCCTGTTGACCTCTCGCGAGTTGTACCTCAAAACCATCACCAACGTGGTCAACAACGATCTCGTCGCGGAGACTGGATCGTGGCGTTTGGCCACTGGCTCCGACTCACTCGGCAACTGTGTTGAGCTCGAAACACTTGGAATCGAAATTGCCCGGGAGACATACGACGCTATGACGGCTGCCCCTAGCTTCACCGAACCAGACCAGACGATCACTAGTGCCGGTGTTACTCCCTTCACTCGCTCCCCGGAAACTAAGCACTTTATCCTCGAGGCTGAGATTAGCTTCAACGCCCGTGCTTCTGACCTGCAGGCCGGTTTCCAGATCCTGGCAAATGAGTTTGAGTCCACCACCATCTTCTATCAATTCTCTAACGAGTCCGTCATGATCGATCGCTCCAGAACGAGCGCCGCTGCAGACACGACCACCGGTATCGATGCATCACCGGAATCTGGCCGTCTTCGTCTGTTTGACATCAACGACTGGTGTTCGTTCAAAGACAACAATGGTGGCCACGGCGGCCAGGGAGGCCACGCCGGAAATGGCCACCACAACTGTGGTGGAAAGGGCGAGAAGGGTGAACATCCCTCGACTAGCTGCCAGACCGGCCCTGCGTCCGGAAGCGATGCCCAGACCTCTTACTCCACTGAACTTGGTGGGGAGCACATTGAGACTCTTAGCCTGACTGTTGTTGTTGACAACTCCGTCCTGGAGGTTTACGCCAACTCTCGCTTCGTGTTGTCTACCTGGGTCCGGTATGTTTCCCTTATCCTTTCGCTTTCAATTTTCCCTGAACGTAAACTAACTCTATGACAGTCCTTGGTACCAAAACTCGACTGAGATTCGCTTCTTCCAGAACGGAGAGGGTGAATCGTCTTTCAGCAACATTCGTGTTGCCGATGGGTTGTACGACGCTTACCCAGAGAGACCTCAGTGAATTATGCAGTATGACTTGGTATTTTAGCAGGATATTTGCGTTCGGTCTTCCCGGCCGAAAGAAACAGAGGAGAAGAGATATTGATCGGAAGGGACACGCTCTTATACGTAGTTACTACTAATATATGATCAATTAATTTATGAGATAGTGAATTGAATGAGTTCTTCTATGGAGGAAAATCTTTACCATGTGCTCCGACATAATCCTTCAGCGCCAACCCTAATTCCCATACAATGAATTTAGCAATGTCCGTTATTAAACCCAAACCCAACCCACCCTGAAGCCTTCGTTGGTTATACCTACAACGTAGGTGCTTTGAAGAGTTATACCTACAACATAGGCCCCCTTCAAAGCCAAGTTGGAGAAACAGCCAATCAGATACTGGAATTCCTTTAATCGACCCCACTCCCATCAACTGCCCTTTTTGGAAGTGAATATTGCCACAACAGCCCTGAAGACATATTGTAATAAGAACATTTTATCCACTATTTCCCCTCTTAGGAACTTGAATAGAGAGAGTCTAAGGGTTGATAATCCACCGGATAACTCTCTGGGTACTTTAGGATGGGATGAAAAGTTTTATCACAATTAATTTGCCTTCGATCTAGTATATTAGGTTAACCTCCGACCTTTTTTTGCTTGTTCCCTCTTATATCATTACATTCCTTTGCTTACGCTATTGTCTTCTACCCGATTCCCAACAAGGCACCTCTTCAACACCTTTACTTTCATCCTCAGTCATGAGCGGGACACAAGTGGCTCAAAAGCTGTTGCAGGCCGCCCATGTAGCTCCAGAAATCTTCCAACTGCGACCGGATTACCGCGCCCTATTAATGGTAGTGGAGGGTATTCCTCCCGGCCCAAGCGATGATTCCAGCGAAGCGCTTTTGAAAGAGGCTGAAAACTCCATCAAGGACAAATTGTCCAATTGTCCCGTTACCGAACTCCCACACATCGCCGCATGGCGCGAAGCCTACAAAGGCTTTGGAGCCAAACCCCAAAAAACGCGAAACAGCCTCGAGGCTCTGACTCGCCGCGCGCAGGATGGCTTGCCACGAGTCAACCGCCTGACCGATATCTACAATGCCATCTCTGTCAAATATCAGATCCCGTTCGGAGGTGAGGATCTCGACAAATACGATGGATCGCCTTTCCTAGTTCGCGCTACTGGTAAAGAGGAGTTCGAAACTTCTTCCGGAGGGAAACCTCAAACGGAACTTGCAGCGCCTGGGGAGCCAGTTTGGTGTGACGATAGTGGTATCACTTGCCGTCGTTGGAATTGGCGACAGGGTCCTCGGACTGCGTTGACCGATGATACTTCGCGGGTTTTGTTCATCCTCGATGCATTAGAGCCGCTGACTGACGATGTTCTGGCTCAAGCTGCCGATGAGCTTGCTTCGGCTTTGGAACGTCTATCCCCAGAGGTACAAACAGTGCGCCAGATTATTGGCCCTTCGGTTTGACTACTCGTTGATGACTGTTCAAATGGTGTGAGAATTGTCTGTCAATGAAAGAATATGTGCCCTATATAAATTGTGAGAAACATGAGGATTGATTTAAGAACCCGGTAGTGGAGCATGTAGGTGTCAGATGTGTTATATTCAGAAGCCAATGTTAGTGCTGGTCAACCTTATTTCAGGTCTCAAAATCATAAATCAGTGAAAAATGCAAGTATGTTGTAGCAAAGACGGGCAGTTAAACTGTGGCTATGGCGACCACACCTTGAACCGGACATCCATTTCATCAGGCGCCGTCTCCTCCGGGACAAGAGTATCCCAGAGAGTAGAAAAATTCTCAACCCTTCTTATCTCCGTCGTCATTTTACTAACTACCCCCGGTATAACTTTGTACTATATGCTATATCTCCAGGGCATAATATACATATCGAATACCCTGCGGTGCTGGTATCTCTACCCATCTTAAATATCTCTTTGGCGTCTACCAACAGACGCGCGGGAAGGAACCACCAGAGTGCCTGGAAAGCGGGAACCACTTCTCGACCAGCTGGCTAACATCGCCCAAACCAACTACGACCAGCTATTTACGGGACTTACTGTCGTTGGTGGCTAGTTTAAATGATAATATGGAATCGGATATCGTTCGACTTGTGTTGTGAGGTCGAGAAACGTGCCTACTTGAGTTTATATATCATAGCTCTTTATTTATGCTATGGTTATCCAGTTGCACTACAACAGTCTACGTCTACCTTATAAAGATTCACCCACCCCTAAACTAGCGGCCAAGAGATCTGCTACTTTTCTTCAGATTCAATTTCGGTTCAATTTAGATTCACTTCAGATTCACAACTGTTCGACGGGTGGCACCTGGGCAGCTGCGTCCGCAGGCGGCCGAATCTTTGGCGATACTGCGATCTCTCCGATGTGCCATCCTTCATGCTTGATCTTCGCTTGCCTCATCATCCCCAGCAACGGCCCTGCAAGTCAACAGGAAGGAGCCTCCCACCGAAAGCCCTCCTTAGGAAGGTGCCCCCAGCTTCAAGTCAATGATTGAGGCATATAATGCCAAGCATCGCAGTCAGAATTGCTTCGGTGTCCAATAACACACCAATGGCGATCGTTCCACTCGGTTGTTGCTGCACATTTGTTCGGCTATATGCATGGCCAAGGAACAATGGATGCTATTTTTGGAAAAGGGGGAGACATCTTTTCTTCGCACAATGGACTTCTGGTCAGTCTAGAGTTTGAAAACGCTACTTCGATAGTGGGAAAATGGCCATTGTGCCAGACGTTGGAGAAAACGGCGGGCCCTGGGTGATGCTGCATTCAATGAGTTGCAAACTCCGAGAACTCAACATGAAGACTTTGGACCAGGAGTGGAACAAGCTCGACGACATGGTTGACGATAAGTCAGGTTTGACCTACAGACAGCTTGAGGATCTGACATCGGCCTGACCCGTTAGTTAGTTATCTAGCCTTTAACAGATAGACAATACATCATATCTATCTTCCCCCAGCTTTCGGTGCTTACAACGAAGGGCTAGTTAGTTAAATGGGCAGTATGTATGCTGCAAAATACGAAGATGGGAGATTGCCTCTCAAGGAAGAAGGTTGGAGTGTGGAAATATAACTACTTATGGAGGCTCGGTTTTTATACTTAACATATATATCTATTCACACCTATTCATGCCTATTAATCCATGATAGATGGATACTCCAACTCTTCAAAATCTACAGATACCCCATTATACAAGCTCCACTATCGATCTTCCCTTTGGTTGAGCCGAAGTAGCCTGTTTTGTCTCATGTCCGACCTCGGAGATCAGATCAGATTGATAAGCCCAAGTGGGAAAAAAAAGGCTTAAAAAAAAAAAGAAATAGCCAGGTCAAGTAGTCAGTAGTCATAGAACAGTAGTCATAGAACGAAACTCATTAAAGACGAACAAAATACTAGAAGTTGCTCAAATCAGATCCTTCCAGTGTCTTCAGCCCCTCCAAATCTCTCCAACTCACATCCAAATCTCCCCCAAAACGCTTATCTCCGCCCACCGCCACCCGCGAAACCCCGAAAAACTTGCTTTTCCCGGTGACGCATCCTTTTTCCTTTCAACACAGGCGCGGAGAACTCTGGACTGTTTTCTTTTGTTTTCTTTTTTTTCACCATCGAATTGATTGAATGCCGCACGTGGAATTTGCTTCAGGCGACGCCACTGGCAATCAGTTCGGCACAGACTCAAACGCCTCGCTAGGGACATCATGGACAGCACAGTTTGAAGATTCTACAATGGCCACTACATCGGCGACAGACTCTCCTCCCCCACCCAAGAGCCCTGTCCCAACAGATAACATTACTCCTGCCCAGCGGATGGTGTCTGCGACCGCCGGCAATGTCTTAACAGGTCTTCTAGGTAAGTCGGAAGAGCTCCCGATCCTTGGAATCCCGAGTACTAACAGCTCGCAGTGACACCCTTGGATGTTGTACGAGTCCGTTTACAATCACAATCCCAGGTCTACAACACTTCACCCTTTACCTCCCACACCACCCAAACCTTGAAAAACCTCCCTCCAAACCTCGGTATCACATCCTGTTGTCGTGAAGTATTCTGGGTCGGAAACGATGCCCAGATGTGCATGCTAGGATCTCAGGCGACCGTGGTCGGAACCCATCCACACCCGGCGATTGATTGCGCCGTCGAAGAAACACAACGGCGAACATTCACATCCACTCTCGATGGGCTACGGAAGATCGCACGCAATGAAGGAACATTGACACTGTGGCGAGGGTTGAGCCCGACCCTGATGATGGGAATCCCGGCCAATGTCATCTACTTTGCTGGCTATGACTGGCTGCGCACAGATGAACGAAGTCCCATCAAGCAGCGCGTGTCTGATGGATATGCGCCCTTGATAGCTGGATCCTTGGCTCGTGTCGCGGCTGCAGCCGCGACCAGTCCGCTGGAGATGTTCCGGACGCGTCTCCAGGCAACTCCGGGGACAGGCGCGGGCCATTTCAAAGCCACAGTGCAGGATTTGTACCATATGACACAGGCAAGGGGATATAGCTCACTCTGGCGAGGGTTCACTCTTACCATGTGGCGCGATGTTCCTTTCTCCGGGCTTTACTGGTGGGGATACGAGGAGGTGAGGAAGGCACTGGTCGCGGCGCGCCAGAAAGCCCCTCATCTATCGGGCTCGGATCATGAGCCCGAAGAATCAAGTCTCCAAGCTTTCCTCGATAGCTTCATCTCCGGAGGTGTTTCGGGTTCTTTAGCGGCACTTGTTACTACTCCGTTCGACGTTGGTAAGACGCGACAGCAGGTTTTCCGACATTTGGACGATGTCCCTCTCACTGGCGCCCCCCGCACGGCATTACCCCTCGGCATCTTGGCGCCAGAACAATTATCCTTACCAAAATTCCTCATGCACATCTTCCGTGAAGAAGGTACCGCTGGTCTATTCCGTGGTTGGACGGCACGATGTTTAAAAGTTGCCCCGGCCTGCGCTATCATGATCTCAACCTATGAGCTTGGAAAGCGCATGGCCCGCGAGGTCAACGAACGGCGACACTCCGACGCATAATCTCCCCTTTTGTACAATTATAATATATATGCGCTGTCTCTCTGTCTCTCCACCTTCGTTTTTGTTATGGCGTTTCTGATGATACCGCATGAGCCGAGTTATAGAGTCGTTTGCATTTGCATTTGGAATTTTGGGTGTTTCTATGTATATACATTAATGGAAATCTCTCTCTCTGATATATAATAATATCGATATATCACATATAATACATATAATACATATATATGTAAAGCTCGTATGGCAAGACCTTGACTCACAACACAGCCCGAGGGCAGAGAGTATCAGCGGGCAAGCTAAGGGTGTCGGGGCGTGATCATCCGGACCCCAACATGAGGCTGAAGTGCGCCCCCTGATTTGTTGACATTTAAGAAAGGTCAGATTGCCTCTCGACTTGGTCCCTGCTATTTTCCCCACGTTTTGAATCCTATATTCAACTGGAGTCGCCAATATGACTTCGCGACCACCCGTGACCGGCCACAGTCACTCATGGTTCGAGCATATTGCTGTCGCAACAGATACTAATGTTGAGTAAGTGCGTATTCCATATTATCATATTCAGATACTAACTTATTGCACAGTATTGTTGCTGTGCCGCCTATCGGCGCCCATCATAGAAAGACATGGATAGCGCATGGCGCGACATCCTGGCTTGATACTGAACTACTACGGCATATTCCTCGAGCGCGAGTCCTGCTGTATAAATATGGAGACCTGCGTGACGATAAAATCGACACCTTGGGTGAACGACTGTTGAACCAACTACGTAGTGAGCGGAAACATGAGGTATGTTATCATCTTCTCTTTTCATAACTACATAATTATGAAGAATTTACTAAAAGTCACCAGCCAAGTCGACGTCCCATCTTTTCATATGCCATAGCACCGGCGGTCTTGTTGTGAAAGCAGCCCTAGCCTTGGCATCACGAGAGCCAAGCCAGTCGATCTTAACCAGCTGTCATGGCATCGCGTTCTTTGCAACTCCCCACCAAGGCTCCACGTATCTCTCCGCCGATGAGTATGCTGCCAGTATTCGCCATCTCCTCCACCTAGAACATGAGACTCCTGCAGCGCTCAGGAAGCAATTGCGTCCACGTCAAGAGCGGCTATGGCATCTGTCAAACCAGTTCAAGACCCTTTCGGCCGATATGAAGGTCTGGTCTTTTCTTGAAACTGTGGATTCCACTATGTGTGTAGTCGACGCTGAAACAAATAATGTACTCGAGTTCCATGTTCCCATCACTTCCATTCGGTCGGGTTTGTTAGATATTGAGCATGAACAGGAACTACCCATGGCAACAGACCATACGGGAACGGCAAGTTTCCATGGCCAGGAGTCCACACGAGATAGATTTCTGCAGGATCTCGATGATGCTGTTGACATTGCAGTTGAAATCTCAAAGCGCGAGGATACGCCGTTGGGCGTAGAACAGAAAGTCATGGTCCAAATTAATGGCTTCTTTGAGGATACTGCACTGGGCCTCAGTGACGAAACTCCCCTTAAGCTGTGGTCGACCACAGTCTCCTTGGAAGACTACCTCTCTCGGGGCCCATCGGTTTGCCTTCGGGAGAGACTTGGCCGAGTCCAGCCCAGTGGCGTGGACGATTCGTCAATCAGCAGTTTTGACAGTCCTCGGTCATCATACATTGCTCCTGGCTCGGATCCACATGACCACCATCATGACCACCCTGACGAGAAGCCAAGGCCTCTTCGAGCTCCTCTACCCTACAGGCGAAGCTTCGATGATCCATCCGGTCCGTCTCCGAAGATCCATATCACCGAAGCAGAGAGGGAGGGCTACTTGAATGACTCACGAAGTGACACCCCTCCGCCGGAGGAGCAGAAACGAAAGAGTTCACTCACCAAGGCGCTTGGCTTAATTCCACTCAAGCGATCTCATCGTAGAAGTGCTTCTGACAGCAGCTCCCAGGGAAGTATTGAACGGCCACCTTCGTAAGAAAACCACAGTCCGACGCTTGAGCCGAAACCCTAAGCTAATAGATAATAGAAGTTCTTCTACCTCTCAGCCAGTGCAATCGCCATTCCTGGCAATACCCAAGTCTACTCGCGATCGTATCAACCAGAATGCCGACATACCGGATATACCGCGAGCAGTTCCGCGTTTCGATCGGCCTGAAGCTGATACTGAGAAACTGATGTGGATCCATGTGCCGTACACGCATACTGGTTGGGTATCCCAAGTCATCCGCCGAGCATGTCAGGATAGACAAGAGCCTAATTTGTAGGGCATATGAACTCCATAGATACATACCTCTGTATGTTGCTGACTACCTTTGCAGTGTTCGGAAATTTATCAACGACGAAAATTGGTATCTCCGGCTTAATAGGGCTCGTCACCTCGAGCCTCATGCACGTTTCGTCAAGCCCGCATGCATCCACTCAAGACAAATGGATATCCCACAGAGCCCGTCTGATGCTTCGGAGGATCCTCAACTCGCTCTATATGTACGTTCCAAACCATCCATATCAATACCAACGCTGACATCTATTCCTATCAGGCTCCCTACGTTAGTATTTCTTCTAATTAACCAAGTTTCCTTCTTCCGCACTGTACTAACACACCCCAGCTCCACTGGGATACATACCGCAACCTAATCCAACGACGCAAAGTAGTCGAAGACCGACTAAACCAAGGCCGATCGAGACCCGTCCCAGGCCGAATCTCAAAAGCAAGCCTGGAAGCCCAACTCATCTGGACCTATCTCGGCTGCGAGCCCCCGGTTCATTTCCGCCGAACACTCGATCAATACGGATATCCCAATCTGCGGTCGACTATCGCTCGTGACGACGACCAGATGCTCTGGAAACGTACGCGCAGACCGGCACGCATTGACGAACAGCTTAAAGAGTATTTGCAATCTGCACATGATGACCCCGAGAACGAGGAGAATGTTGGAGAGTTTATGGATGGGAATGTTCTGATGGTTGATCAGCTCTGGCTTTGGATCCTTGACCAGAAGACTGTTGTTACTTTCTTTCCGAATCAGGAGGCTACGACCTCTGAGGGAAAGCTTTTTGAACAGTCAAACTTGCATAGTAGTATTTATAATGAGTTGAATGGGGATCTCTCGCGTCGCTTCGAGACCGCTGGGGACTTGGCTGCTCTCATTATGCTGCATGCTGTCACCGTGCTGCTGGACAAGACTCTGAATCATGATCTGCAGGTATTGCGCATCTTTGAGGAGTCTATCAGCATATTGGTAAGAGTGACCCTTCTTACTCCCCTCTCAGAGTGCTGTTTTTAACAAAATCAGACCGAATCCGTCACCAAATCCTTCAAGCGCTTCCGAAATAGAGGCTTCACAAACCGCCCAGCGGATCATGACCGTACCTCAGACGGCAAGATCATGACTGCCGCCCAACAAGACTACAAAGAACTGCAGGTTGCTCGACGAAACCGGGAAGACCTCTCCGTCCTGCTTGAACTACGCGACATCGAAGATGAGCTATCCACCATTTTAAAGCTACTTGAGCAACAAGACGCCGTTATTAACAGTATGGTCAAATACTTCGATAACAGGGGGATGGTAAATCATTCCTCGATATAGCACAACAGCGGATCGACGAGTATCGTTCGCAAATCAACGATATGAAAGAAAACAGCCATCTGACACAGAAAGCAGTGAGTTCTACCTCCCTGCTTACTATTCTCAAATGCTAACAAGTAAGGTCGAAACTCTCCTTGATCTCAAACAGAAACAGGCCAATGTCGACGAAGCCAAAATGACTCGCTGGCAAGCTGAAGTCGCTCAAACGCAGTCGCGAGCAGTGATGGTCTTCACCATATTCAGTGTTGTGTAAGTCGATCCATGACAACCTCAATAACAATTTCTGACGGTCCAAGGTTCCTCCCTCTATCCTTCTTTACCTCCTTATTTGGAATCAATGCCCGGGAATGGAGCGGCGAACAGACAAACCCAACCCTAGGAGAAATGTTCGAGATCGCAGGTCCGTTTCGTTGCAAAACACTAACTATATCAATACAACAACTAACATTCTCCAGCCCCGGCTTCCTTTGCAATTATCTCTCTCTCGCTCTTCGTTGCTTTCAGTGATACACTACGCGACATCGTATCGAAAACGCACAAGATCGGCGTGGGATTATGGAAAGAATTCATCGTCCATCCGGTTAAATCGTACTTGTGGGATTCTGCTACAAGTAGAATGGATGTTCATGTTGTGCCTGAGGATTCTGAACTTAGGAAACGCTTTGATGAGTACCTGGGTTATGGGAGGAGGAATATGCAGCGTGATGAGGATATCTGGCAGCGGTGGCAGGGGGGTCCGATTGCTGGGGTGAAGGGGGTTAAGAGGGAGAAGTCTCAGGTGAAGCCTGGATTGAATCGGAGAGGTCGTGGGGAGGTTTAGTTTGTATATTCTTGCTTTTTGGCATGGTTTTGTCTTTTTGGTGGCTGTTTGATATCCCCTGCATCTTGTATTTTATATCTTGGTTTTTGTCATATATGCGAGAGCTTATACCTTTTCCTGTAGTCTCACACGCTCTAAGAGATCCAACGTAAATTCTGAATGGGCAGAGGATATACATATCTCTCTCGTCTCAAGGGACAAAACGAATCTTGAAAATAATTTGGTTCTCATTCTCAACACGTATATATTCGTGTACTGAAGGATATAAGTAACCATGAAGACAACGGAAACACCGCTAGACATGATTTGAATTTAGTTCATCTCGCGTGCTAAGAAGCCAAACACCGTGATGTAGATAAGGGAAAAGAAAATGGGTAACAGACTGCTCGACATGGGGTATTTCAAAGATACATAAGTTCAAAAGCAAAATGTTGAAGTTCATAACCAACCCATAGACGTATGCAGGTTGCGAGAATAAGGATACGCAGGTTGTTTGGGGTTGGAACGGTGTAAGGAGACTCCAAGCTCGTTCGAAGGAAATAGACTCGACTGGATAGCCATCAACATCAGTTTTGTAGGCAGTAAACAAGCGCTCGACGAAAATCCAATGGTGGGATAACTGGGCAAGGAGCCGGTATCTCCATATTTTCATCCCATATATCAGAGTGCTCTTCATCCCTCAATAGCAGGCAGTGAGGCAAGATTCATAGCTGAGCACTTCAAGATAGTCTGCATCATGCGACCAGAGTCCAACGGCTTAGACAAGTAATCATCCATGCCAGCCTGTATGCACTTCTCACGATCTCCAAGCATGGCATGCGCAGTGAGTGCAATGATCGGCGTGCGAGGGAGTCCATTCATCTTCTCATACTGTCTGATATTCCCTGTGGCCTCGAAACCACCCATAACGGGCATCTGCACATCCATGAGGACCACATCGTACCGGTGATGCTTGACCTCTTTCACGGCTTGCAGGCCGTTTTCCACGACCGTGACATTGTGGTTGAATTTTTCAAGTATTCGGACGGCCACCTTTTGGTTCACGTCGTTGTCCTCTGCTAGAAGGATTGCTAACGAGCGCGTGTAGCCTGATGGGGTGCGGGTTGCGCGGTTGCCGAGGGCGGGAAGAATGCCGTTCCATAGATCGATGGGCCGGCAGGGTACGGTTATGTAGGATGCTATACCGAGTTCACCGGCTGCTCTAAGAGCTAGGGATACAGTGTGCGCTGTGATGACTAGCGGAATGGGTTGGAGGTCTGGGTAGGCTCGGAGCTTTGCGGCGATCTCCAAGTTTTCGATAAGGATTGCGTCGAAGGTGCTGCCCCAGTTACTTTTGAACTGGCCACACTCTAACTGCTCTTCCTTTATAATGACTAGCTCTAAGCCGAGCTCAATAAGCACTGAGGCTATTGGGAAGTCGCGCGCAAGACCGTGGTCAAAGAAGAGAATGCGCCGGCCGCGGTGGGGAGCGAGCTGCTCTGTAAAGCTCGACGGTGGCTGAGCTAGCTTCACTCGGCATGTAAATGAAAATGTGCTGCCTTCTCCCATGTTTGAGGTCACCCAAATATCACCGCCCATAAGAGAAACAAGCCTTTTTGAGATTGCTAGGCCTAAACCTGTCCCGCCAAAACGACGGGTCATCGATCCATCAGCTTGTTGGAACTTGTCAAAGATCAAGCCAAGTTTGCTTTCATCAATTCCAATTCCAGGATCTGAGACAGAGAATTGGAACGCTGTTTCGTCGGAAGCGCACTTCTCGTCCTGTGCGTGCTTTACTGTGACTCGGATCTCGCCGTGATCTGTGAACTTGATGGCATTGCCGACTAAATTCAACATGACCTGCCGTAGTCGGTATGCGTCTCCTATCAGATAGTCTGGTACTTCTCCATCTACTGTGTAGACTAAACCCAATGCCTTCTCGTTGGTTTCCACTGAGAGGGCTTTCAGTACACTGAATACTGTTGCGCCAAGACTGAACGGCGTCTTTTCGATTATCATATGGTTAGCCTCAATTTTGGAGATATCAAGGATGTCGTCAATGATGGTCAAGAGAGAAATGGCAAGATTGTGTACCATCTTCAGAGTCTCTCTTACGGGAGCTTGGAGGTCGTCAGTGTCGAGTGCTAAGCTCGACAGCCCAATTATGCCATTCATCGGGGTTCTAATCTCATGGCTAGATTCTGGTTAGTACAAGACAAAATTGGAAGCCAGTGAGACCGGGTGGGGATTAACATACCTCATATTAGCCAAAAATTCGGATTTACTCCGATTTGCCAGCTCTGCTGCTTCACGAGCAGCCGTATTGCGCTGAATGCTGTCGCGCAGACTTGATATCATCTTATTGATCTTTTGTTTCAGATCGTCCATTTCTCCAGAGGCTGACACGGTAATCAATTTTGTGAAATCTCCACTCATCGCCGCCTCAGTGATCTCACCAAAGGCACGAACCTGGGAGGTCAGATTGTCCGCCATCGTGTTGACATCTTCACTGATCGATCTCCAAATTCCATGAGATCCGGCAACGTTGGCTTGACCGCCGAGTTTACCCCGGACACCCACATCCCTTGCCACACCTTTAACTTCCCCGGCAAATTCCCCTAACCCGTCCATCATGCTATTGATTGTCTCTTTCAGAGTTAAGATCTCACCCTGGGCGTGTACCTCGATTTTGGTACTAAGATCGCCCCGCGCGATGGCTTGGGTCACGTTGGAGATTTGCCTGACTTGCAGAGTTAGGTTTTGGGCCATGGTATTGACGTTATCGGTCAAATCACGCCAGCGACCTTCGACATTTTCAACTTGCGCTTGTCCGCCTAGCGTGCCGTCTGTTCCTACTTCACGGGCGACTCGGCTGACCTCGAACGCGAACTGATTTAGCCGATCAACCATGGCATTTATCGTAAGCTTCAGATCCAAAATCTCGCCCTTCACGTCCGCAGTCACCTTCTTCGTAAGATCACCACGTGCAACGGCCGTCGTCACATCGGCAATTTCGCGGACCTGCTGCGTAAGATTCGATGCCATGCGATTGACGTTGTCTGTAAGATTCTTCCAGGTACCCTCAACACCGTGCACAACAGCCTGGCCGCCAAGTACACCATCTGACCCGACCTCGCGGGCAACACGGCTAACCTCGAATGCAAATTCCCGTAGCTGATCGACCATCGCGTTGATGATATTCTTCAACAACAAAATCTCACCCTTACAATCTGCCTGCACCTTTCGCTGCAAATCACCCTTGGCAACCGCAGTCGTTACGGTGGTGATATCGCGGACCTGCGTGGTCAGATTGTTGGCCATGGCATTCACATTGACGGTTAATTCATGCCAAATGCCCTGAATTCCCTCGATCTTCGCCTGCCCACCTAATACACCTTCCGTGCCGACCTCCCTAGCTACCTTGGATACCTCTTGACTGAAAACTTGCAACTGATCCATCATGGTATTGATCGTCTGCTTGAAGGTAGCAATGTCAGGTGACATCTCGAGGGGATGCATGCGGGCCCGCTGTGAAAGATCGCCATGGGCGACCTGGGTGATGATCTCGCCGATCTCCCGCAGTTCTTTCTGAAATGCTTCATTGATGTGGATGTGTTTGAGGAGTTCCTTCCGAAGGTCTGACCGTTCGTGTTCGATTTCCGCTATGGAAGAATGTGACTCGCGGCGGTAGATCAGTTCGTCGACGATGAGAGAGATAAATTCTCGGGGAATGGAGACTTCTGGGCTCTGTTGGTGCTGGAGAGCTGCTCGTGCTTGCATGAGATCTGCATCGCTCACCAGGGCTGGCCGAGCGGTATCCACCATAGCAGCCATTGGGCGGCAATCACGGTCTATTGTCGATTGGAATCGACTAAGGGCTTTCTAGGTCGTGCAGTGAATCTAGAGGCAAGTTAACAACAGAACATGGGGTATCAGAGAGATTGTCATAACCGTACGTATGGTGACCGGCGACGGAAGTGCCAACACGATGTGTTCCCTGCAAGCGTCGTATGCATTCCCGATAGCCAAAGTATTCGACGATGATAGCGAAATTCAGGAAGCGAATCCAAGTCGGGAGCAAAGATGCAAGGAAATGCAGGACCGGAATGCCGGAATAATCTGGTGACACGAGAGGGAAAGGGACTAGAAATAAGCGGAGTAAAGAGCCGTAGAGAGAGAGAGAGAGAGAAGTGAAGAGAGGAAGAAAAGTACAGGTCTCCAGGTTATTTGCCGTTCCCACCCGCCTATATATTGGGCTTGGTACCTATAGTTATATGTATATTATTGATCCCTGTTAATGTCCATATCATTGCTATTCGTCCCTTCGAGTCTAGACCCTCTATAGCTTAACCCGCACAAACAGCCGAGCCGAGTGGCCAATGGTTTTCTTATAATTTGATATGTGGGAATATGGAATGTTCCAAGGTTGATATGGAATACCCCGTATGGAGCATCTCGAAATACTTGCCGAGTATATTGGAACTCTAAAAACAAGGGCTGGCGGGCCCCAGGGAGACCCAAACGAACTTAAAACCAGCACAATATCAAAATTAAAGAGACATAATTCAGTAAGCTGTATCAGATAAGACTTCATTGGAATACATAATATAGTACAGTGGAACCTTTCTCTGGGTCAAGCCCCAGGTAGAGAGGAGAGAGGAGAGAGAGAGAGAGAGAGAGAGATCAGAACAAGTCCAAAAGAATACAGGTATGAAAAAAAATATGAAAAACAAAATCAACACCAGATAGGCACACAAAGAAAAGACATTACACAAATATCCCAGAATCAGAACAGGCTACGATGCAAAGAGGAGCGCTCGAAGTAATTCTTCAGGGGGAGGGGGTCAGAGGCTTTAGAACATGCCGCCGCCCATGCCACCCATACCACCCATGCCACCCATGCCACCAGCAGGAGGGGCAGGGCCCTTCTCCTCGGGAGCATCGACAATGGCGACCTCGGTAGTACCGAGGAGGGAGGCGACACCACTGGCATCAACCAGAGCGGTGCGGACAACCTTGAGGGGATCGACGATACCGGCGGCGATCATGTCGACGTACTGGCTGGTGGCACTGTCGTATCCGCGGTTGAAGTCCTTGGCGTACTCGTCGGTCAGCTTGCCGACAATGACGGAGCCTTCGAGACCGGCGTTCTCAACAATGGTGCGGGCAGGGCGGCAGATGGCGCTCTTGATGATGCTGACACCGAGCTGCTGATCGAAGTTGGCGGGCTTGACACCACCAAGACCGTTGGCGGAGGCCTTGAGCAGAGCGGTACCACCACCGGGGAGAATACCCTCCTCAACGGCAGCGCGGGTGGCGTTGAGGGCGTCCACAACACGGTCCTTCTTCTCACCGACCTCAACCTCGGAGGAACCACCAACCTTAATGACAGCGACACCGCCGGAGAGCTTGGCGAGACGCTCCTGCAGCTTCTCCTTCTCGTACTCGGAGGTAGTGGGGTCAGCCATAACACCGCGGATCTGCTCGCAGCGCTGGGTGATGTTGTCCTTGCTACCCTCGCCGTTGAGGATAATGGTGTCCTCCTTGGTGATGGTGATGGCACCGGTGGAGCCGAGCATCTCCGGGGTGAGCTTCTCGAGCTTGATGTCGAGCTCATCAGTGAAGACAGTACCGTTGGTGAGAACAGCGAGATCACCGAGGATGCTCTTGCGGTTGTCACCGAACCCGGGGGCCTTGACGGCGGCGACCTGGAGCTGACCACGGAGCTTGTTCAGAATGCAGACGGCGAGAGCCTCACCCTCGATGTCCTCGGCAATGATGACGAGAGGGCGGCGGAGGGTGGTGGAGGCCTCAAGGGCGGGGAGAATGTCCTGGACAGCGGAGATCTTCTTCTCAGAGAGCAGGATCAGGGGCTTCTCGAATTCGACCTTCTGGGACTTGGGGTCGGTGATGAAGTAAGGGGAGGTGTAGCCACGGTCGAAGCGCATACCCTCGGTGACCTCGAGCTCATCCTCCAGGGTCTTGCCCTCCTTGACGGTAATGACACCCTCCTTGCCAACACGCTCCATGGCGGTGGAGATGAGCTTGCCGACGTGGGTGTCACCGTTGGCGGAGATAGTGGCGACCTGGGCGATCTCCTCACCGGTGGTGATGGGGCGGGCATTGGCCTGGAGGTATTCCACGGCGGCCTCAACGGCAGCCTGGATACCGCGGCGCAGATCCATGGGGTTGCAGCCGGCGGCAACGTTCTTGACGGTCTCGGAGAAGATGGCGCGAGAGAGGACAGTGGCGGTAGTGGTACCGTCACCAGCAACCTCGTTGGTCTTGGAGGCAACATCCTGGATGAGGCGGGCACCAAGGTTCTCGAACTTGTCCTGAAGCTGGATGGCCCGGGCGACACTTACACCGTCTAGGGAATGATTAGTCTTTTTGCGAATCACCACGTGTTTGTCTTGATGGAAATCTTACCTTTGGTGATCTTGGGGGAGCCGTAGGGGGAGTCGATGAGGACATTGCGACCCTTGGGACCGAGTGTGGAAGTGACAGCCTTAGCAAGAGTGTCAACACCCTTAAGAAGACTGGCACGAGCTTCGACGCCAAACTTGATCTCCTAGTTGCTGTTAGCAAGGGGAACGATTGAAGGCCTCGGAATCGGCGGAACACGGGGCTAATGGAAAAGCAATATGATGCTTCAAGCCATTGCCAATCCAACGCACCTTGTGAGCAAAACGCTGCTGCTGGAGGTTCAAAGTCGAGCGACAGAAAGGGGCACGCTTGGAAGCGGCCGAGAGGACAGAGGTCCGGGTAGAGAGAGCGCGCTGCATGGCTAGGAACAAGGAAGATTAAAATAATTAAAAAAAGAGAGAAATACAACAACCCAGGAAATAAAGTGTTTGTAGGGGGGAAAAAGAAATAGATGGAGAAAGCTGAGGGAGAGATGAAGCCAAAGTATCGAAAATTTTCCAGGCGCTTCCTTCATCCCCAGAGCTTGGCGGCAGAAACAGCTAGAACCGTCACGTGAGCCGGAAGAGCGGAGTTAAATCGGCTGTCGAAATATTGTAGATCTTCTATAGTCAGTATAACAAATTTATTAAGGTATTCTTTTTTTGTCATATATTCTCTTTGAGAAGAAATATATTATATATATATATATATATATATGTACATATTCTGTTTGGTTTGGTGCTTGGTACATATGTACAAACATATGCTTGGTATGCCGGGTACATATGTATACTACCTCGGTTAGTGCCTAGATTAGTACAGTGTTGGGTATGTAAGTCCTACTTCACAAAATGAGGTGTGACAATAAGATTCATTTTTCGTAGTAGTTTAGGTACAAGTAAATGCTGTAGATAGTTGCAAATAGGCTTTTCCTGTTCCTTAGACTGTAGGACTATGCAAACTCGACACACAAGGGACTTAGTTCATTGGTGATATTATTGATCAACAGACAGATCTTAATTAATAATGCAAAGCGCCTGGATGCACGCATTCTCTTGACAATAATCAATTCATACTGTGGATCCAATCAAAATATACCCGCAAATTGAGCAACAGAAAGTATATATATATGTCACCGCTACGATAGACAAAATAAATGTAAGAACGCCAAACAGAACTGCAACCCATATATGACAATGCCAATTTATACTGCATCGGTTGTAGTATAATGTTCTGCAGCCATTCGGCTCAAGAAGCTTGAGGCCTAGGTTGAAGGTGCATGGGATCCCGAGATTTTGAAGGTGAGATGAGGTGGTCTATTCTAGCGACACTCAAATATTGATTGAAATCATGATTCCTACTGATTTGCACTCCCATTTTGGCCTGGAGACAACGGCTGGATCATTCGCCAGAAGGAGTCATGGCTTGGCGTGGTTGATTTGATTGCTTCTTCCGACAACACCTCTGCCCCTGGTGATGTACGCACCCGCCACTATTAGCTAGCCCAATACCATAAGCCTGTCACAGTGAGCCTAAGTCTGGTGGCATGAAAGCGGCAGCTTAGATAGGAAAGACCTACTTGCCAGGGAGAGTCCAGTAGTTACATATAACTAATTAGTTAGTTATGTATGTTATAACTACATACATATTTAAGCCGTTAGCTAAAATGTATTTATCTGTGGAAGGCTTCAGTTTGCTTCTTTTTTCGTCTCACGCTGATCTGTATGCTTTGTGATTTGTATCTATATCTTCACTGTGTCATAAATCCAATCCTACCACCATATATCAATAATTTGATACTCGAGGATTGACACAAAAAACACACGCAAGTCCACATCAAATCATAGTCACAAGGCTCCCTCCCAACCCTCTTACAATCAAAGATCAATCCAGGGGCATTGCAATAATCCTCATATCACTTTATTCTGATCTCCCTATTGGATCACAATGAAGTAGTGAGCATTCTCTCTGTGACCTACGAAATACGTTTGAAATCGATTGTTTTGCGATATGCTCTTATTAAAGTAACTAACTACTGGGCCCCCCATAGGGGGCCAACGAGCAACGCATGAAAGAGTCGCTGGGGTACACCCCCGGATAAGACGTGACTCCATATCACGCAAGATCAATTATCCGGAGGTCCACCCGTTGACCGGGGGAGATGCTCACCCATCTCCCCCGATCAACCAGCGGAAAAAGCAAAAAACGAAGAAAAGCAAACGCAGGAAAAAGCAAAGAAAAAGCAAGAAAAGAGCAAGAAGAGCAAGAAAGGCAAGAAAAGCAAGAAAAGCAAGGAAAAGCAAGGAAAAGCAAGGAAAGGCAAGAAAGGCAAGAAAAGGCAAGAAAAGGCAAGAAAAGGCAAGAAAAGGCAAGAAAAAGCAAGAAAAAGCAAGAGAAGAGCAAGAGAAGAGCAAGAAAAAAGCAAGAAAAAAGAAAATCATCGTCCCCACCGGAAAGAATCATGGGACAGCATCAGCGGAGCTAGAAACCATGATCAACGAGCCAGGAAATTAAAATTCCTTCACGTCCTCGCCCTCGTACCCAAGGTACCGAGGTGGCTCGACTTCGGGGAGCTTGTCAAACAGCTCACTGTCAGAAAGGAACTTGCTCTCAATGTAGCTGTCCATGGGGAAAGTGTCTTGACCGCTATACTGGTCGGCACGTTGCATTTCGGGGACCATCTCAAATCGCGAATAAACCGCGGCGTTCATTTCCTCCAAACCAGACACTCCACCCGAGACAGGGCTTGGAGCAGCACCGGGAACAGCCGCAGACCGGTTGGCATAGTCAAATGGGCTTGGCCCATTCGAGGGGTATTGGATGGAACTTCCGCGGGTCTGGGGAGGGAAAGCGGCGCTAGAACTGGCAGGCATGTAAGGGTAATAAGATGAGCGAACGGGTGCCATGTTAGTCACAACGCGATGTGGGTTGGTTGGAGTGACAGGCTCGCGGGAAGTTGCCGAGTCGCGAAGTTTAGTGTCAAGAATAGCCATGCGCGCGGGATCCACCTGCAGTTTCACTATCTTTGACTTCTTCTTGGTCTGAGACTTCTTGGCGGCTTGAGAAGTAGACTCGCCGCTTTCGGTTGACTTCTCGCTCTCCTCAGAAGTAGTCGATTCGTTGTCATTCGCACGGTCATCGCCTTCAGTGAAGTCACGAAGCCATTCTGCTCCGACACAGACGAGCTTCTGGGAGTCATCGCTGTCGGTTTCTTCGTGCTTGGAACGCAGCTTGGGGGCAACGAAGACCTTCTCCTTCTTGTTGTTCTTAAACTGCTTCTTCTTGAGAGCGTAGACACTGCCTTCGGAATCCTCATCGGATGGACTACGGTGACGCCGCTTGCGAGTGCTTGGCGCAGCGTCATCCTTTGGAGAAGGCAGCGCTTCCTTCTTGCCGTTTGTGTCGTTCTTGTGATAACCGTTTCCTGCACGCTTCAGTGGAGGCGGGTTGGGCTTGTCCTGCTCCTCCCGTTTGGTGCGCAGCTTTGACAAATGCTGGACGATTGCACCCTCCGTGAACTTCGGTCCCATGGCTTCTGCAACCTCCTTCCAAGGAATCTTCACCCCAAGCTTATTGCAGCCATACTGGATGGCCAGTAAAAGTCGGATATCGGTGTCAACTGTTTCAGTCAATTATCAGCGTAATTCAATGGCAAGTTTATCATATGAATGCAAGTCAATGTGGCAACATCCCATCTATCCGTGGATATTCCTGGATTTGACAACACCTCCATGGACTCCCGCAACAAAAAGATGAAACAAGATTGGGAATAAAAGGGAAACAAGAAAAGGGAAGACCACATACCATCCCAGCGAACGAGTGTACGTTGGCGCCGGCTGAAGACTTGCCGCTTGCCCTGGCTCTCTTGCTCCTTGCGGGTAGCCTCTTCCTCCTTGCGAGCAGCCTCTTCCTTCTTCCGAGCCTGTTCAGCCTTGCGGACCTTTTCGGCCTTGTCCCGTTCGGCGATTTCCTTCCGGAGCTGCTCAAGCTCAGCAAGGTCCGCCTCGTGGTCGCGCTTGCGGCCGCTGGATTTCTTCTTCGTCGGCATGTTGGAGGGACGCTCCACTTGTATCCTGTGTACGACAATATCATTAGCAATTGTGTTCATAACAAACAAAATAAACACAGGATGGTTGGATGGACGGGACATGAGGTGGGTAACTGGACATGATCAATGGGTTCCACATTGCTGCAAAATTTGTCAAAGCGAAAGGGGAAAAGGTATTTGTGAATGCCTTTTCTGCAGACAGGAGATGCATCGCAACATCCGACCGCGATGGACCAAGTCCAAGGAGCACACAATGTTCGCAATGTGGAATTGCAATGAAGTATGCAGTTGGCTGGAGTCTGACACCGGTCGCTGCCCAAACGAGGTATGTTTAGACAAAATGCAGAGAGCAACAAGGCTAACCATGAGCACAGGCTCTTAGGGCATTACCCAAAGAGGCTGTTAAGAATGCCCATACCCACAGCAATTGGTGTCCATGCTCCAACTGTATGGTGCAATGTTGACATCCAGTACCATGAAAGGCACTAGGTCATCATTGATCTGATGCAAGGACCCCGCATCGCAAGGTTCTCGACACGATGGACTTGTCCCACAGTTGCCAAGAGACCATACAATTTGTATGAGCCTGGCAGATGTTGAACGTTGATGTGCAGGATCCAATCCTCAACAAGGTTCACTAGGTGCCACAGCAACCCAGATCCCCCAATGTATTGGATGGAAGTGCGGGGTCCCAAGACCAACAGTGTGCCACAGGACCTTGTGTTTATGATGCACAGATGCAGGAGCTCCATTGTGGGGATTGGGAATGTGTCAGGGGAACATATGAACTATTGCCAGTGCAAAGCTGGGTTACTCACCTGGTGGATATGCTAAAGACGCACTGTCGATTCGAGATGATCTGGTATGGAAGCACAGAAAGATGGTGAATGGTATGGATGATGGAAGATGGATGATGGTCGATGAGACTGAAAGGTAAGTAAGAGAAGTGGTGACCGAAGGAAGTGGTGGGAGATGGCAATTGTCCTTGAGAAAGGGACCACGTGGATTGCTTTGCAGGATCTGCCTTGGAGTCCTTTGTTTCCTACTTGCTTTCGAAGTCGACCTCGCGTATTGTATGCACGTGGTTGATACCGATCGGAGCAATCTATACCCCGCATTACAAACAGCAGGTTCGATCTTTCCTTATGCACAGCAAACCCTGCTGGTCGAAGCCTACGTTGTTGTTTACATGTGCTGACAACGCATCTGATCTGCCTACCTAGGTAGCAATCCAGGCACGCACTGTGGCTGCGAAACTTGTATCTGATACGGCGACGATACGTATTTATGCTGCTCCTGTGACGGACGACCCATATGACTTTGCCGCAACGCTTCTACGCCCCAACAGCCTCGAAAAAAGAAATGAAAATCACGGAACGCAATTATTGACGTGCCAATCGCATATACCGATTGCAATTTTACGAATTCAACTTATGAAGCTAGAGAACGTAGGGTGTCGCATTGTGTCGTATTCCTTCTATATAGGATATTGGCAAACGTGACGAACGATCTATATAACTTCGTGGTAGCGCTTATGTACTTTACCTACCTCGGAAAAACGAATAAAACCTACGGAATATACTTACGGATGACTATATTGCCTATAGAGACTACAATTTAATCAATTAGATAATATAGGGCTAATAGAGAGAGTGTGTCGCATTGTATAGTGTTCTTTTGAGTGCGATGTTGTTAAATGTGACGAACAATCCATAAACCTTTGCGGCGCCGCTTGGACACCCTACCAACCTTGAATAGACAAATAAAGATACGCGTTTATACTACTCTTATGACGAACGACCCATATGACTTCACCTCGACGCTTCTACGCCCCAACAGCCTCGAAAAAAGAAATAAAAGTCACGGAATGCAATTATTGACGTGCCAATAGTATATACTAATTGCAATTTTACGAATTCAACTTATAGAGCTAGAGAACGTAGGGTGTCGCATTGTGTTATATTCCTTCTATATAGGATATTGGCAAACGTGACGAACGATCTATATAAATTCGTGGTAGCATTTGTACACTCTACCTACCTCGGAAAAACGAATAAAACCTACGGAATATACTTATGGAAGACTAAATTGCCTATTGAGACTACAATTTAATCAATAAGATAATATAGGGATAATAGAGAGAGTGTGTCGCGTTGTATAGTGTTCTTTCAAGTATAGTGTTGTCAAATGTGACGAACAATCTATAAAACTTCGCGGCGCCGCTTAGACACCCCGCCAACCTTGAATAGACATAAAGATGCGCGTTTATGCTGTTGTGACGAACGACCTATATGACTTCGCCGCGACGTTGTACGCCCCAACAGCCTCGAAAAAAGAAATAAAAGTCACGGAATGCAATTATTGACGTGCCAATAGTATATACTAATTGCAATTTTACGAATTCAACTTATAGAGCTAGAGAACGTAGGGTGTCGCATTGTGTATATTCCTTCTATATAGGATATTGGCAAACGTGACGAACGATCTATATAAATTCGTGGTAGCACTTGTACACTCTACCTACCTCGGAAAAACGAATAAAACCTACGGAATATACTTACGGAAGACTAAATTGTATATAGAGACTATAATTTAATCAATTAGATAATATAGGGCTAATAGAGAGAGTATGTCACGTTGTATAATGTTCATTTGAGTACGGTGTTGTCAAATGTAACGAACAATCTACAAACCTTCGCGGCGCCTCTGCATACCCCGCTAACCTTGAATAGACAAATAAAACATAGATAATACGGTAAGTGAGGATCCAATGGCGCATAGTAATCAAAGTTTTATTAATTAAAGGTCGTGGGTATGGAGAGCATAGTGTGTCGCGATATATGGTTTTCTTCGCACAAGGAAGGGATGTGGTCAAAATAGACGTCATCACGTGAATACAAACACCCGTGGACGATGCGCTTATCAACTATGTCGGATCAATCTTTACACTCGGTCAATCCTTCTTCCTGTATCACGTGCCCTCAGGCACCGAATATTCAAACCGAGCATATCCACACCGCCATGGTAATCACCGCCTTCCCAATATAGAATCCTCTACACGTGATCCTGACATCCCGATCCTCCGAAGTCGAACGCTTCCAAACTCACCCGAACCGTTTTCACCCCTTCAATCGAACCATACCTCCCACACTCTCTTCAAAATGACTGCTGCCTGGAAAGCCGCCGGTTTGACGTACGAATTCACGAATTGTCTTTAAAGTCAATGCTAACCCCAACCCCAGCTACAACCGCTACCTGGCCATCGCCGCCCGCACGGTGCGCCGTTCCTTGAAGGAAGGCCCTCGCCTCGCCTCTGAGCGCCGCGGCCAGATGGACCTCCGTTTTGCCAAGTGGGAGGTTAGTGAACTTCCCGAGCTCTGAGCTGCAGAATTTTGACTGATGACAATGTTACGACAAACAGAACGGCAAGCAGGGTGATGTCAAGTCCCTTGCCCAGGCCAACAACGAGGCCCTCGCCAAGGCTGCTGAGAAATAAGCCTTCTTCGCCCATAACCTGAGAGAACCGAGCTTGGAGATATGCACGGCCTGAGTGTGACGGACTGGAGTGAGTTTTTGGTCCGAGGGAGGCATTGAAATGTATATGTGTAGCAATACCGGCCTGTCTGGTTGGGCAGAGCTTAGAATCGCACTCGTCTTTGTTTTCGCACCACGCTTCACGCTTAAGCTGTTAATTAAAACTGCCGTAAGAATTCTTATACTGCCCGGGGGTGGCCGGTCAGATGTTGCACGTCACCTCTAGGACCCGGTTGCCAACTTCCCGACTCTCTTTTTCCTCCGCTCACATCCCCACCTCCCCCTCGATTTGTCGATTTCTCAGAACACGTCCGACAGCAAAATACTTGTTTGAACACCTGTAATAAAAACAGCACTGTGGGAAGAACTTGTGATTCTTTGTGATGCTGCCGAATAATGAAGTTCGCGTCCCCCGTCCGCGATTTGCGCAGTCCGCACCCCGCGATATTACCGCTGAATTTACAATGGCCGCTTCCAGTAAGCATATTGCCCCAGCAGCTTCGATCGAGTGCCTAACTATTTTTCCTCGCAGAACTAAATGCAGGGCAGCTCGTGAAAGATGAGACGTTCACCCTGTTCGAGGCTGTGGGCGCATTGGAGGTGCGTCAGCTTCCTCACCCGATGTGAAACGTGCAACGAGAATTGCAGCTGACGATAATCGAACCCGCATAGATAATGGACTCGAAGATGGATAGCGGCTATATAGCCCCCGGAGAAAATCTCGCGCAGGCGCTAGAAGACGACTACGACGTACGGCGGCCGTTGACACCAGAGGAAGTCGTTGGCTTGATGGACCAGTTGCTGTGCCACGAGGTGGGAGATAATATCGCCTATATGGAGACACGCAGGTTGCTGATTTAATCGCAGGTGGCGTGGCATAAGGGACATCCTCTGTCTCAGACGCTTTTCACATCAATCTATCTCGATAGATTATTGTGGCCGGTGCCGAGGACCATGGACGACGCTCGTTTTGACCGTGTACCCAGTGATTCTCCTTTGGTCAACCTCGTCTTGAGAGCATATTGTCTGGCACTGGTCAAAGCTTGTGATTTTGTGCATCTCCGAGTGGCCACTGAATATTATTACGAGGTTAGTGGGCTGGCCCCCGAACTAGTTCTTTGGCTGTCGCTAATATTATCTGCCAACTAGGAAGAGGATTTTGTCAGTCAATTATACAACCGTAATCTTCTGTCTGCCTTCGATATATCCCACTTCCACCGTCTGCTGGACCAGGCGGTTTCTTGGGTTGCGGAGCAGACTGATATTGACCAGAAGCTGAAAGATGCCATCCATTGCCGACTAGTGTTTCGGCATGAGTTTTTGTCCGCACTACAACAGGACGTTGAAGTTCTTGAAACTAGATCTGCGGAAAACTTCACCTCGTGTATAGCTCAACTTCGACCTCTGGCAGAGACAGTCGCACTAGGAAAGCCTGTGCCAGATGCCTTCAGTTTGAAGATTCAGCG